GGGGGGGGGGGGGGGGGGGGGGGGGGGGGGGGGGGCGGCCTTTGGGGGGAGAAAATGGCCCGGAAACCTCGACGCTTGCCTGCAGCGAGGTCACAGCTACATGGGCAACAATGAGATGAAAGGTTCAGTTCACAAGGGAGCGCTGGTGGGCTAGCGTGACACGAGCAAATGCAGTCGAGTCGATAATGGTCATGAACGGGGCCGGGGTAGTCGTTGTCGAGGGCAAGGTTGGATCCTATCCTTGCTGGTGAGCGGCGAGGTACTGGTCTGTACGACGGCACATGTGTGGGAGGTTGGCAGGCGGTTGGTCGAGGTTCTAGACATTTCTGGTCACAACAGGTCGAACCTCATCTCTGGTTCGCATCCGGCTCCTCAGCGACCGGGATCCGTGGCCGACTAGAGGTGCGAGCCTGGACAAGACGAGAGTCACTCCCGGTGGAGTTCAGCGCACCGACGGCGGGAGTCTGTGCTTGGATGCAAGATCACGGCGGACACGCAAGTTGTAGGACGTGGCTCCTTGGGGACAGGAAGGCGGATTTCATCGGCTCTCGTGGGGATATGCCGGCACATCTTGCGGACCATTGAAACATTGCTGTTTTGATGGGATCGGGTGTTCCAAAAACATGGGTACCGTGGTCGACAGCCACCCATGGAGGGAAAAGATGGATGGATGGATAGATGGATGGATGGATGGATGTAGTCTACCAAACTCTGGATTCACCGGGTCCGCAGGTGTTGAGCCGAATGAAAATGCAAGGAACAAGAAGGAGAACTCGCGGTGACACAGCGAGGAACATGCCAAGAAAAAGCGCAGAAGAGGAGCAAGTACTGGCGGGGGCTGAGGAAGAGAAATTCCGACACTGCATGGGTTCGAGCTCGAAAACGCTCGATGCCGCAAGCTGGTCCCGTGGGCCTCAACAGTCCGATATGCGCGGCGCACAATGATGGACCTCGACGCTGATGGATGCTCGGCGCTGGGGAAATTACGTCGAGGTCGAGGACCTGGTTTTCCAAGATCGACTGGCTGTGATTTGGACAAAGAGACTGCTGCTGAAGAATGGGCTCGCGGGTGGCTGCATCCGAGTTTGCTGTACCAAGCCATTTTCCGCTCAATCAAATCCTTGACTTTGACCGCGCCCCCCCAACGGACGGTGTGACCACACCTTCGACCTGCAGCAGCGAGCGGCCAACGAACCACGGCCACGGGCAACAAAAGCTGCGCTCATCAGTGAGTGTACTGTTCGAAGACAGAAGAAAAAGAAGAAAAGCCAGCCTACCAGCAACGAACCACGCCGTATAATTCCCGACCCTCCTTCACAGCTGCAGACATCCCGGTCATCTATCTAGGTTTGCATGCTCTGCAAACACGCCACGCACGCGAACCTCAAAGATTTCGGGTAACCCCACCGCCGGAACTGGGTCACGCTGACGACGCCGATGGAAGCTTGCGGGAGTGAATTCCGCATGTTTTGGATGTGGCCTCTGGATGCTCGATGCAAGCACGCCCCCTCGGTTGTCCGTCTGAACTAGAACAGTCATCTGGTCGCAGGCGATACCCAAAGAATAATTACGGTTGAGTGGGTGAGCTGGTCGCGGCTAGCTTCGTCCTTCCATCTGCGGGACGAATAATATCTGCTGAAGATTGATGCTGCCGAACGAGGTGCTGAGTACTGTTGATGTCTACATTAAGGTCCCTCGTTGTTTAGCTCCGACGTGTGCGAGACTGCTCTATCTGGACGTCAGTCCATAATACCCAATCCATGCAATGCTTGGTGCGGACTCACTCGTACTTCCATGCACGGTCCTCTTCACTAATGGACGCCCATGTTAACGTCGAAGACTGAGTTTGATGCCAAGGCAATGAATGGCATTCATCAAGCCCATATATACGCCATGCCATTATTTCAGTAGGGAGTTAAGGTTAGATTGTACTACTTATCACGAAACATTCTTCATCCGAAACCGACCAGGTGGAATTAAAGCCACTGTGCTGCAACAAAAAATAGTCACTTTGAAGAGTAAAACGAAATATAATAAGACTTGGGAGATTGTGGCTTTGGATTCAATAACAACCAACAGCCTCCAACTTCACCCACAAATCCGAATGAGTGGATCTGTTCGTTTCCCCTTGTGCGGCGGACGACTAACGTTGATATGTCAATGACTTTCCAAAACACCCTTAACAGCACAAGAGTCTCTGCGACTCATTCGAATCATCACATTGTCTCGTTACTCCGGCGTTACTCATTACACCTTGGACCTGGCTCAATCCCGCACGATGCACACTCTGACGAAGAACGCACCAGTTCTGACTGCTTACAAGGGATGGATAACTTCACAATATTCTTACCTTCCTAGCTTGAGATTGCCCTTGATTCCAGCGGGTAACAGGATGAGGACTCGCTTATCGTTACCGAGAAACCACCAGAGCTGTGGCTTCCGTCTTGATTAAACAAACCACTACTGCCATTCGACACTCCACGTCGACTGACCGGCTCTGTATGGAACGACCTCCACCTCTGCTGACTTCAACGACTCTGCCACCTTTTGGCCATTCTTCTTCAACAAGACCTTCTGTTTCGCGGGCTCGAGACCGTAGAACTCACGTGCCCAGTTGCTGAAGAATCCGCTCAACAGCTCCTCGGTGACCTGCTCCTCCTTGATATCGCCCCTTTCGATACCCTCCTCCAGAGCAGAGAGAACCTGCTACTGTCAGCTGAGCTTTCGCGAGGATGGAGTTCTTGTACTTACGTATCCGAGAGCATAAGGCTGCGTGAAGACGCCGGCGGCAGGGCTGCCCTCGACCTTCTTGGCGCTGATGTTGTGGGCTGTGACGTTTCGAGCATGGTTAGTTTCGAGGCAGGAAGAGATGAAACCTGTTGGAGAAAGGAGAATAGGAAAATCGGGGTGCTTACGAGCACTGTCAGTCCCCAAGAAGAACTTGCCGTTGCTGTTGACGACGGCGTTCAGCAGTGCTTTCCTGTCCTCGGGAGTCTTGGCTGATGGCTTGCAGAAGCAGTGCTATGATTACCGAGTTAGCTTTGGCATGTGTTTCTGTTTTCTTGCTTCCAAGCATACCGCATCGGAGGCCCATTGGTCCTGCAGCAGGGAGAGGTGGTGGGCAGTGATGGTGGCCACGACGTTGTCGCAGGCCTTGACGGCCTCGACGGCGTCCGCCGAGGTCGTGTGCTCCAAGACGATCTTGAGCTTGGGGTACTTGGTGGACAGGCCCTTGAGCACGGGCAGGAAGCGGGACTCGGCGTTCATCAGGTCGACGCCGTCGGCGATGCTCGTGGGCGCCTCGCCGTGGATGTTGAGCACGACGCCCTCGCGCTCCATGGCGGCCAGGACGTCGGCGAACTCGTCAAAGGAGACGACGCCCCACTCCGAGTTGGTGGTGACGCCGCGCGGGTAGGCCTTGACGCCCGCGATCCCCGCGCGCTTGGCCTCGCGGATGACCTCGGGCGTGATGCTCTTGTGCAGGTACAGCGACATGAGGTAGTCGACGCTCGGGTCGATGGCCTGCAGCCGCCGCTTGTAGTCGAGGGCCTCCTGGACCGAGACGACGGGCCGCGGGGACAGGTTGGGCATGACGAAGACGGTGTCGATGCCGGCCGGGCGGATGGTCGGGGTGACGAGCTCGGCCATGGCGCCGTCGCGGAGGTGCACGTGCATGTCCGCCGCGGCGGGCACGGTGTAGGAGTCCTTGAGGGGCATCGTGAGAAACACGGGAAGGTCGAAAACAGTTAAAAAGACGGTCACCGCGATTCTATAAGCCGTGGTTCATGCTGTGATATCGACATCGAAAAAATTGCCCCATATAAACCACCATATGGGAAAAAATATGGAGTGTGGAGATTCAATGATATGATTTGATTGGGGAATCCGCTAAGGCCTTGGTCGGCCTTGATCCGAGGTTAGCATCGCCAACTTTTCGCATCACAAAGGCGCTGTTATAGCTTCCATGAAGATTGCAATTATTACGTCAAGCAGTATCACAACCTGTTCTAAGGCTGAGGTATGCTTTTGGTATGCTTGTGCAATGATGCATTGCCAATAAATCACCGTGCACATTAGTCCTGGTCGAGAGTTGTGCAGCAATCAGTGCGTGCGTCATAGCCCACATCTCAATTCGCCCTGGAATTCAGTGATTTGTGCATCTCCAGGGAATCATCTGCAGAAACTCCAGGACATGTAGAATTGTCCAATCAACCAGTCCTCAAAGGCCAAAAGAAAAGATAAACCTCTCAACATCTGCCAAGCACATGTCACGACAATGGGGTAAATCATTTCACCAAAAAACAGACTTTCCCTTAGTCCAAGGCCCAAACCTTACCTGATGAGGACCTAGATGCCATGGAAATCTGGGGCAGGTTTTAACTAAAGGGAACAATTCAATGGATACAGCCCGCGCCGGCAATCGGTCAGCGTGCCTGGGGCTGGTCAACTAACTGGTGGATGCGGCTCTCACTTTACCTTGTTCAGACTGGAAACTTTTCGGCGATCCATCTCCAAGACTCACCTCCTCCTCTTCTCACTCTCTCTCCCTTGCACAATCCTCAGACACGGAACGGCACTGCCAATTGATCGACCCAGCTCCCCAGCTGCTGCCTGTAAGTCCGCCAATGTCACCCAGCCAGCTCTCTGACCGCCTTATCAGCGCTCGCCTCACGGCACCCCGCCATCTGCATGTGCCCCGCTAAAACCTCGCGGCAGAAAAAAAAATAGCCCACCCGTGAACCGCCGCGACCAACCGCCGCCTTTTCCTCGCTTCCGTTTCTCCTCCTCCTCCTCTCGGAGTCACCCAGTCGCTCTTCAGCGCGAATACCGTTCGGAGAATGTCAGGCGAAATGGCAAACGAAGTCAAACTTCTCAGTGGCAGCAGCCACATGGAACTGACCAACAAGGTCGCCAGCCGGTACGTATGCTCCCTGTGACTTCGGGCTGATTTACCGGGTCCATTTCTTGCCCCGGATGACGGGCTTTGACGCCGGGTCTCGGATGGCTGACTTGCGCGCGTGGGAAACAGGCTCGGCATCGAGGTCGCCAGGACCATGTCGCTCAACTACTCGAACCAAGAGACGTCGGTCACAATCGGAGAGTCGGTCCGCGACGAGGACGTCTTCATCATCCAGTCGACTGCGCCCGGTGATATCAACAACGGCTTGATGGAGCTCCTGATCATGATCCACGCCTGCCGGACAGCCAGGTACGCTGCGACACTCTTGCTCACAACAGAGGACAGCCTGCTGACACGGAGAGGATTGCAGTGCCCGGAGGATAACAGCAGTCATGTACGTACGGCCTCGAGGAGCTAGAACCTTGGCCATGGCTGGGTTGGTCTTGAGGCATGATTGCTAACTTGCACCAGTCCCAACTTCCCATACGCAAGACAAGATAAGAAAGACAAGGTAGATTGTCTCGGCTGAGAGGTGGTGCCCATAGGGAACTGCGTCTAATTCTCGGAAACAGTCACGAGCTCCCATCAGTGCCAGGCTAGTAGCCAACATGCTGCAAACGGCCGGTGCTAATCGTATGTCGCCAACCGACCGAGATATCCAAGCCCAAGGCCTCCCATTGCTGACAATATGCGCCCTTGCAGACATCGTTACTGTCGACCTCCATGCTTCTCAGGTGAGCTTCTTGTGGCTTCGCGAGCCAGGCTCCTCCTTCGCTCTGTTGAAAGCAGTAACTGACAAACATGACCGAAACAGATTCAAGGTATATTCCCATCTCCATAGCGAATAGCGAATAGCTCCTTCAACAACACCCTACGACCCCTGTTGCATACAAACTGCCCCGAACACACAAAGAGCTGACCTGGCGACCAATCAAGGCTTCTTCAACGTCCCCGTCGACAATCTCTACGCGGAACCCTCGTTCCTCCGGTACATCAGGGAAAACCTCCAGGTAGACGAGTGCGTCATCGTCTCACCCGATGCCGGCGGTGCCAAGCGCGCGACCGCGATCGCCGACCGCCTCAACATCCCCTTCGCCCTCATCCACAAGGAGCGGCCCCGTCCCAACGTCGTGGGCCGCATGGTCCTCGTCGGCGACGTCAAGGACAAGGTCGCGATCCTCGTCGGTGAGTAGCCGTGTGATATCGAAAGATTGCAGGAGGAAGGGGCCTTTTTCATACTAACGCTACCCCGCCAGATGACATGGCCGACACGTGCGGCACCCTCGCCAAGGCGGCGGCCGTTCTCAAGGAGAACGACGCCAAGAGCGTGCTGGCCCTCGTCACGCACGGCATCCTGTCCGGCTCCGCCATCGAGACCATCAACAAGAGCTGCCTGACGCACCTTGTTGTTACCAACACCGTGCCGCTCGGTGACAAGATCAACCAGGTAAGAAGGCGGATCTACGGCTGTGGCTCCCTCCTCTCCTCTTGACTGCCTGAGGAGGTTTGCTGAACTTTCTACCAATAGTGCCCCAAGCTGCGTGTCATTGATCTCAGCCCGACCCTCGCCGAGGTACGTAAACCCCTCTCAAAGACATGATTCTTGTCTGCTCCTCCCAGACTATAGCACAGTCCTTAACCCTCTTTCTCTAGGCTATCCGCCGCACCCACAACGGCGAGTCCGTCTCGTACCTCTTCACCCACGCTCCCGTCTGAACGAGATGCGGCACACGCATTGCAGCGAGGAGCCAGAAATGTGACACAAAGTAGGAAGGAAACAAAGAAGAAAGAAAACTACATCGGCAGGATACCTAGGCGTTGGTGCACATCCATTCATTGTTGTTGTTGTTCGTTTTTTTGCTTCCTGGGAATAAGCCAAAAGATAGAAGAGAATGGGCGGCCTCGTTTTTTTTTTGTTCGGCTTTTCCTTTCCCCCCTATCTTCCCTGTTAGATCTCGTTGGGACGAAGAAAAACCAAAACTTTCATCACATGTTCCAACCATAATGCAGACAGATCAATGCAGATCCAGGCGTTTTCTTGATCAATACCAAGCCGCTTTTTCCCCACAAAACTACACTCACTCTCTTGATTGTCTCCGTTTCTCTGTGTGTGCGTCGGTGGGCGTTTCGAGGCGGTAAGGGGAGAGAGAGGCTTTCTACATCATCAGAATACCTCGAGGCAGAGAATTGAGCACGGAAGAATCTTTGCGTGAGGCAGGTGCAGATACTCTTTTCTCACACGACCTTCAACCTATTGGTATATATAAGAACTAGAGAAAAGCGAGAGTGCCCCCGAGTCCGTTTCAAGATGCTGCATGATCCTCGGTCTCACACCCCGTTTGCATGCACACACGCACGCACGCCTGAAAAAAAAAATCATGTCTAAAAGACCTAGACCTGCATCCAGGAAGTGACGAGTTCGATAACTCGGCCGTTGGTCCTTTCTTTTGCAAAAACACTCTCCCACTCTCAGACTACGGGCTCTTGCGAGTGCGACTCTAACGACCCCCCTTCGATGCTCTCGCTTGCACGCCCGCCCATCCCGCCTCCTTTCCTCTCCTCACATCATTCCCCATCTCCATACTTCCCCAGCTCACTCCTTCGATTCACCCCCCACCCTGTGAACCAACCACAGGCTCTTCAAACCGTGTACCGGAAGTCGGGCCTGCGGTCGCCCAGCATCTCGATCTCCTCGTGGCTCTTGTCCTCGATCCAGTGGTCCCGGCCGCCGCGGGCGCGGACGGCGTTCTCGCGCCGCAGCAGCAGCGTCATGAGGACGGAGCCGCCAAAGAGAAAGACGGCCATGTAGGCCAGGACGACGCCGTGGCCGACGTAGAAGGGCGGGCTGCCGTAGTAGATGTTGGAGGAGACGACGCCGTTGAGGTTGCCCCAGCCGATGACGAAGCCCAGCACGACGCCGCGGCGGTACACGCCCTCGACGTTGTTGGCCATCCACGAGATGGTGTTGGCGATGCAGGGGTAGATGCCCAGCGCGCCGAGGAAGGTGCCCGCGTACTGGACGCCCGGCTCGCGTGAGCCGATGAGCATGCCGAAGCCGACGATGCCCAGCAGCGAGACGCAGATGTTGCACAGCCCGCGGGCGCGCGTGCGGTCGGCGAGGTAGCCGATGGCGATGGTCAGCACGGCGGCGCAGGCGTAGGGCGGCACCGACATGAGCTGGCTCTTGACGACGCTGTTGCCCCAGCCGAGCGTCTTGATGATGGTGGGCAGGAAGAGGCTGAAGGCGTAGAGCGGCATGTCGCAGCCCATGTAGATGGCCATGCCGAGCCACATCTTCCAGTCGCGCACCGAGGACCAAAAGTACGACATCTTGAACTCCTCGTGCTCGGCCGACGACTGCTGGTCCTCCTTGAGGCGGCGGATGACGCGCGCGCGGTCTTCGGGCGACAGGAAGCGCGCGTCATCGGGGAAGTCGTGCACGAGCCAGAAGGACATGAAGCCCGTGACCATGGTGAGGAGGCCCTCGAGGATGAAGATCCAGGCCCAGCCGGCGATGTTGGCGGTGCCGTCCATCTTCTCGATGGCGGCCGCGAGGAGACCACCAAAGGAGCCCGAGACAGCTGCCGCAGAGAAGAAAATGGCCTGTTGGGATTGGAAGGTGTCTGCGGTTAGTTGGGGAGGCTCTGACAATGTTGAGGAATTCGGGTTTTCTGGGGGAGGAGAAGGCTTACAACTCGAATACCAAACTCGTCACGCTTGTACCAGCACGAGAGGTAGTAGCTGATGCCCGGGAAGAGGCCGGCCTCGGTGAGACCGAGGAACCAGCGAGCTGCCATGAGGCCGGACCAATTCTTGACAAAGCCCATGCCCAGCATGCAGGCACCCCAAAGAATACTGCATGGGAGGGAGAGTCAGTGATGTAGTCCACTGGAGAAGAAGATGACCAGGCCATGGGGCATGGCGGCGACCAAGATCAGCACCAAAAGCAGCAACTCACATGATGATGGGAATGAAGATAGATGGCCGCAGCCTCTTGAGCAGGACGTTGGTCAGGGGCTCAAAGACGGAGTACGAAACGAAGAAGATGGTCAGCGCCGAGTTGTACTCGTTGGGCTGCGTCTTGAGGTGCAGGTCCTCGCTCATGTGCGCAATCTTTGCATTGCCGATGTTCGTACGGTCTAGGAAGGCCATGAGGTACAGCACGCAGAGCTAGTCATGGAAATGTTAGCAAAGATGTAGCTGGAGTGAGATGATGCGACGGCAGGCGGCGCATTTGCGCGAATGTTGGAACACCACTTACCCAGGGTATCAGGATAAAGTCGAGGCGCATGAGCAGCTTGCGATCCTAGGGATGCCGAATTCGGTCAGCTTCATTGCCCATTCTAGCCCAGCAGACGTCGTCGGTGTGACACAGGTGAGGGAGCGAGGAGGACGAAAGGAGTGGAGGGATCACCCATGGTGTAACAAATACTCACAATGCGGGCCTTCTCCTCGTCGCTCAGATGCGCATCCGGGTCCGGAGGCATATCCGAAATCCTCACGACGCCATTGTCGTTGGGCTGGTGGTCGGTGATGACCTTCTCGCTGTCGCTCATCTTTGCTGTTTCTGAGCACGTCTTTGACTTGGTAGATTCGACTGTGAACAGAAATGAGGCAGCGATCTTCTTTTTGTCGGTTTGTCGGCTGCAAGTCGCCTACGTGATCCGAGGCTGACAAGAGTGGCAGGAAGGGAAGAGGAATTGAGAAAAATTGATTTAAGAAAGTGACACAAATGTGCGTGCGTGGGGAAGGAGCTGACGAGTGCCGTATCAAGGTAGAGTGAGCGCAAGTAGGCAGTCACCCCGAACTCAGACTGGAGTCAACGACATCTGCCAACCCGCAGGAATAGAACAGGACTCGCAAGAGATGTATTCAATGGAAAAGGGCAAGGGTCGTGAACGGACGGGGTCCGTGTCGATCACCAGTGCAAGGATTCCTTCGGCATGCACGGGAGCAGCAGAGAGATCTGTGCAACGGAACGGCAAGCAGCTCTGGATGCAGTCAAGTACAAGGAGAAGCGCGCGGGGGATTGGAGAGGCAGTGAACAAGAAAGCGGAGAGGGGAGCGGCGAAGCGTGTGTCTTAATAGAAAGATAAGCTGTATCTAACTACCTGCACTGGAAGACCAGACTTGAGCACCGAGCAAGATATATCTATCTGCAGGGAATTGCCAATACCACCCTGCCCGCACTCACCCTCCTCCACCCCAATGGTCAACAATCTAACCCCAAAAAAGAGCACCTCCACGTTGTTCGTGGGGATGAGCAGACGAGGGGAAACTCTCCACCATGCGGGATGGATGACGACCGGCAAGCCAGCTCGGTTGCCACACACAGCCAGGGTACATCCACAGTCGTGTCAGAGTGGTCGTGTCAGAGTGGCCGTGTCAAGTACGGTACCTACATAGGTAGGCTATTGGGGCACGAACGGGGTACCGTCGTCGTTCGAGGGAGCGGTGGCCAGGCGGGCGGCGGGTTGGGGCAGCGATGGAGAGCACTGTACGCGGAACGCCCGCCCGCCCGGTCCACAGAACAAGCTGGCACACCTGGGCAGTCGAGGTCACTCTGCCGATGGGTGTACGTTACGGACTCGACGATGGGGGCCCGATCAGCGCGCCTTTGTTGGTGCGCATCACTGTTCATTGGCCGCCCACAGCGATGGTGATGGGAGGAACAGGATCAAACCCTTGGCTAGCTTGGCTCCGTCAGTGGCGGGAGCGAGTGGATGCTTGTTTTGCTCCTTAGCGCGGGAGGAGTGGCACCTTTGGGCAATGGCGGGCAGGCCGCAGGGGGGGGAATCCCGGGGTAATGAGAGCATATGCCGGCGCTTTTGTGCTAGCTTCTTGGGGTGTGGATGTGTGTCCTTGCGCGAGTGCGGCAACAAAAGTTGGGGGCCCTCCCTCGGGCCCTCCCTCGAAACGGGATGGCCACCTCTCACGCCGTACGGACAGCATGTGTGTGATGGTCTGATGGCCTTCCCAACGCCAACCGAAATGAGAGCTGGAAGGTGCTGCCTCGTCGGCTCTCGTTTCTTTTGCCGGATGCCGTGCTCGAGATTGCCGTGTTCGACCGTGGCGTCCCGGAAACACCCATTGGCTCTTTTCCGATTCCGACAAGACGGAAGCGAGCCCAAGCCGAGGAGGCACTGGGACGCGAGGTTGAGATAGGGTTATCTGGGCCTGGTACACTTTCGGTCATCATTACGGCATGCCGGGACGTGCTAGACGGCCATGTATCATCATCGATGGACGAGCTCGAGTCCGATCAGTGCCCATCAGATCAGAGCAGAGAACCATCCGTCTCAAACGGGCGGTCGTGCTGCGCGTGCGAAACCACCTACGCAAGAATCTCGCGCCTCGCACAAATATCACGCGACGGTCGGCTGTCAAAGGGCGCAATTTAGAGTTGAGAGGGTTGTCTCAGTGCAATCGCCAAACACTGCCGGGGACGAGCGGTCCTCATCCCGTCCTGTCCTTGGAGCTGGGCCAGTATCGCCGACGGAAATGCGAATGGGAAGGGCTGGCGCTCGGCTTACACAGCTAGTAGTACTTACTGGCTACCTTAGTTCACCTACTTTAGGGTGACATCGAGGAAATCGCCCTACATCACGGCCCCATATCCAAGCCGCATCATCTGTGACCTCGACTCCTGTCTAAGATGCGGGCGTGCGACACGACGACGGGGACCACAAGGTCGTACTCGATCAGATCAGGATCGCTCCCTGGGGCCCGGCAAGCGAGACCCCAGAGTGTTACGGCCTTGAAGCTGATTCGCGAGCAAGCATCCAGCGCAAGAAACTGTCTCGTCTCGCGCGCGGGAGATGTCGCATCGTTCACTGGGGAACTGGGGAATGCGCCGGATCATGCCATGGGCAGGGGAAAGTCCACTAGGTTCAGACACTAAGAAGGACGACGAGCAGTGCTCCAATTCGAGCGGACAGGCGGAGAGAGGCGCGGTCGCAAGCCGTTGCCATGGTGGGTTTATGCTGACCATGCATTGTGAATGCTCTGGACTGGGCGCATGTTTGGCTATGTCTGCCCCGCATGTGTAGTGTATATGGAGTTGGTAGTGAGCTTTCAACAAGGTTGTTTCTTGGTCTTTGGTGTACCTTGGGCACGAACCCCACCAGTTTCGACATCATTCCCCATCAGCTACTTGTAGAAAAGCCACACCGAGCGCCACCCCGGGTTAGTGGTCTTGTATTTGTTCTACTCTCCTTCCTTTCCCGGCAAGGTCGATTCGGTACTTTTGCGTCCGGTCCAGGCTTGCCTTGGCGGGGAGGTATGCCCTGTTGACGAGCTTGTCTGAGACTACTGGTTCGAGGTGGACGTTCTCTTGAGAAAGAGAGATACTGTGTGGCCTTGGCTCCCGAGTCTCCATCCTTGGCAGGCAAGGAAAGTAAAGAAAGGTATTCATCTCATCTGCAATGCGGCGGCATGCCAGTCTGGATGTCGTGTCTGGGTTCAGGCGCTGCTAGCATCGTGCAACAGCCATGCATCATCTCTGGTGACCACGACAGAAGGAGCATTGGCACATGGCAGGAGTGGTGAGCGAGACTGTACTCACTGAGGTGCTGCAGCATGTCTCTGGCCACTCATCCTGGGCCAAGCCCGGCCGCGCATGGCTTCCCCGGCTGGGAACCTGGAGTCGAGCAGGGCCAGCAATCTCCGGCCGTCCAGCCGGGAAGGAGTGAGAAACAATCTCGCAATGCCATTGTCCCGGACCGAGCGCACGCGCGCAGAGATGCAGCCGTTTTCGTCTGGCTTCCTGTTGACCGAACCTGGGCTGATTATCGCGAGATCCGCTCCTGTCAGCGTTGCATTCGGGGTACTCAGCATGGGGGAAGCAGGGATGTTGGGGGGGGCTCCTGCGCTGTCTGATATCTCGTGGCATCTGAGTCAATAGTCTCGACTCAACTCGATATTGGGAATCCCTGGCTGCTGGGCGCTGAGACGCCGATTCGAGGGCACCTGGCCTCTCCTCGCTAGGTACCTGGTAGGCGTGCAGAGCGCCATGCCAGCGACGCCCAGAGCTCAATATATTTGCGGAAGCCTACATACAGCCACCCGTAAGACAGCGCCAGGGATGGCCCCTGGTCTATCTAGTGAGGTGCCCCAATAGGCTTCAGCCCAAGGCTCCATAGCGGGTGTGGCAGTCGAGTTAGATGCAGGAATATGCAGGCGCCGGGCGCAATCCCCGGGTGACAAGAGGCTGCGTAGCCTGGTCCACGTGGCGAGCGGCCTTTTTCTCTCAAAGGAAGCCTTCTCGATGCAGTAGTTGGGCATGGCTTGCATAGGCGCGAGGAAAATTCCGAGTCCCCTGATGGTGGCAAAGGCGGGAAGGCGGCCAAGCACTTTCCCCCGAGGTTGGTGAGCAGGCATCACGAAAGAGGGTTGCAAAGTCCTCAGCCAGTTATCGTCTTGGCGCATCCATTTCCGAGGGTGTAGCTGTGCGACGCCGGCGAGACGGATGATGAGACTGAGTCTCTCTTGAGAGGCGACGACCACGGTCCCCCCTTTCTCTTCGCGTACAGCCAAGAATCGCAGAGGCATGCCAATGTTCTTGACCGTGACAGTGTCCAGGCTGAGGAAGGAATCAGGGAGCAGAGATGTGAAATCAAGGTCCGAGAAGTTCTAGCGCCAAGTCCTTCGATCGTGCCATCTTGGCCCCATGCTCACCAACCGGCAGTGCTACCTCACAGATGCGACAGTAAAGTCGAGAATCATGATGCAGGAACCATTGGCTTTGGCTGTGTCCTGGTTGAGTTCAAGGTCTATGGGTGCCGGAAGTCCACGGTCGGTCCTGGGAAGTGTTGAAGCTAGCGTCTCTTCTCGGGCGCCGTGAGAAAACCGCTCGTGGGGCGGGCTGACCCGGCCTTGCTGACCCACAGCTGACCTGAGTTTGTACGCCAATGCCGGCATCGTCATCTCAGCTAAGCACAGCACTCCAATAATTGCAAAAAAAATCAATCGGCCCCGTGCCTCGGGTTGCCTGATCCCAACTTACCCCGGACCCGCGGCTGTCTTTCTCTCCTGGGTGGGCGCCCGATTCACCCCGGTCAAGATGCCGAAAACCGTATGTATCGTTGGTATGTGACCGCGTCGCCGCTCTCACCCCACGCAGCCTGCCTGCCCCTCGGGCCTTTCATTCACACCCCGGCCGGTTGCCGCGGTTGTTCTTAGCAATCGAACTGACCCGCTCACAGGCGCCGGGCCCTCCGGCCTCGTCGCCGCCAAGACCCTCCTGCAGCAGGAAGGCCCCGGCTTCCACGTCACCCTCTTCGACGCGCAGCCGCGGATCGGCGGGCTCTGGCCCTCGTCGCCGCGCGGAGAGGCCGCCGTCGCCGCTACCGGGCTCGTCCACCCGCTCATGCGCGCCAACCAGAGCCGCCACACCGTCCAGTTCAGCGACCTGGCCTGGGACGCCGCCGACCCGCAGTTCCCGCCCGCCTGGCAGGTCGGCCGGTACCTGAGCCGGTACGCGGAGCGCTACCTCCTCACCGCCGCCGCCGGTGCTGCTGCTGCTGCCGCCATCCGCCTCGGGTGCCGGGTGGAGACGGCGGAGCCGGTGGTACCCGGAGATAGCGCCAGGGGGTGGAGGGTCACGGTGCGGGACGTGGCCGAGGACCGCGTGGAGGACGCCGGCGTGTTTGATTACCTCGTCGTTGCGTCCGGGTTCTTCAGCAAGCCCATGATCCCCGCTGAGCTGTCCCTCTCGCCGGCCGCCGAGGTACCTGTCATCCATAGCAGCCGATATCGCGACTTGGAGGGTCTGCTTGAGAAGGCATCGGGCCAGGGTGGCAAGATCGTCATCGCCGGCGGGCAGATGTCTGGTGTTGAGATCGCCGGCACGATTGCGACGCATCTCTCATCCGCAGTCAACTCCCCAGGCACTCCTTCCATTCCCAACGCGGACAAGTACACGATCCACCACATCATCCAGCGACCTTCCTGGACATTCCCTCTGCTTACATCGCCGAAGGTTTGTATTGTCCTCAGAAGATGGGCGCGCACAGAAGACGATGAAGCTTGACTCACTGACGTGTTCTAGGCGGGCCACGCAGCAGCACCTTTCCTACCCTGCGACCTGCCATCATACAACCTCTCTAACCGACCCCGTCCGCTGGTGAACAAACAAGGCCACATCAGCATTGAGGCCGCGCAGACGGCCAACAGCGTGTTCCAAGGCGTCATCGGCACGGACCAGTCGGACTTCTCCCCCCAGCTGGCCATCGGGGGCGACGCGCTCGACGACCCGCCCTACATCACTTTCAGCGACACCTACCTCGAGTTCGTCCGCTCGGGGCTCATCACCGTCTCCCACGGGAAACTCGCCGGCGTGGACGGCACGACGGCCACCCTCTCGCCCCCGGGCGAGGAGGCCATCTCCGACGTCGCGGCCGTCGTCCTGGCCACGGGCTTCGACGCCAGCTCGGCGATCGCCTACCTGCCCCCGCAGACGCGGGAGGCCCTCTCCTTCTCGCCCGCGCACCACCCGGACCTCCCCGTCGCCCTCGCCTTCCACGGCACGCACCACCCCTCCGTGCCGAACCTGGGCTTCGTCGGGTTCTACCGCTCGCCGTACTGGGGCGTCATGGAGATGCAGGCGCGCTTCCTCGCCGCGACCTGGTCCTGCGCCGCGACCGCCACGCCCCTGCCGCCGGCGCTCCGGAGCGCCCTCGAGAGGGACGACTCCGTCGAGCGCGTGCTCGCCCTGCGCGCCGACCCGGCCCGCACGTCCCAGTTCCCGATGGGCGACTACGCCTTCCTCATGCAAGAGTTCGCCGCGGCGCTGGGCCTCGAGATCTCGGCGCCCGTCGGTCAGACGCCGCCCTTGCCGCACAACGGCCTGGGCATGGACATCCTCACGCCGGCGCGGTACGCGGCGGTGGCGGCGCAGGCGGCGGGTGGTCGGGGACGACAACAACAGGAGGAGGAGGTCGCCGCCAGCCTGCGGCAGACCTTGGACACGGCCGTCGCCGGGCTGGCGCGGGGCCGGTTCGTCGCGGCCGCCGTCTTCCGCTCGCTGCAGGGCGAGTGGTCGCTCGAGCGGGACCTCGCCAGCGCGCTGCCCTCGCACCCGAGCGGGCACTTCAGCGGCACGGCGCGCTTCCTGCTGCGCGGCGGCACGGCCGACGGGCGGCGGGGTGGTGTCGAGCAGGCGGCAAAGGACGGAGACTACGAGTTCGAGCAGCCCGGGCTCGAGTACCTCTACGTCGAGGACGGCGAGTTCAGGGCCGAGAACGGCATGGCGTTCCGCGCCACGAGGCGGTACGTGTGGCGGTACGACGAGGCGCGCGACGCGCTGAGCGTGTGGTTCGCGCGGACCGACGACGCCAGGAGGGCCGACTACCTGTTCCACGAGGTCGAGTTCATCGTCCCGGAGGAAGGGGAAGGCGACGACCCTGGGCGCGGGTGGCAGGCCAAGGCGGGGCATTTGTGCGTAGAGGACTTTTACGACGTCAAGTACGAGTTCAATTTCAAGGCGGTAAATCTGAAGGATTGGAGGCTGGCGTATACGGTCAAGGGGCCTAAAAAGGACTACACGATCGATGGAGTTTACAGACGGGTTAGAAAGACTTAGAGAGAGAGAATAGACGAGGAATAGAGAAGAAGTGTCATTATCCTTGGCCCTTCGATTGTTTAGTTTTTGCTCCCTCTCATCATACCCGAGCCATAACCCACCATCTACATAAGAACGCCCTGCAAAAAAATCCAGATCCCGCTCCCCTTGCCGCCAATCAGATGCGCACCGGCGCCGACTCGCGCCTCACCAGCAGGTGCCCCTCCCGGACGAGCGAGTTGTCGCACGGCACGCGGCGCATAAAGTCCTCGAGGTTGCGCAGCGTGCACTCGGCGATCTCGCCGAGGGCCTCGTGGGCGAAGAAGCCCTGGTGGCCGCAGATGAGCACGTTGTGGAAGGTCATGAGGCGCGTCAGCTCGTCGTCGTCGATGATGTCGGCCGAGTGGTCGTTGTAGAAGATGGCGCCCTCGCCCTCGTAGACGTCGAGCGCGAGCCCGCCGAGGCGCTTGCTCTTGAGCGCCGCGATGACGTCGCGCGTGCGGATGAGCCCGCCGCGCGACGTGTTGACGAGCATGGCGCCGGGCTTCATGCGGCCCAGGCTCGCCTCGCAGATGACGTGGCGCGTGGCCTCGGTCAGCGGGCAGTGCAGGCTGACAAAGTCGCTCTCGGCCAGCAGCTCGTCGAGCGCGACGTACTCGCCGCCGAGGCCGGCCAGCTCGGCGGACGGGTAGGGGTCGTGCGCGAGGACGCGGCAGCCGAAGCCGGCGCGCATGATGCGCGCGAGGGCGAGGCCGATGCGGCCCGTGCCGACGACGCCGACCGTCTTGCCGTGCAGGGTGCGGCCGAGCAGGCCGTCGAGGCGGAAGTTGCCCTCGCGCACGCGGTTGTAGGCGCGGTGCGTGTTGCGGTTGAGCGTCTGGATCAGGGCGACGGCGAACTCGGCGACGGCCTCGGGCGAGTAGGCGGGCACGTTGGCGACGAAGAGGCCCAGGCGCTCGGCGGCGGCGAGGTCGACGTGGTTGTAGCCGGCGCAGCGCAGCAGGATGGCGCGCACGCCGGCGTCCGCCAGGGCCGCGAGCACGGGCTCGCCCAGGTCGTCGTTGACGAAGGCGCAGACGGCGCCGGCGCCGTGGGCGAGGGGCACCGTCTCCTCCGACAGAGGGAAGTCGTGGAAGACGAGCTCGAGGGCGGGAGGCGGGGAGTCGGCCTGGGAGCGCGCGGTGTTGACCTGGGTCAGGTAGTCCCGGTCGTAGGGCTTTGCGCTGAAGACGGCAAGCTTCATGGTGGCGGCGTCGAAGGCAGCCTGGTCTGTTTTGGCTGTCTGTCGAATAGCAGTTCTCGCAGTTCACGAATGCAAGGTATGAAATCCTTATTGTATTTGTCGTCGAGCAGTGTCAACACGACAGTCATCAAGGCTGCTTTTGGAGGGAAGAAAGTTTGTTGCCGACGAGTCGTGCTGAGACTGGCGACTCGACTCGGGGCCTTGTCTTCAGAGTTCCTGCCGTTGCTTCCGCCAAGACGCAGCGGTCAACCCGGAACATGAAATCACGCATCATCTGGTCGCACAGCAGTTAATTTCGCGTCATCAAGTGCACTTCTCTACCCGTAACCTCGCCATTATGGTCAAGAATGAGAGCACAAACAGCGCATTTTAACAAGATGTCCATTTCCACCGCAGGTCACCTTCGCCGCAGTTGCGATGACGTACAAACAAATCACCCTGGGCCAGGAAGCTCCAGAGCTCCATCAACCCCACCTGCCAAAGCTGTCCAGCTGGGCTCCGAGGCTCCTCATGGTGGGGTACAGGCACCAGGCACCTTGTGTGGAGCCTTTTCACTGCTGTAACCCGCTCTAGAGCTGACTTCCAGTAGTGTCTTCTAGGCGGGGCTGATGGTAGGGACAAGGGACAGCTAGCCCCTCCGTCCATGCACGATCAGCTCGAGCTTGAACTTGTTGCGGGTTAGTCTACCCCCGATTTAACTAAACCATCTGTAGAATATTGGAGATACGGGTGCATCGTTAATAAGCTTTTCAGGGAATTTCATATGCACAGCTTACACAGAACTACCTAGATAGTGCCTGTGCTTGTCTCCCAATCAGCAGCATTTCTCTTGTTTGTAGCGCCAAGGTGTTTACTTGTTCGTCGCGGTCTTCTGGGGCGATGACCACAATGATCTTGAATTACGGCAGAGAAGGCTTCGGGCCGCATCTTTGCTTGATGCACATCCTCGCCTTGCAGACAGACTATTGGCAATAGTGGGAGCTGTGACACAGTCACATGGATCGCCGTCCACTTCCACTCCAGTCTGGAATTGCGAGCGTGACCAGTCAGGCCCCTCTACAGCCTGGCATGGATCTGTCTTCATGCGACCGGTGTGATCAAAATACTCTACCGGGTTAGGAGTGGGCCCGGCTATTGTTTCCTCACGTCCGACTGGCAAGTCTGCGAAAGCCGAGCGAGGGGGGCAGGTTGACCGGGCTGATTAGGCTGCAGATACCCAGTGTGTAGTTCTGCTTCTCGCAGGTCACTGATGTCTTGCAACTGGCTCGGCGTTCTCCGCCAGTTCCGAGTTCTGCGCATAGTCACTGAGCAAGGCAGCCAATGGCATCAACCGGTTTCAAGCACCAGTCCTGTTCCGATCACCACCTGCAGCGACGGTCATACCGCACATGTAGGCTATGCTACTGAACCCCTGTCTGCATGTGGGCATCTCTTTTTTCTTCCAGGGATTCCTGTTGCCGAAAGTCTCACCAAAATATCCGGTCAGTAACAGTGTTGAAAGCCATTTGGTCCAACATGCTACCTAATCAATGTTGTTGGGTGTCTCGCTACAACATTCTCAGTCCAAGAGTAGTAGTTGTGAGCAGATCAAACATACTAAAAGACCAATAATAATCCAGACGGAAGTTGAGATCCTCTCTCCAAAGGAGATCGTAACATGTAGACGCTCCCTTCGTAGCTGTGAGCCACTCTCGCAAAGGTCCTCGAGCACACCTGCGCAATATGAAGCCATTCAACCCCAAGAAGCCATGTAAATACAACGGAATGAGACTCAGATTTCGAACACCTGCGTCAAGCTGGGCCAAAGCTCCAGTATCTTCCTCTGGCCGAAGCTGCCAACTCGTTGCCAACGTACCAGGAGCCGTGGTAATTGAAGACGGCGAACTCGGCCTGGGTCATGACGTAGGTTTTGGGTGCGGCTTCGATCTTGGCCCAAATGCGTGCCATCTCGGTTTCGAGCATCTCGCGCACCCGGAGGTCTGCAGCACCCTCTGGAGAGTCCCGGGCCAACTCAAGTGCCTCGGCCACGGTCTTGGGCGTCGGAATCTCGACGACAGGTACCGCATCATTTTTATTGGAGGGTCCTACCTCCTCGGAGCTGCCCATGTCTGTATGGTCGTCTGTATGGTCGACAGGAGGGATTGGTTGTACGTCTGCCCGGAAGTTTGGCTGAAAGCTGGGCAAGAAGCTGTGGAAGGACGCTTGGCGTAATAGATAGGTTTGAAGATTGAGAAGGATGAGTGCGGATGACGGCGTGAGCGAAGAAATGGGACATCCTCGCCTTATGCGCAGTCTCGTCACCACCGGCTTCTCTGTATTGAGGCACCCCATGCACATCGGCTGCCTTCACACCGAGAGAGCGCCAAAGGTTCAATCACTGAATCCCACCCCGCCTGTAGCCGATTCCAGGGCGAATCAGAGCTCCCATGAGCCATGACTGGCGGTGTTCAAATATAGTAGACCGGAAGGGGGCTGGCTTGGCAGCAGCCTGTCGACGAACTACGAGGTAGGACAAGCTCCACTACGTCGCCGTCAAGGCAACTTGGAACGTTCCATCTGGAGGGTGAGAGAGACCACACGAAGAAAGCCCATCTCCCCGAGTTGTTGGTTGTCTGGTCAAAGGATGACATCACATCACTACAAGCCATGGAGGAAACTTACCAAGCAAGTCTCCTCAACCAACTGCGTTACGAATGAACCATTGAGTTGTTCTAAACTCCGTCCAGTGACCCTCAATACTGGCTGGCTAACTTGCATCACCTCTTTATCATTTCCGCTAGCTTCGTAGACTTTGCTTGAATCTCTTGGTAAGTTTGGTATCTCATTGGTCTGTCTGAAGTTCGCGTACCCATTTACGGATTGCAGTCAGGTAGTCACTTCCATGACCAGTTCAAGAGTACATGTACGAACAGGTTAAACAATATATGGTTCCATGGCCCTATCGATATGCCATTCATTCTAATGAAACAGAAGAGGGCATTCGTGTACAAATCTAAGGCTGTTCTGTTATCCAAAGCACAACGCGTTCTAGAATGATAACTTAAAGTTGCGTGAGGTAGCTATGACCGGCACCTGCCTGATCATCTAAGCAGAGCTGCTTGAGTGTGTTGCTCGGGCTGGGATACGCTCCACGCACAAAATCTCTGCCTTGAGGACAAGCTCGCCATTCTCTCCATCTCTCTCAATGAACGGTTTCCTCTCCACATGCAGATCCATTCTATTCCTACGCAAATCAAATTTCAGCCACAACCACCAGCCGACAGACGAGACGAACACGATCCACGCGACCAGGAGCCCAGTGTAGGAATGGATGACTTTCTCCACCCGTATACTCGGCGACACAAAAGGCCCAACGACTATCAGCGCGAAGCCAGCGGTTGCTATCAGCACCGGCAGCGGGTCCAGCCACGGCAAGAACTTGACGATGCCGTACCATCCCCTTCCACGCGACCCGCGGGCCCACGAGTCGATATTAAGGTAGAGCAGGCCGCCGGCGGTAAGAGTGCCCAGAATGCCCACGACGGTAAAGACCTTGAGGGAGGTGAGGAGTTCATACGCATCGGGCGGGTCGAGAGCTAGTCCTGCCGCTAGGATGAGGATAACCTCGAAGACCGAGTGGAGAAATGTCGCCGCGATAGGAACTTGCTCTGCGTGTTGGTCAATTTCGTCCGCCAATATCCCTGTCCCCTTGGGTCTCGACCGCGACAGCCTTGAGATGAGAGATTTACTCCCCGTGGCAAACATGAGAGAATATGGCAGAATTCCCTCTTTTGCAATCTCTTGTTTGACTCGGGATCCTGTGAACGTCTGCGTCATGATGTTCGCGAAGGCGAAGAGGGCCAGGATCACATTGACGGCTCTAGTAGAGGTGGTAGAGGTGTCTTTCTTGCCAGAGATTTTCTCGAACATGGACGCCAGCATTTCTTCCTTGCCGCCTTTGTATGGTGATGTGCAGAGATAGCCGACATTGGCTAACGGATAGAACACCAGTGCGAACCCGAGAGCACAAATGGCAGCCTTGGGAAATGTACGCCTAGGGTTTCGAACCTCCGCCAAAACGTAGAATGGCTGCTCAAATCCGGAATACGGGAAGATAGCCAAGAACAATGTCACCAAATTGACCGCCGTTTGGGCTTTTCCTGGCCCAAGTGATCTGGCGACAGCCATCACCGTTCATGGTGCCGTAGATGATACCGATCAGGTTAATCACAACCACAAAGAGCACCTTTGCAACGGCGAACAAGTTGTTGAGACCGATGGCGAATTGCCTTGCGGAGATGTTGATCAAGGCACAGACGATCACCACCCCCAGTGCCCATCCTACGACAACCCCTCTCCCGCACCGGTCGTCATTTCTGCACCCCGGATCGGTGAGCGTGGCCATGGAGATACCGAACTGAATGGCGTTGCCTGCCAGGTGTCCAAACACGATGAAGATGACGCCGAAGACGCACGTGGCCAAGAATTTGGGTTTGTGGTAGATGTACTCGAGCTGCGTGTCACATCAGCCACTGCGCCAACAAACATTGCCTCATTCAGTGCTTTACAAAGTTCTTGTCTCCTCCGCTCCTCGGCGTCGACACCACGGCTTGCGTCCCGTCCTCGTCAACGTGGCTGAACAGGGGCACAGTCATGCCCAGTTCCAGCCAGCAAAGGAGCAAGCACATGATGATGATCCCGGCGACGACCCATAATGTGATCGCCACGCCTGGGCTGCCGGTGTACATCAGGATGCTTGCAGGTAGCGAAAAGATGCCCGTTCCTATGGTCCGGTTGAGGATGAGTGCTGCGACGGTGAACGGACCGAGTCGCTGTGCAGAGGTAGGGGAGAGATCGATACCCTTGAGGATCGGAATGTCAGCACATCCATGAGCTCTCATGGGGGTTTCCGGAAAGCATTAAGAAAACCTCACCTCTTTCCTAGCATCGAGTGCTGCAAGTCGGCGCCTTAGGTCGTCCCTGTCACTCAATGACACGCCTACATCTCGTGCTGCCACCTGCGGGTCTTCAGTTGCACTGTTTCCAAAGGCCATAATGTTCAATCGTCTCTCCAGTGTCAAAGAGCTTTTCCAGAAGTGCCAGGACGACAAGACCGTAGTGTTCGTGGAGGTGCTTGGCATATGCCGCCTTAATGAAAGACTTGGGTAGCTGGCGACTTCGGTGAACATGGAGTTTATCTCGCATGCTGGCGCGGCCTCTGCCTCCTTGTATCACTGTGGTGCACCGGCAGTGCATTCATGGTTACTTCTTTTCATCACCGTCGGCCCTATCACCCTGCAGGCCACCCGGGTAGGTAGCACTTGAGCTGTTGGCTCTGGCATATTCCATAAGACAGTTCGGGGCGAAGCCAATCAACGGAGTGTGTGACACGGCATCTGGCATCGAGCGTAGACGCAGCGACTGAGACAAACACTCTTCGTGCGCAGTAAGCCGCATGCCAAGCGGCTGGCGACAAGGCAGACTTTTCGAGCCGCGCACCTGGTTGATCAGTCTTTGAGCAGCGAGGCCATTCGTCGCCCCCCAGTTCCATCATCTCACCCTTATTCCCCAGTTTCCCCAGACCCTCCTGGCAACTGGATCGAAGTCTGCTGCGGTTCGCTCTAACCACCAAAGAGTATTGCTCCTTAGCGTGATGAACAGAATCTCCACGGCCGATGTCTCGCACAACTACAACCTCGAGGCTCCTGACGCAACTTTCGACTTGGTCGCAGTCGATGGGAACGCCCATCGGATCGTAGTATGGCGAGCGTGCGGCGCAAAGGATAGGCTGCGCATCAGCGAGACGATTCAGAAGGCAGGAGAGCCAGAGTTCCCATCGGGAGTCATCAGATACCTCTACATTGGCAGAGATGCAGTGCTGCCGATGTATGCCGTTACGGTGTACCGAGCTGCGGAATAGAACATCGAAGTGCGCTATGATTAGGGAGGCGAGTCTGTCATCTATTCGTTTCAAGACAGGGACCAGGCTCTTTCGTTCCAGGGCATGGTAACTGGGTACGATGTTATATCCTGCTTCGAGAACACACTGGTATACATGACGTATCGGCGACATCCCAACGAGTTAGAAAACGCCTTGAAGCTCAGGCCGGATCCAGAGTTCAGTGGAGTCGGTGAAGTTCAACTTTGGAAACGAAGGACACTGTCAGCCGGGACGCGGCCAGGCTTTCCTCCGAACGCCGCGGGCAGTGGGCCACGGTCGGATTTGAGCACCGGCTCCAGATACAGAGGGTGAGCGACAGCTTGAGCGTATATACCGAGCCCTTGACGGGACGGGAGATTTGTGTCTCCGAGCCTGTCCCCAAGCCATTACTGGTCATGTTCGTAAAGGAGAAGAGTGGCTCATACAGCATGCTTAGGACAGAAAGTTAGTCGATGCCCATGGCGAATCATCTCTCTCAAACTGGAATACTAACTTGGACAGTCCCCTTGCTATCTCCAGTCGTGAGGGAGAACAGTCTCATCCTCCAACCTAAATCCGAATCTGGAAAGAATAGTTTCACCGTCAAGAAGCTGACTTGACAGCTCTTGGAATCCAAGATCTCATTCGGCGAGGTCACTGTACAATCGGGCTACCAAGAAAATCATCCGGGACTCCCAGGTCGTCATCCTCCTCTGCAGCGGTGCCTAGAATACCAATGCTTCCTGCATTCGAGCTCCATGCCGAAATCTTCGAACGGGGGAACATAGCAGAATTAAGTGAAGAAGCCAGTCGAGAGGTAACAAGGGAGTTACGTAGCTAAGGGAATTTTCTTTGTTAGTTCTATCTTCTTTTGTCGGATATACAAAATAAGGATTCAATGCAAATTAATAAATGAAGGCACAAGCTCTGAGTCTCTGTTTAGAGAAGAGGATTGTTCTTATGAAATCATATCCGATGTCCGCGAATTATATTCGACTCAATTAGCACTTGGTAGTGCTGATTGGACCTTTCTGAAAGACCAAGACACTGTCAAACCAATATCTTCATGGTCGACATTAGAATTAACTTATTTTCCCTAGTCATTCTTGACAGACTTTTGGATGCTGTTATGATGGATGCTCAAATTTCAAAGCTTGAGGTAATTATAACCTCCATAAGCTGTAAGTTGAAGCACATGTCCCATTCATATAGCTGTAGTCGTCGAAGTTGGCGCCTAACAAAAATGCTTGCACTCAGGATAGCACTCGCCGCCAGACTTAAGAAGCTTAAAGCCGATCACTACATGCAGGTTCCGGGACGTTAATAATCCAGCACTGGGACTACCGCGCCCGTGCCTGATGAAAAGTCAGCAGATCATGGGCCCGGCTAAAGGTGAGGGAGGAGCTGGCGCTTGGCACCAATGACAACGCAAGCCAAGAGTGCAAGGATCGATTTACAGATGACTGTCAAATAGTCACTGCAGCCGGAAATTTACCAGATTGACCATCTGCCGGCATGCTGGCCGTTCCGCCGGCACTTCTACAAGTAGAAGACATAGGGTCCCATCGCCGCTACTTATTATTTACGATGCCGTGCCGCGCTGACTGGATGTGCGGTTCCTATCTCAGAGTAAGTGCTGAGATCGATCCCCAGGTAGATAGCCATGGGATTGCTGCAATTTGTCTTGACCCTTGCGACCGCATGCCATGCGGTCAACGGGCTCGATGCTGAAGTCGTCTCTGGGCGTGTGGCGTCGCCACGGGTGGATGCTATGCGGCGCGACTACAATGCCAAAGCATCACACTCTTTGCCCTTGAGAAAGGGTGTCAGGAAGCCGGGCCCGGGAAGCGCTCTTCAGCGGAGACAAAATGGCACAGCGCAAGTGGTCAACCACAATGACTTGTACTACATCGTGGACATTGAGGTCGGCGACCAGACCATCCCGGTGAATGTCGATACTGGATCGAGCGACACGTGGTTCGTCCAGGCCCCGTTTCAGTGTGTCGACATGATCGGGATTCCTCGACAGGTAAGCAGGCGCTCTTTCTTGTTTCATCTGTCCCACGTTTACTGCTGTCCGCAGACGAGCTTCTGCTGACTCCCAGGTCCGACATCAGATGAAGCACTGCGGCTTCGGCTCCGGCTTCAACGGCAACTTTTCGGGCGGTGCCATCCCCAACATCCGCTTCTCCCGCTCGTATGGAGACGGAACCTTCGTCTCAGGTTACTTTGGGTACGAGGACGTCACCCTGGGCGGGCTCAAGGTGCCGCACCAGCAGCTCGCCATGGTCAACTTCACCTACTGGTGGGGCGAGGGCCTGACATCCGGCCTGCTGGGCCTCGCCTACCCGTTCATGACGGGCATCGATGAGCCGTCGCAGCAGTACGACCCCATCTTCACAAACATGTGGAAGCGGGACAAGTCCGTGGCGCCCATGTTCAGTCTCGCGCTGTCGCGGGAGGACCCGGCCGCGAAGACCGAGAGCAGCTTGCTGGCGTTTGGGGGTGTTCCTCGCGGGGTCGACTACGATGAGGACTCGTGGGCCAAGGCGCCGATTCAGTCGATGGAGATGATGCAGGGATGGGGCATCGACAAGCCCGAGCGCGGCCTCTACCTTATTATCGCGGACAACTTTATTTACGGGCCGCGGAATGGGACCGCAGAGGATGCAAAAACGCTGCAGCTGGGCTCTCCAGCGAGTCTGGATGGCATGACGACGAATTTGACACAGTTCCCTGTGCTGATAGATGCTGGGTCGACGATGACCAGATTGCCGGCCGGTAAGTGCACATATCACTTCTGGACTGGGTTGCTCTCGCCACCACCCCAGGGGCTTTAATGTAGCTGACTGACAGATCCACCGCACAGCCATGGCTCGAGAAGTATTCGCCGCCTTTGATCCGCCGGCAGAGTATCTGTATAGCGAGGGTGCTTGGTATGCCGATTGCAAGGCCAAAGCTGCAGCCTTTGGCGTCACCATTGGGGGCAAGACTTTTTGGATCCAACCCTCGGACCTACTACGACAGAGTACTCGAGACCGGGAGACGAAATCCAAGTGCCGTGTGGGCCTCTACGACGACGAGGTGCCTCCGTACGTACTGGGCATCACCTTTCTAACCAATGTCGTAGCGGTGTTTGACGTGGGCGCGACGGAGATGCGATTTGCAGCTAGGAAACATTACTGAGAGCACTTCCATCAGAATCATCAAGTCCTTGGGAAGTCTTCCGGACAGTGCAAGATGGTAACGTTGAGGACAGCGTATGCAATGGTACAATCACTCCTACTGGTCACTACAGCTGGCGCAGATTCGAGAGGAGTGATGATACCTCAAAGCAGTGTTGCGCAAGAAACTCATTGTCTGCGCAGACCTCCGGGAAATTATGGATCAAATCATGATGCTACGCTGTGCCTGTATATATCTTTCAGCTATGTTTTATTCGTAATACACTGTTCGAACACTTGCAAGTGAAAACCGGCCTATCATCGAAGCTGTCTCAAGTTCGAAGCTGCACCACATGATCTAAACATCCTTTCTACTCCGCACCTAATATATCGGCTCTGACTCTAAGCTGCAGGAGGCGTCGAACTTCGGCGGGGTTTTGGAATCACAGACTACCTGCAATGCGAGCCACCCTTGGCGATGAGGGTTTGTAAGTTGGTCTTCCCTGCCATTTGTCGGCGACAGTACCGAAAGGGAGTTGAGATCCCAGCCTGCAAATGTGTGTCCATCTCCATGTGGCGGAGTTTGTCGGAGAATTTTCTGGCCGATCAGCCAATGAATGTCTTCACCTGACTATTAATGCCAGCCGAGCAATATTAATGACCGAGTGTGCAGCCGCGATCGATCAAACCCCCTGCATAGCTCTCCGAGGCTATACCATATTCGCGAAAGGGGGGTCAAAGCATGTGGGAGTGCAAAGTCTTGGCATCGTCCCCGTCCGACATCCACGTGCTTTGAGGTTCATATTCGCGCTTGGAGCGAACTAGTTATTCGGTCCGGCTGCGATCCAGATCTTGGCCGGGGAGACATCTCGACTCTGCAATCGGCCGAGCCGGCAGTTGAGGTGCGTTGTTATCCTGTTTATGCGGGGCTCCACGGGGGCTTGAAGCGTGTGTGCCTCGGAGAGATCTTAGCTAAACCTGGGGAAGGAGGCTTTGCACCTCTCCCCACCTGCTACGTCAATGAGCGCCGCTGTCATCAACGGGGAAAGATGAGTCCTACAGCCTGTCGTGGATGTAGGGATTCTCCTCGGCCTCAATATGGCCGCTTCTGATCAAAAGGGCCGACAGCTGCACTAGTATTCTGGGCGAGAGCTAAAGGCACCTTGCACATCAGGCACATCAGGAACATGAAGGAGGCGGTGGGCTTGAGTTGATGTATATATATTCAGGCTGGCTTGCTCATGGGGAAGGGAGACGGGTCAAGCCACGATATCGTCAACAATACTGGCCAGTACCCCGAGATCTCAGCAAAGAAACAGCCATCAACATGAAGATATTCAGCACCGTTCTTGCCACTCTGGCTCTCGTCCCTTCAGTCTGGGGCCACGGATACATGACGATTCCTAAAAGCCGCACTCGTCTTGGAGCAGAGGTGGTTATCTTTCCCCCGACATTTCCTTCTTTTGGTTATTGCACGAATCTTCCCTGAAGGTGGCTGACCTGAAGAAACTCTATCTATCATAGGCCAAGCTCGACTCTTGTCCAGAGTGCTCCATCCTCGAGCCAGTCAACGCCTGGCCCAACGTTACAGAGGCCCGCGTCGGCCGGAGCGGCCCCTGCGGCTACAACGCCCGCGTCAGCATCGACTACAACAAGCCCGGCAGCGACTGGGGCAAGGCGCCGGTCGTGACGTACCGCGCGGGGCAGGTCGTCGACGTGGAGTGGTGCGTCGACCACAACGGCGACCACGGCGGCATGTTCACGTACCGCATCTGCCAGGACCAGGCCCTCGTGGACAAGTTCCTCGACCCGAACTACCTGCCGACCGAGGCCGAGAAGCAGGCGGCCGAGGACTGCTTCGAGGCCGGCACGCTGAGCTGCACCGACGTCGGCGGGCAGCAGTGCGGCTACAACCCGGACTGCCAGCAGGGCCAGGCGTGCTGGCGCAACGACTGGTTTACCTGCAACGCGTTCCAGGCGGGCGACCGCCGCGCCTGCCAGGGCGTCGACAACGGCCCGCTCGGCGCCTGCTACACGTCCATCGCCGGCGGCTTCACCGTGACCAAGAAGATCAAGATCCCCGACTACGTCTCCGGCCACACCCTGCTGTCGTTCCGGTGGAACTCCTTCCAGACGCCGCAGGTCTACCTGTCGTGCGCCGACATTGCCATCACCGGTGGGTCGGGTACCAATCCCAAGCCTTCTACTACCGTCTCCGCCCCGTCAACCCTGACCACGACGACGAGGGCCTCGACGACGACGACTGGCTCTGGCTGCACGCCCGCGGCGAGCGTCGACGTGACGTTCAACCAGGCCGTCAAGACCAGCTTTGGCGAGACGATCAAGATCGCGGGCTCGATCCCGGCTCTCGGCAACTGGGACACGTCCGCCGCTCCAGCCCTCTCGGCAGCCAAGTACACCAGCTCAAACCCAGTCTGGACGTTGACTAACAAATTTACTGCCGGGCAGGCGTTTGAATTCAAGTTCATCAAGGTGAGCTCGAGCGGAGCGGTGACTTGGGAAAGCGGGCCGAACAGGTCCTTTGCAGTCCCAAAGTCCTGCGAGACGACGGCTACGGTGTCCGCAACGTGGCGGTAGAACATACATGATCGACTTCTTTTGGCTCGAGGACAGATGTGATTGCAAAGTATGCATGGACTGTATATATTAAGGTCAAGAATCATTGGTCGTTTGAGGTTATCACATTTCATGAGAACGAATATTTTGCATGTAGTGTATGTGCACACTTCGAAAAAGGCTAAAACTATCAAAGAGACATCTTTTGCTAGAAGATCATACCTCTGTACGTACCATCCTGATCTACCAATAATTGTTCCCATTGTTCCCATTCGCTTGGGTCGGCATTAAAGGTCAAGAGATCGGGAAACGTGAAGGGTTCGGTCGCACCCAAGCTGGCGACGGCGTCTTCGCCTTCCAGCACGTCATGGTCATCAGTCGAAACCTGTCCAGCAGTAGCGGGTCTGGCCTTCTGCATCGAGTCATCTTCTCCGGTCCCGGCATCTGGATTTCGACATTGACGAATCGCAGTGATATAGTACGGCGCAGGTGGTTCCGGAAGCCCCTCGGCCGCAGCAGCAGCAACGTACTCGCCCCAGACCTCCAGCGTCCAGGCGCCGAGGGCTTTGTAGACGGCGCCGGCCGACTCCTCAAACATCTGGGGGTAGTACGAGAAGACCCGGCCGATCAGCTCCCACACCCTGTCGACCTCGGGCCCCGTCCGGCGGCGCCGCGCCTCGATGAGCGCGTAGAGGATGGCGTTCCAGAGGAAGTTGGTCCCGTGGTGCCACATGTACTTCTCCAGGCCCTGGTGCCCGCCCCTCGTCAGCGTGATGTACTCGAGCTGCTTCATGGCGTTGGCGAAGATGAGGTCGCGCTCGCTCTGCGGCACCTCGCCGCCGGCAGCCCCGGCGAACTGCCGCGGGTCGTGGGCGAAGAGCCTCATCTTGTTGATGCCCGAGCGCAGCGTGATCAGCACGAAGGCGTCCAGGGAGCTCGCGGGGTCGCAGTAGCGCAGGAACCTCTTCTCCATGCTGTCCTCGTACTCCTTGATCATGCTGTCCTTCTGTGCGAGAGTCATGTCTGAATTGCAGAGAGCCTCCCATCGCAGATCGCCGGGATCGAAGGGCGTGAAGCTGCGGAGGACCTCGAGTATGGCGCACTTCACGAGGCAGAAAGTGACTTCTGTGATGCCAGGGCGCTCTTCAGGGAACTCGGTCATGTCGGGATGGAGGTCTCGGTCGAACACATTCAAGGGCACCTTGGTGTCGGCAGTACAGGCGTCAAGAGAGGGCCTGGTGCCCAGAACACCGGAGAGGCGAACATCTATCTGCACGATATGCCACCAAAGTCGCCGCCGCATCTCGGTCTCAAAAGGCGAGAGCCCGAGTGCTTCGCCGTCGCGGTGAAGCCCCATCCTGCGCGCGATACGGATGGCAATCCCGGACATGACGAAGATCGTGTCAACCCGGTATCTCTCCTTTACACACGTCTTTTGTGGGGCCGTAGATTAGAAAATCTCTAGGAAAGGCGCAGGACTTGGGCTGGCGTGCGACTCACCAAGAAGAGAACGTAAGCCCGGAGGGTCATCGGACTGGACGTTGACATGAAGCCCGCGTTGGTCAGTGCCTGCCGCGTGGCGATTCTGTACCGCGAATACAGGGCAGGTCTGGCGCCCTCGAGCACTCTCTGGCACTCGTCTTCTCCAAGTGTGGTGACGGCCGCAAGGCATATTGCAAACATAACGGCCTCCTCTTCTTTGGGGAGGCGCTGACCCTGAGACAAGCGCTGGTGTATCGAGGCCCATAGAGAAGGCATGTGCAGGATCTTCATCATTGGGTCGAAGCGATCGAGATAGACGCCTTTGATCTTCTGCAGCAAGGAAAGGGGTGGATAGACACCAATGAGGTCGTGAAGAGTGGAGTTATCCGTAGGCTCGAAGAACATGCCGCTTTCGTCAAGATTGAGGTCGTCCGTGGGTGTTCCGATACCAGCGACTTCTGGATGGTGAAACTAGCGATAGTCAGGGCAACGATATGACTCCCAATGCCGGAGGAGCACTGTGTGGCTTACCTGTGGTCCCATGTTTGACCAAGGTGCGCTGGGAAAGGATCAGGAATCGTGTCCGAATGGTCGAGTGCGGACTCGGCTTACCTGTCAAAATACCGCGACGCAGCTTTGTTTGTCAAGAGCCTTGGTTCGGACCCTTTGGAACTAACTAGACGATGTACATCCTGGCCCGGCGAATCCGTGGCAGCATCGGGATCGTGGGATGTCCTGTCCAGGTCAGCCACGCCTTTGCCGTTGCCGTTGTCGTCGTCATATTCATGCCCGTCGTCAGCATCGTCGGATGGCTCGACCTTGTGGCCGTAGGCACACAAGAGCTCCTCATACCGCTTCAGCCTCTCATGCAGACCTTCCTTCGGAGGCTTGGTTCTCTTTCGCCTCCCGCGCACCGGGGCCACAAAGCTGCACTGCTTCTCTGCACGGACGCAGTTGGTGCAGGGAGAGTGCCGGTCGCATTTGACTTTGCGCTGCCGGCAGGTCACGCACGAAAAGCTTTGGAGATTCCCGGCCGATGAAATTAAATTGGTTGCAGTCGGCTCGGCCATATCAGTGTGTGTTTTGAAGATGACTCAATGCGGGCGGCGTTGAGCGTTGTCGAGAGAGCGATGGTGGAATATCTCGGTGCTCGGGGGTGAAAAAGTGCATTTATGAGCCCCGAGCCCCAGATCGGAAGTTATTATTGGTGCCAAAAACGCCGTCAGATCTGGTGTTAGTGCCAAATCCGTTAACGCCGTGTTAGTCATTAAACATTTATAACAGACCGAGTTGATCTCGTAGAAAGACGACTTTTCTGTCTTTCAAAAACGTGGATAACTACTATTTCTCTTCTATCTCTGGTCTCAGTCTTTCTTTTGTTTCATACGTTGCCCAAAACTCAGGCCTTTTCGTTTTGTATCTGTTGGAACACTCCTCGTCCGTCGTCGCCATGTCTGGCACATCATCAGAATCGGGCGAAGGGTCCGCAAACACGGCCACTCAATCCCCTATTAGCGAGAAGATGGAATACCCGGGCTTTAAAAAGAGAATAGTCATTATGGCGGCCGTGTACCTGGCCCTGTTCTTGGTGACTCTGGTAAGCACGAGCCTCAGTCATAAAGTTGAGAAGAAAAAGACCAAAGTCTCCCAACCTCTTGTCTGACACGTCGCCGGATTCCAGGACCAAAACATCATCGCCACAGCCATCCCGAGAATTACAGACGAGTTCAACTCTCTGGGCGACGTCGGCTGGTACGGAACGGCCTATATCCTGTCCATGTGCAGCCTCCAGCTGCTCATGGGGAAAGTCTACAAGTTCTACGCTGCCAAGCCCCTGTTCCTCGCCGGGTGCGCCCTCTTCGAGATTGGCTCAGCCATCTGCGGCGCCGCGCCCAACTCGATCGCCTTCATCCTCGGCCGCGCCATCTCGGGCGTGGGGTCCTCGAGCATGTTCTCCGGCGTCATGGTCATCATGTTCCACACCATACCGCTGCAGCAGCGGCCCATCTACCAGGGCTTCTTCGGGGCCGTCTTTGCCGTCGGGTCTGTCATCGGGCCGCTCGTGGGAGGCACGTTCACGGACAAGGTGACCTGGCGGTGGTGCTTCTACATCAACCTCCCCGTGGGCGCCGTGTCGATCCTTGTCACTGCGCTCTTCCTCGACCTGCCCGGCCAGCGACTGGACGCCCGACCCGACGGGTGGATCGCCAAGGTGAAGCAGCTCGACCCCCTCGGCAACCTGGTCTTCCTGCCCGGCATCGTCTGCCTCGTCCTGGCGCTGCAGTGGGGCGGCACCGAGTACCCCTGGGACTCGGCACGCGTCATTGTCCTGTTCGTCCTCTGCGGCGTCTTCTGCTGCGCGTTTGGCGGCGTCCAGGTCTGGAAGGGGGAAAAGGCGACGGTCCCTCCCCGCATCGTCACCCAGCGCAGCATCGCCGCGGCCATCTGGTTCGGCTTCTTCAACGGCGCGGGGCTGATGGTCATGCTCTACTACCTCCCGATCTGGTTCCAGGCCGTCAAGGGCGTCAGCGCCATGAAGTCGGGCATCATGCTCCTGCCCATGGTCCTCTCCACCGTCATCGGGTCTCTCTCCACCGGCTTCGCCATCTCCCGGGTCGGGTACTACGCGCCCTTCTTCCTCGTCAGCTCCGTCTTGGTCCCGCTCGGCGCCGGCCTCCTGACGATGTTGACCCCGTCGAGCGGGCACCCCGAGTGGATCGGGTACCAGGTCATTTTCGGCCTGGGCGTCGGCGTGGGCACGCAGCAGCCCCTGGTCGTCGCGCAGACGATCCTGGACAGGTCCGACATCGCTACCGGAACCTCTATCGTCACCTTTACGCGCTTCGTCGGCTCGGCCGTCTTCCTCCCGGTGGCGCAGAACGTGTTCATCAACGGGCTGGTCAACAGGCTGTCCAACCTCCCCGGCATCGACCCGCAGGCTGTGATCAAGGGCGGCGCGACGGAGCTGAGGAGTCTCGTGGGCAGTGACGATCTGGCAGTGATGCTCTCCGACTACAATGCCGCCGTCATCGACGCCTTCTACATCGCAGTCGCGACTAGCGCCGTGACCATTTTCGGCAGCGTCTTTGTCGAATGGCGCAGCATCCACAAGAAGGCCGAAAGGGCCGGCTCGAGCAGTCAGGAGAGGGTGTGAGGACTGGTGAGACGGTGTGAGGTAGAGTTGGCCCGCTTCATGGAGAGAGAGCAGGTTGTAAAAACACTGTATAATAGAATATCCCACCACATGGCATTCTTGGCGTACGGACCCTCCGACCCCGGACACTAGGTTAGCACCGGCATTGGGTGGAGAGCCGTAGATCGATGTTGACAAAAGGGCGCGCATGACGTCCCTAGAGACTTCCCATGCGGAGGAGTATCAGTCATCAATCTTTGTTGGTCAAAGTCTCGCATTTACCATAAAAAAAAAGAATCTTCTGGTCATCAGAACGGTTTTCATATCTGCGCTGAGAAAACATCAAGGGAAACAGAGAGAAACTAAACTCGGTAAAAATGCCTACAGACGTAGAGAGCGAAGTCGTCGCCGTGGAACTACGGGTGCGAAATCAAGAGCTACACGATGCTGGTCTGGTCTGTGGTGGCGGCGACACGGAACCCAGGAGCTCGGTCGTCCATCGTTTGAAGCCGGTCGACCGCGGGCGGGATGCCTGGACAATCCTGATTGCGGGCTTCATTTTCGAGGCTTTCTTCTGGGGTCAGTACTGCCTACCTGCTTACGTTTGTCTGAACCCGGTCGAGCCCACGCTGACCTGGTCATCTTGATTCAAGGCTTCCCCATGTGCTTTGGAGTATTCCAGAACTATTACTCGCATCTTCCCGAGTTCCAGCAGGACAGCGACAACATCGCGCTCATCGGCGTCCTGGCCCAGGGCCTGCCCTTTCTCGCGGCGCCGGTCTCTACGATGCTCACCAAGCGCTTCCCGAGGTACCACCGGCATCAGATCTGGATCGGCTGGCCCATGCTGATCCTGGGCCTCCTGGCCGCGTCGTTTGCCCAGTCGGTGGACGCGCTCATCGGTACGCAGGGGGTCCTGTACGGCGTGGGCTTCGTCACGGTCACGTACCCCATCGTCGGCATGATCAACGAGTGGTTCGTCGCGCGCAAGGGCATGGCCTTTGGCGTCATATCGTCAGCCTCGGGCGCCACGGGCGCCGTGATGCCGTTCGTCATCGAGGCGCTGCTCGCGAGGTACGGCTACCGGACGACCCTCCGCGCCTGCGCCGTGGCCATGACCGTCCTCACGGCGCCGCTGATCCCACTGTTCAAGGACCGGCTGCCGGCCTCGGAGCAGGCGGTGCTGGCCAGGACCGACTGGTCCTTCCTCAGGAAGCCGCTGTTCTGGGTGTTTGCCTCTGCCATCCTCATCCAGGGTCTGGGCTTCTTCTTCCCCGTGGTCTTCCTCCCCTCCTACGCGTCGGCGCTCGGCCTGCCGTCGATGCAGGGCGCTCTGCTCGTGGCGCTCATGTGCATAGCCCAGGTCCTCGGGCAGCTCTTCTTCGGCTACATGTCGGACAGGCAGTCGGTCAGCTTCCTGGCCGTCGTCTGCTGCGTGGCGGCGTCGGCCGCGGCCTTCGTCTTCTGGGGCATGGGCAAGTCGATCGCGTTCCTGGCCGCCTTCAGCCTGGTCTACGGCTTCTTCGGCTTCGGCTTCGGCACCATGCGCGTGGCCATGGGCCGCGCCGTCAGCGACGACCCGGCCACCGTCTTCACCATCTTCTCCATCTACGTCTTCCTCATGGGCGTCGGCAACGTGCTCGTCGGGCCGATCAGCGCCGCCCTGCTGTCCCCGTCCAGGGGCGGCCTGGCGCGGTCGAGCTACGCGGCGGGCAAGTACGAGGGCACCGTCGTCCTGACGGGGGCCTCGTCGCTTGCCGCCGGGCTGGTCCTGGCGCTGTGGCATGGGTACGACAAGGTCCTGCGAACCAAGTAGGCGCTGCCGGTTCACGCGCGTTGCGGTCCGCCATGCCGGGGTTCCTGCGGCGCTACCCGATGCGGCGACGAGGAGACAGTGCGACTTGGGTTGGAAACGCCCTAGCGAGGCGCCATGTGGAGGGGGGTTTGTCTCTTTTTGTGATCTGAAGTGGCGGCTTTGGGACGAGAATCCATCTCAAGGGCGGAGCTTGATCGTCGGCCAGGATCTCGTGTCTCAGGTTGCCATTCTGTCGGCTCCACCTGCCACTTCGCTACAGCGTGAGCGTGGCGGCGAGCGAGCGAGCGAGCAGGGGTCTGCACGTAAGTTTCAGCTTGCGACCAGATGGTGATGCATAACCGACCACCTGAGAGGATTTCCTCGACGTCGCGCCATGCTCAAAATAGGAATCGGCACCATCCCAAACGTCCAGCTTTCTCGATCGACCCCGGCACAAGCCTTGGATCCCCATGATCCTGCACGTCTCAGCGATCGGTGGGCCCAGCTCCTTACCTGGATAGCACCATGCCAAGCATAGAACCATGCTTACTCTGGTCTTTTGACACCCTCGACATGGTCTGGGGAGGGTCGCATGCAGCCGAGGCAGCCTCTGCTAGTGAAACTCACGATGGCTGCGCCCCGACGGGGAGAGTATATAAGTGCCAGTGGTCCGGCGCTCGTGTCACTTGCCTTGTCCTGCTCCCTCATTCCTTTCAACTCATCCCTTTCACTTCAACTTCTTTTCTTGCTTTCTTAGCCGCCGGTCGGACTACTTCTCATATTGCCCTCTTGAAGAGAACCGTCACTTAACACACACACACACACAACCGACTCACCACCATGAAGATCTCAGCCACCGCCATCATCTTCGCATTCGCCGCGCTGGCCAGCGCCTCCACCGTCGACGTCGAGGGCGTCTCCGGCCTCCGCCGCGACAGCCTCGCCCTCGACACCCGCCAGAACCGGAACGGCGGCGCCAACAACGGCCGCCCCGTTCCCACCGGCGCCTGCTGCGTCGAGGCGACCAGCCTGAAGCAGGACGTCTGCAACGTCAACGGCCAGCAGGGCCGCTGCGTGCCGGCTGGCGTCAACAACTGTAAGCAGTCGGAGATATTTGATTACGCGTTGTGTGTGTGTGTGAATGAAACGCTAATATCGGTGTTCAACAACTTACTTAGGCGGCACACGGCTTACCTGCATCGAGCAGAACAGGCTGACCTGCAACCCCAACCAGCTGGAGCGAGGCCGGCCCCTGTGCAGACTTCGCCAGGGTGCGTAAGCATATCATCGTGGTGGACTCGGGGCCGTTCTGTCAACTCCCCAAGTCATTTAGTGTCGGTAGACAATTGAGAACAGTCAGACTTGTGATTTTTATTTGTGCCGCTTGAAGTGATTTTCGATGCTTCAAAGGAATAGGATGCCTACATAAGGCAGTGTGACATTCCATATTCTTATCAGTCGTGGGTGGGTTTCCATGCCTACATAACTGCGAAGCGGTACGGTTTCTCTATTTCTACTCTCACGGGATTAATGCCTGGCTCAGCCTGCATATTTTCTGCGTGGTAGCAATCCAGCTACATCTATTACATCTAAAATGCAATGACCCCCGCCGTCATTTGTGTATAGATATGTATGTATATATGCGCGCCTACTACGGCCTCAACATGAGACATATGAAAGACTTTCCGCCAAAAAAAGGGAGCGTGCAAGTAGTCAAAGTCGCTTCAGTCCGATCCGGCGCCGGTCGCCAATTCCAATTCGGAAGGACCTTGTCGGATTCTATGAGAGGTTGAGATGCCACAGCATCGTGTGCTGCGGCAGCATCTTGGCCTGCCCGCCTTGCTCGGCAGTGCCGCCGCCGAGGCCGCCTCCCACGCCGTCGTCCTCCCTCGGCCTCTGCGGTATCGTCATGACCATCATCTCCGGCCCCGCAGCCTCCGCGCCGAGGCCGAGACCCTCCGTCGCGAACTCCTCCTTCTTCACAGGGATGGCCGCCGCAGCTGGCCCGCCGCCGATGCCGGCGGCGGCGGTGGTGGTGGTGGTGGTGGCGGTTGTGACGTCGATGCCGTGCTTGTCCTTGATGTGCTTCTTCAGGTTGTCGAGCCGGCTGAAGGTCTTCTTGCAGCCGGCGATCTCGCAGGGGTAGCGCAGGCCGCGGTGGTTGTTCTTGTGCTTGCGCAGGTAGCCCTTGAGGTTCTCCTTGACGCCGCGGGGCTTCCAGTCGCAGAGGTCGCACCTGAGCTCGCCGCCCTCGTTGTTGTCGTCGTCCTCGGCCGCCGTCGACTCGGCCAGCGTCGTGTCCATCGAGATGGCGTCCGACTGGAGCGGCGACGCGAGGTCGTCCGCCGCCGCCGCCGCCGCCGCCTGGGCAAACGGGCTGCGGACGCCCCGGGGCGCGATGTCTGGTGCTTCTGGAGGTGGATTCCGGCCTCCTTCCGGCATCCCTCTCGCCACAGGGCTCGTGTTGAAGTTGATAAAGTCCTCGAACGAAGTGGCGCTCTGCGACGAGAAGCGGTTCGGCCGCAGAGGGCCGCCCACCGGGGACATACTAGCCGCGCCGAGCGACGAGGCGGAGCCGATCTCGGGGATCGACGCCGACCTCGGGTTTGGCGGGGACGAGATGGACGGCGCGGAGCCGCCCGGCTGCCTCGTCGCGAAGCTCGCCCTGCTTCGCTTCCGGGGCACCAGGGACCTCGAGTTGCGGATGGTCGCAAAGGGCGGCTGGCCGTGGCGCGACGACCAGAAGGGCGAGGTGGATGCCGAGTGCGTGTGCCCGCGGCCCGTGACCGACGACGTCCGCGACATGGCGATGAAGCCGCCCACGCTGTACATGGACGGCGGCGGTGCGAACGGCGACGGCTCGGAATACGGGAAAGCTCCCGCAGCGGCGGCGGCGCCGTGCATGTGCCCGGGCGGAGCCGGCTGAGCCGGCTGGGTGCTCGGCGGAGCCTCTTCCGGCTCCGTGGCCGAAGGGGAGCCGAGCTGTGATTGGATCTGCTGTATGCTGGGCGAGGGCAGGAGGCCGAGGTTATCCGTGCCGAAGCCGGACCAGTCGATGCCGCTGTCGGCGATGAGGGTGTCTGCGATCGAACTCGGCGTCCACGCTGCGCAGTCGGTCCTCTGGAGGTCACCCAGCGCCGAAGGCGGGTGTGACGGTGTGCCAAGCCCAAGTGTGTGCGGCGCCTCGGAGCCTTGGGCCGGGCTGGCGAAGACGCCTGGACTCCCGAGCTGCGACGGGATGGATGGGTTCGAGAGCTGGTCCCAGGTCGACACGGGCGACTTGTCGCTGACGGACGACCCCTCCAGGAAGGCTTTGGTCAAGTCGGCGGGCGACAGCGCCGCGAACTCGTTCTCGGGACCGCCGCCGATCGGGGTCCTGGGGCAGTCGTCGATGCGGTGCGGCGTCCAGCCCGACCACTCGGCCCAGCCCTTCTCATCCGTGGGGAACTCGTGGCAGCGGCGGCACTTCCAGCACTCGAACTCGCCCTGTGAGAGCTCCGGGCAGAAGAGCAGGTGCTGTATGAGGCTCAGGGGCTCCGTGAAGGCCTCGCGGCACTTCATCATGGGGCAGAAGCAAGGCTGGGGCCATGGCGAGTAGATGGCCTGGGAGTCGACGAAATCGCGCAGGAACATCAACAGCATGCGCGCCGTCGTCGGATTCTGGACGATGTTCCTCTCGTACCTTTTTTGTTTGTTTCCCAAGGGTCCAATGTCAGCGCGGCGCGATTTGCATGCGTAGCAGCCAGCGGCCGGTCCACGACGCAGGCAGGCAGTCATGGCCACTCACAAGCAAGAGACAGACTGCTCTATCAGGGAAGCTCTCTGGCTCGCGCCATTGTGAGGCGACTCGAACAACATGGATGGATCGCCGGCCGGTTCAACCATCTTGGGTCTGGGGCAATGGAGGCGCGGGGTGATACCGACATTGGCACGCACTGTCGAGTCGTCCCGTCTCGGCCAATGCTCGACGTCTCGAAGGAGAGATGCTGAGATGCAAGCCCGTTGTCTCGCAGGGCAGATCCGGGGGCTATTATTTGATCGTCTCGGACGACGGCGGCGGGAAGGGGGGGAAGGGAAACGCTTCGTTGGGTGCAGGGAGCCCAAGGCGGGGGGGCTAGAAATGCAGAGCGGCCGGGAAATCCTTGCTATGCGTGTCCTGCCGCGGGCTCTTGACAAATTCCTTACGCATATAGTACGGGGTGGTGGTGGTGGAGGGAGGCGGAAGCTTGAGCGTTGGCTCCTCCTCAACGGGTGCAAGCCGTGTGCCGCAATATCGCCATCTTGGCACTGCCAAAGTGCGAATCAGCCTGCCGCGATGGCCCCAGCAACAGCACGAGTCTCGACCCGGCGGGATGTCGAATGGGGAAAAGAGCAAGTGTGGAGGGGAGGGAAGAAAGAGGGAGGCAACGTGTGTGCGTGTACGTATCTGCGCGGGCGTGTGTGAGAGTGAGAGGGAGAGAGAGTCGCAGAACGAGAGGCGCAAAGGCAACACACGGCAAAGGGTGGAACAGAGAACAAGCAATGGTCAGCCGGCCGCGTTGCTACTTGGCTTTCTTGATTTAAATGAATTGTCTTTGCACCCTTCCTGGATCTGCAATCTTGATTGATAGACTGGACTTGGGCTCTCGAAGAGCACGAAACGAGCGGGCCCTCCCCCAGCCCCTACACCCCCTGCCATTCCTGCGCGATCCACATGGCGAACGAGCTTTGCAACGCGGGGATGGGAACGTGTGATTGATCGACTAACATAACCGGTTATGACGGGGGACAGGGGTGGCTGCTGCCACCCTCCAATACTTTGTACACGCATATATAGCCGGGAAGTCAAGGTCATATGTGGCTTGGGGGAAGGTGGCCCGCATCTCGGCTCGCGTGGGGACCAGACTCCAGGCGATAACTCGGTGAAGCTGCTTTCCTGCTTTCCGAGGGGGTTCGACGGGCATCTCGCTGAACTGTTATCTGCCGTCTTGGCGAGTCCGGGGCAGGGAGATGAAAGCTGGACGGCTGGTTCGACTTTGCGAGCGCACATCGTTCGACGTCGCCGGGAGATCACCAGCAGGCGAGGTCGAGCCGTCACCGCCACCGCAATGTCACCGGGAATCACTTGTGGGGTCCGCATCTTACAGCGGCTCTATATAACCTTGGACTGTCACTTGACCGAGCACGCCGCAGTTCATATAGCATGTCAGCAAGCGAACGGCCGATGCAGTAAAGGTCGTGACCAGCCTCGACATTGCTAGATGATGAGAGATCCGCGAGACCGACTCTGTCCACACAAGTTCCGGCGCTCTTTTCTATTCATTCGCAAAAGGCGTGTCAATAATCTGGTACACCAAGCCCGCTCCACCGTGGCTGATTGGTTGCTGCGAAGAGGCTGTTCCGGCTAAATAGGACCCTGGTCCCAAAGCTTGAATCACAGTCCAGCAGGATGGGATATGGTGTGGTTGGTTTGCAAGGCCATTCAGCGAATCGCAAGCTTGGTCCGGATGAGCGTACGATCCTAGTACGAGGGTTGATCTTCTAGGGCAATAAGGTCCAAGCTGTCACCACCCTTGTCCTGACGTCCGGTCAAGCCACACGACTTCAAGTTTGATGGCGTAGTGGTACTCTCTATGAGAGATAACTTTGTTAATAAACGGTCGCGGCTGGTGGCAACATGCATGCAACAGATGATAAGTTCAAGACACAACCCTCTGTCCAGACAGTCAGTGTCTTCGGATAGTGACATGAACTTCAGCGCTTCGAACAAGTAAATACTTCGTCTATACTCTATAACCTGCTTTGCGACTCTTCTTGCACGAGCCGCACAAGGCCCTCCTGGACGCATGTGGCGACCAAAACTCCGTCCTTGGTCCAGACCTTCTGCATCACCAACCCTCTCTCATCACCTGCCCAAGGCGTCCCCATCTCCACAAACATCCAATCATCTGCCCTCACCGTCATCTGATTATGGAAGTAGATTGTATGGTCCAAGCTGACCATCATTCCAATCTTGGAGTGGCCCTGGGCCAGCGCAGTCCCTGACGCACCTCCAGGCGATGACTTGATCTCAAGCTCCTCCTCCCGTGCCAAGTCTCGGACTTTGCGTCTCGTAGTCTGGGTGTCGGGGGAGGAAGAGACGATAGTGTCGACAGTCTTGTCATTGTCGAAACGAGTCACTCGATGCGCGCGAGAGACCGTGCCGATGAAATAATTGTCGGTAATGTATGCGAGCGCGGCGAGATGGATCTTGTGAGTCGGGTCGTCGTTGCGAAAGTTCTCGCGCACTCTGACCCATTGGCGCATCCGCTGGAGCTCGGGACTTTGGTCTCGCGCCTTTATGGGCAGCCGGACGCACTCGAGATGGCTGCCGTCTTCGACCTGGCTCGTGCTCGTCAAGAGGCTCCGGTCCACGGGCTTTCCCGGCGCCGACGGAGGTCCCCGGGCAAACACCTCGGCCGGGAAGGGCGTCTGGTGCTCAAGCATCTTCTGCCGCCGCGTCGCGCTCTCGTGGACGAAGCTGACCACGGTGGAAAAGACGCAGTGGCCCGACTGGTACGCCCTGACCTCTCTGATGCAGATGCTCTTGCCATCGCGGATGCGCTCGGCGCGGTAGACGACAGTGACGTCTTTCCTGACCGGCCGCAGGAAGTGACAGTGCATGCTGTGCACGAGGAAATGCGAGGGGATGGTCTCCTGCGCGACGAGCAGGGTCTGCGCGATGACGGCGCCGCCAAAGACGCCTCGCGCCCACAACGGCTGCCATAGAGGCATCGCGTTGGTGTATACATCTCGGCCCTGGCTTGGGGCCGGGACAATGCCCAGCGCGCGATCCATCTGTCTAGCCGGGTTGCTCCACGTCGAGCAGAGCAATAGAGAACCGTCTTGATTTCGACCTCTTTAGCAAGTGGAGTCGGGCTGCGTAAAGTGTATTGAGGCTCGGGAAAGACTATATCTTAAGGATTTATTTCAATGATAACTCGAAGGCTAAAGTCTAATAATATATGAACGTTCGTCGAGGTCAATGAGAGGCGCACATGTCTTGATCAGGGCGCGATACTGGTCGGTATTCCCCTGACCGGAAGCGGTGAGAGGCGGCACAATCGGATGCCGAGGCATTGGCGAGGAAGTACCTAGGCTTTCCTTTTTCTCCACTCCTGTTCATCATGTACAAGTACTTGGACAAGTATCGGCATGAACTGATTTGCGGCTGTGATTTCCCCCTTAAAAGCCGGAACACCACCTCCACTATCACAGGCACTTTCACGGGGGTGGGATTACCAACGACAGCAACAGGTGTTGTCTCGGCTTTTAAAGGGCTATGTCTCTTCCAAGGCAAAGGCAAGACGAATGAAAATACCCCGAGGCTTGAGTTGGGCACAGCAACACAGCCTTAAAACAGTCAATTTGAATCCCACACGCGCAGACATTCCCAGCGTTCCTCTCCTTGTTCATGTTTTACTACATCACAACCCCGGCATCCGCCGCCTTATCCTGGCGCTCAGTCAGGCCGAGCTGCCTGTTCTTGAGCTCGTCGGCGTCTGTGATACTCATCGGGCCGGTCTTCTCGGCATCGCCGTGGACCCCGGCCTGGGCGTTGGGCTGGCCGTGAAGTATTGCAGCCTCCTCCTGCCTGCGCTGCCGGCGGGTGAACCACATGACCACGGGCAGCCACGCGGACAGCGCGAGGGCCGCTGCGAGGCCGGCGCGGTAGCCCTTGTAGAACCGAGGCGCGTCGACCGTCGCGACAAAGACCTGGTTCCACCACGTCCCCTGGGCCAGCCCGATGGCGTTGAGGCTCCCGATGACGATGGCGCGCTCCTCGGCGTCGGCCGAGCAGACCATGTGCGTCCAGCTCACGATGATGGGGAAGAGGGACTGGATCGTGCCGGCGACGTAGTACGCAAAGAACTTGGCCCCCTTGGGCACGGTCCAGGCCACCAAGATGGACTCGGACACGATCTGCGTGAGGCAGATGGCGATGACCGAGTCGATCTGCGAGCCCCTCCAGTCGTTGTAAGTGCCCGAGACCAGCATGAAGACGATCGACACGGCCGAGTATACCGTGGGTAGGTTGTTGATCTGCGGCACCGAGTACGTCTTCTCGGCCTTGAGCCACAGCGCCATGGCAGAAGTCGTCGGCGCCTGGTAGACAAAGTACATGAGCGAGAACCAGGCACACTGGTGACAAAATTCTGTTAGCATGCCGCCGCCGCACAGGAGTGCACGTAGTTGACTTGCCAGGATCCAAAAGTGCCACCTTCCAAGCACGCGCTTGAACAGCGAGAGACCAAAGTTGCCGAGGGGCTTCCGATCGTCCGCCTCGAGACGCCTCATGCACATCTGACGCTCCCTCTCGGTCATCCACCACGTTTTCTTCTCATAGAGCGGGTTGGGGACCATGACTAGTCCCAGCAGCACCAAAGGAAATGTGACGAGAAAGTCTAAGGCCATGATTAGCGTCGTTTCGGCTGCTCTGCTCTGCACCCAGCATCCAGAGGTCATCGACTTACCAATAATAAAGAGCCATCTCCACCCCCGGAGCCCCAGGTGACCGTCCATAGTCTCATAGATGCCAGCCTGGATGTACCCCGAGAACATTGTGGCGGCAATACCGGACGCGGTAAAGATGCCACTGCGCTTATTGATCTCGTGGTTTCGGTACCACGTGCCAATCATGAAGTGCAGCCCCGGCCAGCTCGCCGCCTCGACAAAGCCGACAAAGAACCGCAGCGCGTAGATCTGCTCGACGGTCTTGCACTTGTAGATGAACAGGACAAAGACGCTCCAGAGGAACTCGGCGGCGGGCAGATACCACCGCGGAGACAGCTTGGTCAGGAGGATCTGCGAGGGTATCTGGCCCACGATGTACCCGACCTGGAACCAGGTGATCATCCAGTTGAGCTCGTTGCCATAGAGCTCCAGGTCTTCTTTCATGCCCGAGACGTATGCATTGTTGATGTTGTTGCGGTCGAGGTCCTTGGCGAAGAAGGTCAGGCAGCAAAACGACAGGATGGCAAGGTCGAGCTTGCGGACGAGCTTGACCTCTTCCTTAGACGTGCCAGGACGCGTCCAGAAGAAGAACCTATCACTAGTCTTCTCGTAGATCACAACCTCTCGAGCATCTTCCGAAGTGGCAGCGGCATCGGTCTTTTTCCTGCTAAAGAGACCCATACTGACGAGCTAATTACCCGCAGTAACAACAAGAGTAAACTATGATATGGGCATGCGTGTTAGCCGGACTTGTGTCGCCCAGGCAGGTACTTGCGGGTAACAAACCAAATAATTGGGGAGATATTCGGCAGGTATATCTACGGCTGCTCGTACCGCACTCTGGTAACAGCCCTCTCGTATCTCCTCGAGACAATGCAAAAGAGATAGGGACAGGCCCTCCGCAATCAGAGATACAGTATGGGGTAGATATGGATCAACAGTTCCTCTTGTGGATACAGAGTGGGTATGGGGAAGATACGGGGAAAGATAAAAGTCGGTGGCGGAGATTATCCCTGGCAGCCCAATCGCTCGTTCCCGATGCATCGGCATTTGCCTACGCCAAGGACCGGCACATGCAAACGGATGAGTGAGCACACCCGTCCAAAAGGCCGACTCGGTGCGGTGTTGATCAAATAGTTAAAACGACACCTCTTTGGAGACTTGCTTGAGTCGATATCATGGGCTGTCTCATCCAATCAAAATGGCCCCGTCCATACTGTCCAAACAGAGCCCGATCATCATTGTCGGGGCGGGTTGCTTTGGTCTCTCAAGGTTTGCATCCCGAGCGGCTTGTATGTATGAGCAGCGAGAATGATCATTAACATGCACCGACAGTGCACTGTACCTGGCGCAGGCAGGATACGTAGGCATCACAGTATATGACAAACAGCCTTACGATGAAAATGCCTACTCTACCACCGACGGGGCAGACGCAGCCAGCGCGGACTTCAACAAGGTCATGCGCATGAGCTACGGAGAAGAGATCGAGTATCAGCGCCTAGCCTGGGATGCCATCCAGATCTGGAACGTTTGGAACAAGCAGATTCAGTCCTCGCCGGCTCAGGACTTGCCCCGTGGTCTCGAGCCGTCGGACCGGGTGTGGAACAACTGCGGGTTCCTGCGCATGAGCACCGACGGCCAGCTGAGCCAGTTTGAGCAGACGACCCTGAGAAACATCACGCGGGAAGGCTTGCGCTCCACTCAATTCGTCGTTGGAGACCCGGAGGACGAGAAGAGGGTGCCCTTTTACTTCAAAGACGGCGAGTGGGAACGCAAATCGGACCCTTTTCTCCGCAAGCTCCAGGGCAAGAGCCTCGCTGGTGTATTTGACACGACGGCCGGCTTTGTCGATGCCAGCAAGGCCTGTACCTGGGCGATGCATCTGTGCCGGCAGCTAGGCGTCAGTTTTGTGCTTGGCGAAGAGAGTGGCCAAGTCTCTTCCTTCATCAGGTCTCCAGGCGGCCATACCACTCTTGGCATACGGACAGCGGATGGTAAAGAACATCGTTCTGAACTTCTCATACTGGCGGGTAGGTGAACCAAAACACTTTACTGCCTCAAATCATCTGTCTCGAGAGCGCTGAACACCCGTCAACACAGCCGGCCCTTGGACGCCGTACCTGTTCCCCTCGATCGCGCCCCTGATGGAGACAACAGCAGGAAGCGTCGTCTACTTCCAGTTGCCGCCGCAGAGCGAGGCCCCGTACCTCTGGGAGCGCTTCTCGCCCGAGAACTTCCCAGTCTACGCCTACGGGGGCTGGACCAAGGGGCTCGGCATCGGCGGCTTCCCGCGCACCGAGGACGGCGTCGTCAAGATCGGCTACCGCGGCGCCAAGTACACCAACTACGAGGACGTCGCGGACCCGATGACGGGGGCCCGGCACCGGATCAGCGTGCCCAAGACCAGGTACTGGCCCGAGCCGTCCGAGCCCGCCGTCACCAAGCAGGCCGTGGAGGCGATCAAGAGCGTCGTGCGCGAGGCGCTGCCCGAGCTGGCGGAGCTCGGGATCGCGGGCTGCCGGAACTGCTGGTACACCGACAGCCTGGACACCAGCTTCGTGATCGACCGCGTACCTGGGGACGAGGGCATGATGGTGTGTTCGGGCGGCTCGGGCCACGGCTTCAAGTTCCTCCCCGTGCTCGGCCGAGAGGTCGTCAAGATCATCGAGAAGCCCGGCGAGAAGAATGCCATTGCGAGGCTCTGGCAGTGGCGGACCAGGTCGAGTGGTCCACGCAACGGGCTCGAACAGGGGGAGGCCGGGCCGCGGAACTGGAAGAAGCAAGAGATGGCGACCAAGAGTGACTGGACATTTGATGACAACAAGGCCAAGCTTTAGACTAAATAAGACGCTTTACCCTGCCGTTCCGTTTTGATCAAGTATCAACCAAGGAGAGCTAGTGTACTTGGATTGACAACCTTGTCGTTTCTCGAACGAAGACTATTTCCGCATATTCTCACAGTGCGAATCTGGCGATGACGCTTTTGAGTAAAATCCCATCACCGCATTCAGCCCCGAGAATTCGAGTCAAAGGTATGTTCAGTCTAGTGAATCCTTTTCGTTTATCCATCTACTAGACCTGAGAAGAAACAGAGAACCTGGAGCAATCTGCAAGATTATACCTATACTTCTGTACGCAGTAAAACATCTCTATCCAAATACCTCACATTCGCAAAGAGCATCAGTGTAGGTGCGTACCAACACCCTCACATCATTCATTTAGTCTTCTCCTGCCCCCAGCCCCCACCGCCAGGCGTCTTGATAATGAACTGGTCCCCGGCCTTGAGTTTCACGAGACCGCGAGGACCAAGGCTCATGAGTCTCTGCCCTGCATCGCCGATCCTCCTCGAGATGAGGTTCTCCCCCGGCGCACCCGGATCGCCGCCGTTCAGGCCGTACGGCCGTGTCACTCGCCTCTCAGAGATCATGGAGAAGGTCAGCGGCTCCCTGCACTCGATGACGCGCTTCACGCCCTCGCCGCCCTTATACTGCCCACGGCCGCCAGAGTCGCCCCGAATCGAGAACTCCCGGAGGATGATGGGGTAGCGCTTCTCCAATATCTCGACGTCCGAGATGCGCGTGTTGGTCATGTGGCAATGAACGGCACTAGGGCAAGCAGCACTCTGTTAGTTTCACCAGTACCAAGTCACCCCGGTGAAGGGAGGAAAACTCACTCAGCGCCGTTAAAGCCTTCGCCAGCTCCGGAGCCGCCGCATATTGTCTCGCCATAGGCGAATTTGTACCCGTCACCTTCCTTGACATCTCTACCGCCAAAGAAGCCGACACTGTTCATGCAGCCGTGGCTAGCAGCACAAGCCTTCCAAAGAGTGGGAAGATTAGCCGAGCCTGGTCAATCTTCGGGGTGCGATAAACAGAACTCACCTCAAAAGCCTTGAGGATAACGTCGACAATCCTCTGGCTTGTCTGCGTGTTCCCTGCGTACACCGCGGCGTACTCTGACGGATTGAGGATGCTCCCTTCTGGGTTGACGACCTCGATGGACGACAGGCAGCCCTGGTTCAGAGGGATTTCGTCATCAATCAGGCAGCGCAGCGAGTAGATGATGGCCGAGAGACAGATGCTCTTGGGCGCATTGTTGTTCCCCACGACCTCGGGTCCGGTGCCCGTGAAGTCAAACGTGGCACTCCCATCCTCATGGATGCGGATTTGCAGCTGGATACGGCTCCCGTTGTCCAGATAGTCAACGGCCTCAAGGGTGCGCCCGCCGCCCAGCCTGGCCGCCGTTTCCCGCAGGAACTTGCGCACAGCCGTTTCGGCATTGGTCTGGATCTCATCCATGTAAAACTGACAGGCGCCGCATCACGCGTCAGATACGCACATTGAACGACAAAGATCGAGCATGACTGCGTCAAGGGGACTCACCTGGACGACCTCCCTGGGGTATTCCTCAAACATGGCCTGGATGAGCGCCGCCCCTTTAGCGTTGGCGGCGACCTGGGCGCGCAGGTCCGACAGGTTGTCGTAGATGCTCGACGTGCCGACGCAGCCGGGGTACTGGGCGGGCTCGTCGATCAGGATGCGCCGCATGCCCTCCTCGTCGAAGACGCCGTTGGACACGAGCTTGAAGCTGACGATGCTCGCGCCCTCCTGGTATATCTCGGTCGCGTTGGCGTTGCCCGAGATCCCCTGGTATCCGCCGATATCTCTGTGGTGGCCGCGCGATGCGGTGTAAAAGATGATGTCTTTGCCGGCCGCGTCGAAGACGGGGGTTATGACGGTGATGTCTGGGAGGTGGGTGCCTCCAGCAATGGGGTGGTTGGAGACAAGCACATCGCCCGGCACGAGGGATGGGCCGCGGTGTTGATGCTGGTACTTGACTGCGTAGGCCATGCTTCCAAGATGGACCGGGACGTCTGCAAACAGTTAGACCAATGCTCCGGTATGACGAAGTATGAAGGGGAGAGAAAAGGAGAGAAATGGAGCTGGGTTCGTACGAGGTGCGTTCGCGACCAGATCCCCGCTGGGTCCAAAAATGGCACAGGAGAAGTCAAGCCTCTCCTTAATGTTGATGCTGACAGCCGTCTTTTGCAAAGTCCGCCCCATTTGCTCTGCAATAGACATGAATCCTACGCACGTTAGAAAGAAAGCAACATGAGAAAGAGCATGCTTTGTCTTACGATGGCCAAAGATGGAAAGCTTGATCGGGTCAGCCTGGATATGACCAATCTGCTGCACATTACCACCGACTGGGGCTGCTGCAGGGTATTCAGGCTTTATGCAGAGCACCACGTGTTCCTTCATGATCCGAGCAGATGCATTTGGAGTTACAATGATTGTTTGCGTGTTGTCAATAACGATGGCGGGTCCGTGGATCTCGTTGCCCGGTCGCAGATCTTCGAGCAAGTATATCGGCGTATCAACCCATCCACCGGCAGCGAAATAGGTTCTCTTAGTCTTGAGGGGCTGGGCGTCATTGATGAATTTGGTCATCGCGAGCTCTTCGTAGAGGTTGTGCGCAGGGCGGTCGTGTTCCTTCGCGACACCTCTGACCCGGATGTCGTCGACAACGATATTTCGCGAGGGAAGGAGGAAGGTGAACTCTTGGAGGTGCATGCGCTCGAAGGCCACCTTGAAGTCGCCGTCTTTGGGCAGTGGCACCATCATCTGCGTGTCTGTACCCTCGTATCGGAGATTGAGGAAGGGTTGCACCTCGACGTCCTCGGTCGAGGTCACGCCCTGTCGTAACAGGCCATCTAGTGCGCGCTTCTTCAACGACTCGAAGCGCGAGGTGATCTCGCGTTCTGCGCTGTCGTTCAGCACCAGAGAAGATGGCTCCTGCACCTCTTCGACTAGGTTGGCTAATGCCATACCATAGGCGCTCAGTATGCTGGAGTACTTGTGAATGACGACGGTATTGATGCCCAGATGCCTCGCAATGGAGCATCCATGCTGGCCTCCAGCGCCTCCAAAGACCGCCAACCGGTGAGCAGACGTCTGATAGCCTTTGCCTTCAGCCAAGGCCCGGATAGGACGACACATGGCCTCGTTGGCCACCGCCAAGAAGCCCAGGGCAACTTCTTCGGCCGTCATGTGGCCGCCCGTCTCGGCGTTGATAGCCTCGGTCATCTGTGAGAACTTGGTCTTGGTGATCTCGTGGTCGAGTGGGAGATTCTCATCCGGCCCAAAGATGGACGGGAAGTACTCGGGGAGGATCCTGCCGAGGAACAAGTTGGCGTCGGTGACGGTCAGTGGGCCGCCCTTGCGGTAGCAGGCGGGCCCGGGGTGAGCTGAAGCGCTTTCCGGTCCGACGACGAAGAGGCCGTTCTTCCATGCCAGGATACTGCCGCCTCCAGCTGCGACGGTACTGATATCGAGCTGCGGCGACTGGATCGTCACACCAGCAGTAGTAGTCTCAAAGACATGGCTCAAATCTCCGCCGTACCGACTCACATCTGTCGAGGTTCCACCCATGTCGAACCCAATGACAGGTACCCGATCATCCGGATGCCAGCTCGTCTTCGCGTAACCGACAACACCGCCAGCGGGGCCGGACAGTATAGCTCGCAGGCCGGAGAAGGCTGAGACGTCAACCAGGCCGCCGTCAGACTGCATGAACTGGACGCGTGTGCCTTTCAGGTTTTCCTTGAACCCTCTGCGGAAGTTGGCGATGTATTTTTTTATTTCCGGGGTGAGATATGCGTCGGCGGTAGCGCTCATGCCGCGTGAGATGAGCTTGATCATGGGGATCAGGCTTGACGAGGTGGATATGCTTGCAAAGCCCAACTCTTGAGCGAGATCCCGGATCGCATCCTCGTGGTCGGGGAAGCTGTAGCTGTGAGCCAGGCATATACAGATGCTCTCAAACCCTCTCTGACGGAGGTCTTGCAGTAACTGCCTGGTACTCTCCAGATTCAAAGGCGTCAGAATGCGGACGATGTCTCCGCTCCTGCCGACCCTGAGTGCGGGATCTGCCTCGGGCCTGATCGAGCCAACGGGAAGGGAATCTTTTGTTGCATCCTCCATAGTGACTCGCTCATCCACCTCGATGACTTCCGAGTACAAAACCTCTGGTTTCTTGATGTTGAGGTCAAACAGCTTTGGCCGTGCTTGGTACCCAATTGCTAAAGCATCCTTGAAGCCCTTGGTGATGAGGAGGGCGGAGCGCTCCCCTTTTCTCTCGAGTAATGCATTGGTAGCAACCGTACTGTCGGTGCTGTTAGTGAAATTCGTTCCTGATAGTTTCTCAATGCGAAGTCTTGCTTACGTTCCCATCCGGATCACGCCGATGTTCTGCGTGGGCACTTTGACATCCCTAGGGTGAGGCTCTCCTGTGAATTTCTCCAGGATCCTCCGAATGCCCTCCGTGGGTGCATCTTCGTAATTTGAAGGGTCTACAGATAGCAGCTTGACAAGGATATCATCCTTGCCAGCGCCGTGAGGGATGCCGATACAGTCAGTAAAGGTGCCGCCGCGCTATGCAATACGTCAGCTGGTGATTAGGATGCTATTCTCTCGCAGCAGTTGCATACTCACGTCAATAAAGATATCGACCTTTGGCACGCCCCCATGCTCATCTTCCGTTCTGTACGGCATAGTGATAAACCCCGGCTTGGCATTCGGATCTCTGGCGTGGGGAAAGGTAACCCTTGACGCCATGCCGGCTACTTAAGCACAAGGCAGTGCTTCATACGTGGACGAACCAGGAAGGTCGTATTGCGCCCGGTTTCCCGCTCAACCACCGGTGAATGCCACCTCCACAGCATACTGGGCGAACACAGTAGATATCGGCTTTTGCCGATAGCCCATTTTCAAGAGGCTATCCACGACCTTGGTGTGCAGCAGGGATCGGCCATCAAGGCGGGTCATGTACTTCTAGAGGTATCAGCAACATCCTCTGGACCGTCGATCACAGGAACTCCTTGTCGGACTCGTGCCGACGTGCCCATGTAATTACCAATATCAACCTGCCGAAGCAGCGCCAACAGAGGAGTTGCTCCTGCTCCTTGCTAGATTCCATGTACGCACCTTGTTTTGCACTCTGCTGAGTCTCACCCCATCGTAGGTACTTGTTCAGGCGACGGCTTGTATCCGACCCCGCAGTCCCCGCCGCCGATCGGTTGCTCATTCTTTGCGTCCATGGAGGGCAACACGGAAGCACAGAGCCCCCGAGACGGGCTCTCCGCGAGGCTTCGGAGAAGCTCCCGTGCGTCGACCCTTCATTTCCCAAACCACGGCAGTGGTAAGGAGTGGGGATGATGTACTGATATTGTTGTTGTGCGAATTATAGATGCGTGCCAGAGATGCCGAAGGAGGAAACAAAAGGCAGGCGACTCACCACATGCAATGAATGATAGTGCTTCACGGCTGACTCTTGCCGCCTCTCGCTCTAGTGTGATCTGCGTTACCCAAAGTGCTCGACCTGCGAAGCCGCGCACGCATCATGTCTGACATACGATATCGAGAAGCAGAGCGAGATCCCGCGAGGGTACATCTCGACTCTCGAGGCGCAGGTCAGGGACCTCAAGCTACAGGTGGAGGAACTAACAAAATCCCAAAGCTCGCAAGCCGCTGAAGGTATTTCCGTCGCCGCCACCATGGCCGACGAAAGCTCACGACCTCTTGCGGATGCTGGTAGTGCTACCGCCGCTGCCACGGTGGAGTCTGCGGCTTCGGACCCGCAAGAAATGGTCAGGTCCATGGGCCTGGTCCTACTGGAGAGCAGCAACCAGCCTCGGTTCATGGGCACGAGCAGCGGCGTCACCTTTGCCAAGATGGTGCTCGCCGCCATCAAGGACGACGTCCTCAGCGTCAATGACGACACCCAAGGGCGGCCGAGGCGGCACTCCAAGACGCCGATTCCCTCCATGGCACACATTGCATCCTCACTCCCTCCACGCCATGCAGCAGAACACATCGTCGATGCCTACTTCACCTATCGGACGCCGCACGTGCCCGTGCTTGACCGCTCTCGGGTCCAGGAGGCGATGCATCGCGTATACCAAAGTGCAGATCCCTTGGGCAACACTCCGTCCGGCGTATCAGAGCGGGACCTGTTCATTGTGAACCTAGTCTTTGCGGTTGGGCTCCACGGCATGCCTGTCGCTGGCGGCGGCAGGCCGTCTCAGAGCGAGGCCTGCTTTCACTCTGCGCTGCAATGCGTCGAGTCACTATTGGCGTACTCGCCCAGCAACATTGAAACTCTGACTGTCGTGTTGCTGTTGGCCCAGTACATCGCACTGAACCCTGGACAAGGCAGCCTTTGGCAGTTGAGCGGAATTGCCCTCCGTCTGGCCATCGACCTGGGACTGCATTGGGAGACAAGCCACATCCTGGCCATGCCGCAAAATCTGTTGAACCAGAGACGAGTACTATACTGGGCGACTTACCGTTTAGATCGTTTTCTGACCATTACGCTTGGAAGGCCATTCGGCATTGCCGAACTCAGTATGAACCCCGGGCTCCCGGATCCGTACATTTCGGCGGCGGCGGATACGGCGGCTATGGAGCCGACAAGTGCAGAGGTATATCATCAGCGCTGTGCGAACCACATTGTGAAACTCTACAAGCTCGAGTCGGAGATCAAGCATGTCCTGTATCACCAACTGCAGGGCTCGTCTCTAGCGTATCCGCGCGCGAACTACGCTCTGTGGGTTCGGGATATTCAAACCCGCTTGCGCGAGTGGCAGGACGATATCCCAACGAGCAAAGAGGACGGCCAAGAGAGCATCTACAGTGTCAAGAGCTGGTGGGCAGCGCACCACTGCATCGCACTGCTGCTCCTGCACCGGCCGAACCCGAGGGTGCCGCTGCCGACGACCGTGTCCCTGCAGACCTGCTTCGACGTCGCCCGCCGCTCCATCCAGGCGATCAAGACGCTGCAGAGGGAAGGCAGGATCGGGGTCGTCTGGGCCTGGGTGCACCACCTGTTCCTCTCGGGCCTGACCATGATCTACTGCATCTGGGAATCGGCCGAAGTGCGCGCGGCGGCGCCCATCGTCGAGGTCATGGCCGCCAGCCAGGACTGCGCGAGCACCCTGACGGCCCTGGCAGAGCACTTTGCGGACGCGAGCGGGTGCAGGGACGCGTTTGAGAGGCTGTCGTCGACCACACTGAAGTGGCTGCTGAGCCGAGACGGAAACGCCGGGGCCGAGGCGCAGCCGCTGCCGTCGCCGCCGACGCTGAACAGTGACATGGACGCGCTGAGAGAGCTTGTGCCCTTCTCGTCATCGGGATGGCAGCCCGAGGGGTGGACGAGTCTTTTTGCGGACGAGCCGTACGAGTTTGCGCAGTTCTTGAGCACGGCGGCGCAGTGGGAGGGCGACATATTTGGGTCCTTTGTATAGCTTGGTGGCGGGTGCGAGTCATTTTGGTAGTATGAACAATGAATCCACGAGCCTTGGACGTCATGCCTATTGTATTGTATTGTATTGTATTGTATTGCTCTCGCCATGCTCAGTAATGTTGACCAAGTAATGGATGAATAATTGGAGAGCAATATCCATCCAACTGAAGGCAGTTACGGAGTACGAAGTAGGGCTCTGTGGAGTGGATTTTAGGATGCAGGGGTGGGAGCCACCTGACGGCAGTTGGTGGACAGAACGGCCAATTCCCACCCACCCCAACACTTCTTCTCTTCTCATCCTTTCATCCTCGAGCATCCCTCCCTGTCCCATAATCGAACATCCCCAGCCATGAGCTACGAGTCCCTGATCGACCCGATTGATTGATCTGATTGATCGACAGCAGCTCCAAATCTGCTGCCCCACCTAAGCTTGACAAGTACTAAAGAGCTTTTGTCAAGCCCACGAAGCATTCAACCCAGAGCCGACGCGGACACACGCGTGTACACGCGCAAACCCTCGCCCGGGAGAGCATTTGCAGCAACAAGACCGCCAATCGATCACAGCTCTCGCCGCACTTGCCATGGCCAACCAGCCTCCTCCCCCAAACCAGGAATGGTTCAATGGTCCTGCCAGGGCTTTCATGCAGACCATGCCCCAGCAACCCGGGCCCCCAGGACCCCCAGCGCCGCAACTCGGACCCCCGGGGCCGCATCCCAATGGCCACCTCCACCATCCTGGCCACCCTCCTCCTCCTCTTGCGCCTCTTCCGCCTCCAATCCAGATTCTCGGCCAGGCAGCGCCCCCAGAGATGTACGGCCTCGTCCATCACGAGTCAGTCGGCCCCGAGGCGCGCCGCCTGTGGGACATGTTCCTGGCTGGCCGCTACGACTCCATCGATGAGTACCTGCTCGCCCTCAACCGCTACGGCCGTGCCGCCGGCTACGCCTTTGTCAAGCGCCGGTCGACACGGTACCGCGACGGCCAGGCCACCAGGTACGTCCTCGCATGCGACAAGGCCAACAAGCGGCCTTCGCAGGCCACGATCCGCAACCGCACCACCGACAAGACCAACTGCCCCTTCACCGTCCAGGCCGTCTATCTGGGCCACAAGTGGAGGGTTGAGGAGATCCCGGGCGCAACGCACAACCACCCTCCCGCGGAGGATCCGTACAAGCTTCGATTCCACAAGAGGCGCACCCGCCTGCAGAAAAACGGAGTCATCGAGGCGTCCCCGGAGCCGGAGGTCCAAGAGATCCCTCCGCCGCCACAACCCCCGGTCGAGGGCATCAGGATCGTGCTAGAGGTATGTCTACCTACCCCATCCTCCTGTCGCACTCTCTCCAGACTCCTCTCTGTGTAGGCAACCCACTAACAACAAAACGCAGATACGTCCGACACCCGATCGATACCTCCAGGTCGACGCGTTCATGGACGAGATACCGTCGAAGCAGGCGCAGATCATCGGGAAGTCCATCAGGCTCCCGATACCGGCCGACGAGATGGGCAACATCGACATATCCATCCTCCGGCGAAGCAGGCTCATCAACACGCCCATGGAGCACCTACAGCCTGCCCCGATACAGCAAGCGCAGCCCCTCCAGCAGCCTTCTCACCAGGCGCCAGAGGCACAGGCGACGCCACAACAAGCTCCGCAGCCTCCACAGCCTGCGCAGCCTCCACAACCGGCACAGGCTTCGGAGCCCATCGAGATCGAGGAGTCGTCTGATTCCGATGAGGAGGGGGAGGAGGGGGAGGAGGAGGAAGAAGAGGCGTCCCCAAGCTGAACTGAGGATGTTGCACAGAGCAATCATGATTAAAACAGTCCTCTGCTTTGCGCTCTTCTCTCCAGCAACGGTTTGAGCAATCACGCATTCCCACGATCCATAACTGTCGGGCTACCCTTTTCCATGGAACCTAGACACGGGCTTCCACTTGCTCTCAACCATTACGCTACACGTCTGCCGTGGAACCGCCGAGCAATGCACGATGGGCTGTCCTCCAAAGGTGTGCAGTCGTTCCTCGTGCGTGGCTGCGTGCACATTCATTCTCGGCGTCGCAGACACTACCCGCCGTCCAGCGGGCACCCGAGCGAGTTCTCGAAGCACTTGTGTGTTAACAGCATCCGCGCCCCGAGGCTTGACTACACACCCCATGAGCCTCCCGCCTTCTGCACAATCCTGGCTCGTGGCGAGGAAGGATGGTAGCTCGTACGCCATCTATCATCTGGGGAGCTTTTCGGAGTGTCCATCGGCACGGCCAGCGATAGCAAGGCTAACTCGCATGCACACGGTCCCACGCCGCTCACGACATTCGGCCTCGAAGTTGGGTGCATCGACACACCCCGAGGTTGCGGCACATTGGGAAACCAGGTAATAAAGACACCCCATTTTGAAGCGGTATTGTCAGAATGAAACACAGCGCCTCAGGATCAGAGGTGCGGTCCGGTGGGCGATTCGCGGGGGCTTCCTACAAGTGATTTCAAGGCGAATGATGCTGGGAAGTCAAGTCCTGGCACAGACAACCCCAGGTTCATGTTACAACATAATATCCTCTCTATTTGACTACGGCCCCAAAACTCGTCTAATGTAAAACCCCGCCGAAAGGGGCAGGATAACGAAGGTTGTAAAGGGTATCATAAATCATATAGTACCGCATAAAGTGCAAGCCCACAGCGGCAAAGAAACAATGAAAAAAACACGACCATCTAATCCAGCGCGTCTCCCACCCCATCTCCCTTTTTTTTACCTCCCGCCTCGTCCACCGCCACGCCTGCCGCGCCCGCCGCTGCCGGCACTGCGTCCCTCGCCGCCGCCTCCCTGCCCGCGGTGGGCCCGGGGCGCGTCGGGCACGACGACCAGGCCCCGGACGCCCCGCAGCCCCATCTTGCCCACGGTGCTCTTCTGGAGCGACGGCGTCTCGGCCGCGCCGAGGGCGTCTCGCGCGTAGATGTTGGCCTGGGCGACGAGGTACTCCTTGTCCCACCTGAGCGGCTTGAGGTAGTTGTTGTAGTAGCCCAGCCAGGCCTGGTAGATCTTGGCCCTCTGCGCGTCGTCCATCCGGGCGGCGATGTCCTCGACGGCGGCGGCGGCGGTCGCAGAAGTGTCGACGTCGCGGGCGACAAAGGAGATCTCCTTGAGGGTCCAGCGCGGGAAGAAGTCCTCGGCCTCGCTCACGATGAGGATGCCGCGGCCCTCGGCGCCGGCGCGGGCCGTGCGGCCGAGGCGGTGGATGTACGACTCCTTGTCGGCGGGGATGCCGACCTGGAAGACGGTCGTGACGCCGGGGAAGTCCATGCCGCGGGCGACGACGTCGGTGGCGACGAGGATGCCGTTGGCGGCGTCGCGGTAGGCGTTGGTCACGCGCGTGCGCGTGTTCTGCGAGATGCGCGCGTGCAGCGTGGACACGGGCGGCAGGCCGAGGCCGGCGGCGAGGCTCGACAGGACGTGGCTGTAGAAGTCGGCGGCCGCGGCCGTCGGGGCGAACACGATGGCCTTGAAGGCGGCGTGGCCGACGACGCCCATCTCCTCCTTGACCGCCGCGACCATGGCGGGCGCGACCGCGGCGAAGGTGGGCACCTTGACGAGGTGCTGCGGCACGCGCTGGTGGGTGTTGACCTCGCCCTCCGGGATGGTCGAGATGAAGCTGTAGCCGGGCGACAGCGCCAGGGCGGCGACCTGCCGGACGTGGGGCGGGACGGTGGCCGAGAACAGCATGCCCTGGCGGTTGGTCTCGCGCTTGTCCGGCAGGCAGGAGATGATCTTCTTGAGCTCGTTCAGGAAGCCCATGTCCAGCAGCCGGTCGGCCTCGTCGAGAACGAGGGTATCGAGGCTGGAGAACATGTCCTTGATCATCTCGTTGGACATGTGGTCGTACAAGCGGCCCGGGGTAGCGACCAGGATGTCGCACCCCGCCAGAATCTGATTTTCCTCCTTGTTCTTGTTCGTCCCGCCGATGGCGATGCAGACTCTGCAGGAGGGGATCCTCTGCAGCAGAGCGCGGGCCTCCTTGGCGATCTGCATGGCCAGCTCCCGCGTGGGCGCGATGACCAGCAGCGAGATGCCGGACTTGCGGGTGCGTTTCTGGCTCAGGATGGTCTGGATGGCGGGGAGCAGGAAGGCGACCGTCTTGCCGGTCCCGGTCTTGGCCTGTACGAGGCAGTCGCTGCGCTTGGGCGGGAGCAGCTCGTGGAGGGTTGCGGCCTGTACGGGCATCATGTGGTCGAACTTGAGATCATCGGTGATGGTCTGGATGACGGTGGGGTGGACCAGGTTCTGGCCGGCGAGGTCGGCGAACCTGGGAGTGTCCATAGGGACGGGCTCGGTGAGCGGCGGAGTGGCGACTCTGGGAGTGCCGATTTGCGGCGAAGGGGAGGCGTCGAAGGCATCATCGTGGAGGTTGGCCGCCGGGCCGTCGTTCTTGGACGGGCCTTTCTTGTGGTGGCGCCAGGGACCCTGACGGCGTCCGCGACCGCGTCGTGAGTCGCTCATTACAAGTGCAAGTGAACCAAAAGATTCTCGTGATTCAGCAGAGAAATATTCGAAAAGCGCCGATCTTGGTCGCTATTGTTGGGAGATGACGAGGTTGAGATCACTTGAAGATGTCAAGGAAGTTGAGCAGGTTGAGAAGATTTGCGTAAATATTTATCCAATTCAGGCCTAGTCATGGTGCGATAGAGGATTTGATAAGAGATTAGATAACAAGTCCCCTTCGTGCCTGTGTTGCATGTGATGTCCTGGACTCCTGGTGGATATGACAACTGAACGCTGGTGATTGGATGGTTCATCAATCAAAGATCCAAGGGCAACTGTGAGTCGTCTGACAACTGTCGCAAACGATTGAATCATTGCTAGGGTCGCTCTCCGAACGACACGTTGGTTGTGTAGCAGGACCTCAAGACCGAGGAACAGAAAGTCTCCTCCCCAAAACAGACACCCGAATCTTGATCGGCGCTTATGTGAGCCCTTGGGATTGATTTGATCATAGGTAGTTTCATTCTCTGTACAAGTACGGAGTACAATAACTACCCCCGCACTGACATGGGACACCATCTCCGCATCCATACACATGTGCCGAGTGCCGTGCCACCGGGGGTGAGCCTCCTGCGCGGGGGTGCGGGTGCAGGGCTTCTTCGGAACGATTGCCCCGCCGAGGCGGATGTCGGCAGCAATGGCAGACACGGGAACAAATAAATAAATACTGTCTTTCACCTCTCGCCGAGACTGCTCCGCGGTTGCAAATACACTCACTTGCTAAGCCGGAACTCGAAGTGCGATCATTCTTGCGACTATGGCAATCCTCCAATCCGTGCTGTCCGATGATAGAGCGTTGCTCAAGGGCCTGTCCCTGATCGCTGGATGTCTTGTGCTCATCGTCACCATCAGCTCCTGGGTCCATTCCGCACGTCTGCCCAAAGGAGCACGACTACCTCCAGGACCAAAAGGCATGTACCTCAATGAACGCGGCCCTCTTCTACTGTATACCACTCGACTGACACCGTGCAGGCTCCCCCATCATCGGCAACCTCAACGAGATACCACCCCAGCATTCGTGGCTCAAGTTCAAAGAATGGGCAGATGAATATGGGCCTATCGTTCGATTGAGGCTCATTGGTCAAGAGCATGTCGTGCTTTCGACCGAAAGAGTCGCCAATGACCTCCTGAGAGAGCGCGGAACTCAGTATTCGTCCCGTGAGCAAACTGTCATGGCGGCGCAGCTTTTGTCGGGAAACCTGAGGCCGCTTTTATTGCCCTACAATGGTAGGAGACTCTGACCATAAGGCAAAGCCATGAATCTGCTGCTGTTACTGACAGGAAAACAGATCTTTGGAGGCGCGTCCGCAAATTGATGCACCGCTTAACGATGCCGAGTGCCGCCATTTCTTATGAGCCAGCTCAATCCCTCGAGTCCAAGCGCACGCTCTACAGCCTCTTGCGGGACCCTTCAAGATACCAAGAAATTTTCGAGCAGTATTCGGGCGGCCTCGTCTTCAGGATCGGCTACGGCAAGGCCATCATCACCGGGAATGAGAGTCAGCTCCGCCGTATTCTCGAGGTCGCCCATAATGTAGAGCGTATCGCCTCACCAGGGGCCTATCTTGTCGACACGGTGCCCCTCCTAAACTACCTTCCCGAACCATTAGCGCCTTTCAAACGCGAAGCCAAGCGACTTCATGCTCTCGAGCTAGGCCTTTTCCGAGAGCTATTAGAGGACACAAGAGCTGCGATGAGGGCAGGCACAGCGAAACCAAGTTTCGCACAAACCTTCCTCGCAGAACAGGAAAAGTTCGACCTCAGCAATGATGAGGGTGCGTATGTTCTCGGGACGCTCTTCGAGGCCGGCAGCGGGACCACCGCGGCAGCCATGATGAGCTTCTGCCTCGCCATGACTTTGCACCCTGAGTGGCAGAAGCCCATGTGGCAAGAGCTAGACGCGGTCTGCGGTGATCGGATACCAGAGTTCGACGACATTCCCCAGCTCCCAACCGTTCGTGCTGTCATCAAGGAGGTGCTCCGCTGGCGTCCCGTGACCGCGGGAGGCGTCCCGCACCAGCTGACGCAAGACGACGTATACGATGGCATATTCTTGAAAGCCGGGACCATTGTCCATGCAAATCAATGGGCCATCCATCGGGAGGAGGCTCTCTATCCGGAGCCGGAGCGCTTCAACCCGGCTCGGTGGCTGACCCCTGGCTATCCAACTTACCGGGAGCCGCTGACCAAGTTCCCATCCCTTCAGAACTACTCGGCCTTTGGCTTCGGGAGACGCATCTGTCCCGGTATGAACATTGCCGAGCGCTCGCTCTACATCTTGACAGCAAGAATAGCATGGGCCTTTGAGTTCTCTAAGAAGCGAGGACCTGGAGGACAAGAGATAGACGTGCCGCTGTATGATTATGTCAGCGGCTTCAACACACAACCCAAGCCCTTTGCGTTTGACCTCAAGCCGCGCAACGAACTTCGAAAGACTATAGTTGAGCAGGCCTGGAAGGATGCCGAGGCAAGTGACCCTTTACGAGGCCCGTCGTCCTAAAATTCGACTGGACTAGAGTGGACGAGCGTGCTCTGTAAGCGACGTCGGTCGAGCCACCGCATTGCATTGCGATAAGGGCGAGCGAGACACGCCCCGGGATAGCACACTCACATTCGCTGAATGCGCATTGATGCTCCTGCGATTTACCACGGCAATCATCAACCAAGACCAGGGGGGGCGTTTGACTCCATGTGATTTTCCAGGATAGGTATGTGGTAGATAAGCGCAAAGATCCGGGGGACAGTTGCTTATATTGGTAGGTGCCGAGCCGATCGATCTCTTGGCACGCTGTGAGACCAAGTTCGGGAGTTACGCCCGCGCCAAGAAGGACGGCTTCGAATGTGGCCCCGTTACGATGACACGGCGTTGTTCTTCAGAGCTGGCTTGGATGGTTTTGGAATGAGATAACTCTTCACGCCGGCCGTTCAGAGTAACATGGCGCCTTGTTGCGATATTACGGTAGTATTCATACGAGACAGTTGGATAACCTTCCGTAATAGGATAATAGCTTCTCAACTATGTTTTCTATAAGAGCGCCGGGGAGAATCAGACGAAGGCTCATGGGGACCAGCACCTCTGCGTCTTTTGCTCGGCCGTCTAGCTCGATTACTTGATTGTATACCTGCCATTGTCATCATGATTGTGCCACGAGTTTTCGCTCCCCTTCTGTTGGCCCTCGGCGCCTCTGCCCAACAGTTTGGATGTGGAACTGCCGATCCGGACAGCGAGCACATTGGCATGTCCAAGGTTCTCGCCGCTCAGGAGGCACGCAGAGGGGGCTCAGGGAACCTCACTGAGCGCGCCACCATCAATGTTGGCGTTTACTTCCACGTCGTGGCTCAGTCCCAGACCGTTGCCGGCGGATACCTCACGGTAGGAACAAACTGCAACCGCAGGATACCGATCCTCAAGCTCCCGAATGCACAGCTAACCTCTTGGACAGGACAAGATGTTGTCTGACCAGCTGGCCGTCATGAACACGGACTTTGCCCCTCACGGTATTTCCTTCAACCTCCTCGGCACGGACCGCACCGTCAACCCAAACTGGGCCGTCGACAACGACGAGCTGGCGATGAAGACGGCTCTCCGCAAGGGCAGCTACTCCAACTTGAACGTCTACTTCCAGACTCGCCTGACGGACAACGCCCTGGGCTATGCGTACTTGCCGACCTCTGTCACGTCTGGCAGCGCTGCGTTCAGGCGCGACGGCGTGTCGCTCAACGCGCAGACGGTCCCCGGTGGCTCCCAGACCCGCTTCAACCTGGGAAAGACGGCCACGCACGAGGTCGGCCACTGGCTCGGTCTGTACCACACGTTCCAGGGCGGGTGCACGGGTAACGGCGACTTCATCGCCGACACGCCGGCTCAGGCGAGCTCCTCGTCCGGCTGCCCCGTTGGCCGTGACTCGTGCCCCAGCCAGCCTGGCCTGGATCCTATTCACAACTATATGGATTACTCCGACGAGTAAGCAATCCCCCCCCCCCCCCCCCCCAAGATCGAGGATCGACCACAGATGAGCTGACCGGATCTTCTAGTTCCTGCTACGAGGAGTTTACGCCCAACCAGCAGGAGCGCATCTACAGCTTCTGGAACACGTATCGTGGTTGAACAAACTTGGCGGGCCGGGGGCTAGACGGAGATGGAGACGGGCTTTTGATGATTCTTGATGCATATTCTACGGATGACGCGGAGCATTTTGTACTGCCGGTTGGGAGGCAGTTTTCATGACGTGAAAGAGAAGCGGGTGCTTTGGTTGAGAGGGCGTTGTGTTGGCAGTCATGCGATAACATGGAAACTTGTATATTGAGCTGTACATATTTGAATATGGTTGAATCTGCTTCTAGTCGCAGCGCCAACCAACGGCGATTTGAAGGCTCCGGTGGAACTGGGGTAATTAGTTCTTCATGGAGGCTGTGAAACTCCCTGCGACTCGGTGTATTTACCCATCCCGGTATCGAGGAGAAAAGGATGTATTATACAGGTTGTCGTTGCAATCGATAACTCCGCTTCGAATCTTGAAGTATGTGCGATAACTCAGCCGGTCGCTGAATCGAGTCTGGAAAAAGGGCCTTTGTCTCTCATCAACATATCGGCCTACCATCCGATCACACCCTCGTTCGCGCATACCACACCGCACCAGCGAGCACCAGCAGGGGAAGCCCGACATACCCGCACAGCATCGCCAGCGCCGCCGCGAGCATCGACCGGTGCAGCCTCCTAAACTCGTTGCGGAAGACGCGAGACTCGTTGAGCCGCGGGAACGGCACGTCGCCGGGCGGCACCTCTTTCCCCAGGAACGCGCACAGCGGGCCCCAGCCCAGGTCCGCGAGGTCGATCTCGAGCAGCCGCCCGGGTGGCACGAGCCGCCGGACGAGGCCGTGGTGGCGCTCGTAGCCCGCGCGCAGGACGCGCCGGTCCCGCAGCTTGCGCAGGTCGCCGACGCCCAGCATGCCCGCGTACATCGCCCACGCCGCGCGGCCGTCAGCCGCGGCTCGAGCCAGCGGCCGCTGAGCCGGGCGAGGGCTCCGGCGGACGAGGGCAGCACGAGCGTGCCGAGGAAGCTGGCGGCCCAGGAGTCAAAGTCGCACCGCACGAGGACGACCTTGGCGTCCGGGTAGGCGGCCAGCAGGGACACGGCGAAGGGCGTGACGTCGGTGAGAGCCTCGCAGGGGCCGAAGTAGGCGTCCCAGTCGGCGGCCGTCGTGTAGTCGCCGCCGGCGTAGGACGGCAGGCTCGGGACGTTGGCCTCGGTGACCTCGGCCAGGCTGCGCCACTGCTCCATGTCGGCGACTATCGCCGAGGAGTGGAAGACGTCGCGGTATCCCAGGATGGTGAGGGCCTCCTTGAGGGACTGGGAGCCTGTGCGGTAGAAGCCGAGGGATATGACCTGCTTCTTGCGGGGTGGGCCCGGCGCGAAGGGAGTGATGTTGCCTGGAGGCGCCATCTTGTTCTGGCCGAGATCGATTTCCAAATCAAGAGGCGGTTGATTGTGAGACTCAAGACGGCTGACGCTACCAGTCGAGTCTTGAAGCCCGTCCGTATAAGTGTTCATGGGATTGTTAGGTGACACGATGGCCGCATGGGCGCTCTTGAGGCCGAAAAGTGTGATGTAAGAAGGATCGGCACCATGCATTATGGCAGTCGCTGGTAGACCATGAATTGTGGAATACAATACGAAAGCGGCTAACAAAGGAGTTTTCTAACCGGCTCTTCGTATCGAGGCAGCCGGTGGCTAGACCTGGCACGCTACGGGCCCGTGTAATCGAAAAAGCTGCTTGTGTCCTGTGGATGGCATTTCTTTTCTTGTCCGCCATCCCCGCTTTCATGTTGGGAACAAATGAGATTCCTAAGTCAACAAGGAATGAGATGGGCTCCGGGGCTCTGCCGGCAGAGCAGCACATAAACTCAGGTCTTCTTTTAGTGTTGGCCATGGGCCTTTAGTATTCGGGACTGCTTTTTAATTGATGAAGAGAAAGGCCAGGTGTTGAAAACGACTCTTTCAAAAGCGTAATTACCTCCGGAGCACCCGTCAAGCCTAATACTGCTCGAAACGTACAGGATTCAAGCACTATAACAACACTTGGATCAACAAGCATCCGGGCAGCACCTCACAAAACACTGCTTGCCAGCAGGGACGGCAACTGAGATTCAAGGGAAAGAGTCTCCCGGGATTGAATTTCGTTTCTGATCTTTTTCTATCTTCCGTGAATGACAAGCATTCTTTTTCCCCATACCGTAGCAGCCGCTACTTCACGCCTCCGAGTTCCATCATGCGTTCCCCAGCCTGCAATCTTTGCGGGAATGTTAGCCCATGTTGGGTCAATGTTGAGAAAGGAGTGAGAGGAGACGTCAGTCGTACCTTCGCGTGTCGTACCTCGCACGACGACTTAGGGGCGCATATAGTAGGCGGCGATAGCCATGCAGCCGAGGGAAGACGTGGCAAGAATCGCCCAGGTGAGCAACTTAGCCATGGCTTTGACCGCAGCGGCCTGCTGGGCAGCTTGGCGATCTCCCTGGGCCTGAAGAATAGCCTCATGGATCTTGCCGAAGCCCTCGTGGATGCCCGCCATGTCATTGGGAATGTTGTCACCAAACTGGTTACAGAGGGTGAGGTTACCGTCGACAATGGCGGCATTGAGGCACGCTGCCATCCGGGACGCCATCGGGCCGTCTGAAGGCAGAAATACCGCCTTCAGAACGGAGTTGGCGTCATCTCGAGGATTTCCCTCGTGGTGGTTGCGGCTACCTAGGTTTGCGGCTGTGGAACCTATCAGCATCACACTGCGCACGGCTTCGGAATGGGGTTGTAAATGAACCTACCGGAAGCGCCAGCCATCTGGCCGATTGCATTCACCGCGGCGTTGGCGATTTGATCCATGTCGGTGGTATTTGTACCAACGACGATGATTCGGATGTTCGAAGAAATGGCGCGAGTGACGGTGATCTCGTTGCCTTCTTGAACGACGGGAGTGGGGGGTGTCATGGCAGAAATGACGGGGCTAGCAGACATCGTGGCGAGGGGTCTTTTATCTTTTCAGACTAGAAAATGGGATCGAGGCCGCGATGCTCGGCAGAAGGGGCGTTGCTCGGCAGTAGGGGCGTTGCTCGAGGTCGGTTGGAGTTGTGATGGCCTGGACCGACTATCGATGGTTTGGTGGTGGGAAATACCTAGCAAAAGCATCCACACGCGTTCTTATACAGAGACTGCTGGACCGAGCGTCAAAAGGCAGAAGTCTAGTCTTGCAATTCACTCTAACTCAACAGCCCTGTGAGTCACTACCTAATGTAACTCACTTGTCCCAAAAATGCCCTTGTCAACTTTCAAATCATTCTTCAAATCAGCTTTGGGCTCACTTTGGTTTTATCCCCAGTGCCTATGATGCCTTGGAGAACCCAGTTAGGTGGAGTGCCCAAAGGGAAGGGGCTCCTTGCATAGACTCCTCCAGCACAATTCTAAGTAAAGTGTCTCGCTATTGTTGGTTTACCACGTCAGGTTGATGGGAAGGAGGGGTTTGCCAGGGCTTATGGGTAACAGTTCTATTATTGATAATAAAAACATTGATAGAGCCATCTTGGCTTTCATCTTTATAAGGTCAAAGATAGTTCATCCAAGATGTTCACACAAAGTCATCTTTATTTGGAGGATAGCAAGGTAAGGGACAAGTCTCATTATCCTAACTGTATCTAAGTTGTCTAGCTAGATAAAAAGGAGTGGCACCAAGAATATACTTCTCTCCTGATTCTGGATAGATCGATCACAAATGAGAGGATAAAATAGCGGTACCGCTTAGGGTTACAAGCCGGCTCGACGCCACACGGAATAGTTGGCACTCTCTCTAGGCTTCTGAAACTGGCACCTTTGAGCCTCAATTGACTGGATCTATAGTTTCCTCACTAGATAGAATGGGAAAATCTACAGTCGAAATTGGATGTGTATTGCGTACTTGGCACGATGATACACATGCACAAGCCCCATGCCTTCAAAGTTTTGCCGCTCCTCGTGAGCTGTCTATCCGCTGGCCTTCGTCGTCCTGCTCGGCTACCGTAAGGTCCGGAAGAATTGCGGGCATGATTCGCCTTGGTGTGGCCCCTGGCACGACGCTGTACCCAGAAAAGTCACTAACGCCGCCTTTGCGGCGGAGAAAGTCTTCATCTAGCTCGAGACAGCCGTTCACCTCTTCTGCAGAAGCCCGCAAGATCGCGAGGATGGCATCTGCAAAAATGTCCTGTATCCCACTTCAGCAGACAGCCCATCTCAAGTTTGGACGCACGGAACGACTTACCGGTTTCCTCAGATCTGGCAACACACTCGGATGATCAGGCGTGGCGGCGGATTGGATGGCCTGTTATTCTCATTTAATAGCTGTCACAACACTGCAGAAGACCGAAGCTTGCCAGTCAAGACAACTCACCACGGCAGGCCATATACTGGTGATCGCCATGCCGGTCTTGCCTTCACGCTGCCAATCCATCGCGAGACCCTTGGTGAGGACAGACATGCCCACCTTCCCCATTGCGTACGCCGTCTTGCCTCTGAAGAACCTGGAGTAGATGGGAGGGCTGACGACAATGATGCGACCGCTCCATCCATTCCGTGCAAAGTGCGGGAGTGCGGCCTGCACGGTCGCGTACAGTCCCTCGACGTTGACCCCCTGCATGAGTGGAACCGCTTCAGAGGCGTCCTCTCGACGGATGCCCACCAGATCGCCCCGGAATTGTAGACGACGACGTCCAGGCGGCCGAAGGACTGGACGGTGCCCTTTACCAGTGCGTCGACGCTGTCGGGGTCGCGCGTGTCCACTTGCAGCGCCAGGGCTTCGCCGCCGGCCAGCTCGATCTCCTTCTGCACCGTCAGGATCGTGGACTGACGCGAATTTGGATCTGGTGGAAAGGGCGCGCCTGGCTCGGGCGCGCTGTTCGTCTTGGCCGCGACGACAACTGACACCGCGTTCAGCTAATCAGAACAGGCAACCCAGGTGGCTTATCGCGGCTCCGTCTGGACCGGTTGCGGCTCACCTCTGTAGCCATTGCTTGCCAAATGGATCGCAACTTGGCGACCGATCCCTCTAGATGCGCCGATTACGAGAGCGACTGGTTTGTGATCACCCATCCTGGTTCTGTGGCTGTAGGATCAAGTTCGTGCATCAAGGAGAAGTAAGGTGAGCCCAGCTTCAAAGTTACGTTGACGGGGGTTGACTTCACAAGTGAAACTCGGTGTTAGTGGAGGTGGGGCTGCCGAGCTCACTCCCGTGGCCCCCGCCAGTAATCACTAATCACCCATCCCCGAGCACCTGTTAGTTATGTCTCGGAATTCCCTCGCGATTCCTTCCTCTAGACGGTAGTCGAGGACTACATCCTGATGACTCTCACGACAGCGCAATGTAGAGCAAGTGAAATGATGAAGACCATTCCTGCTGACTAGAAGCCACCAAAGTTGAAAGGAAAGACGACGAGTACGAGGAGACATTACAGCCAACACTAACATTGAATAAATGTTACACGCTAAACATGATCTCGATTCAACAAGTTATTGCGACGCCTTACGAAATGGATTCAATAGTGAGGATCTCGCACCTCTTCTTGGAGGATCGTGATGAATACTTCAAGTGGCTTTATTTCCCAGTGGGATTATCTTAATTCTCTGGGCGGAGTTTATATGCAGATGTGTCTGCAATGGTTCAACGACGCTGAGTAGTTGCACGCGTATATTGAGGGTAGTCACGGCAGACCTTCTGGCTCTAACACAATCCGTACCGATGATCAATCTACACTGGGTCTTCAAATGGTATCGTGGAGCAAGTCGAAGTCGAAACCTCATAAGGAAAACATGAAGTCAAGAAACAGTTCTTGGAATCAAGTATGGTGTCTTAGAATTATTTAGAAACGTTTCAGGGAGGCTCCCAAGGTTCAACTTACTGATCGGGTAGTCAACACATCTTATTAGGCATAAGTATCTTTAGCGAAGTCTTGGCCACCAAACAAAAAGTCCGTAAGGATAAACGATGCATAGATGGAATCTCTCTCGTTTCCCTTGCAAATACCCCGAGATGGGTCGATGTGCTGGCTGATCAAGCAAGTACACTACCCAATGCACATCATTTGGCATGCAAGATAAGATTGACGGGGTGCTACCGGTACATACCCACAGTGATGGCCAGCATCTGGCCAGACATTTATTACCTATAGGTCAAGTAGGCACAGGTACTGGTCGCCTGGGACAAGCACGCCTTGTATGGAATTCAGAGGCTCTCGACAGTTGGAAAAGTGGGCACAACCCAGCCCAAGTATCTCAAGTCAAGCGCACAGGAGGTCACTCTTGCGAGCCCAACTCTCCTTGGGCGCCCTGAAAGCTTAGATGAACACCTTTCTTCCCCAACAATACCACAAGCCAGTAGCGTTGGGTAAGAGAGTAAGAGAATAGGGAATCAACACGGCCGGTGTTGGTCGGTAGCCAATTGCCGCCTCATTTGCGGCCAGAGAGGTAAGTGATACTATTTGGGCCATGTCTCGCAGGCCTCTAGAAGCCGATGATGCCAACATGTTCCGACCCGAACGTGATAGCGAGGCATATATCGTTCATGCAGTGCACATCATGTCCGATCTGACTGGCCCAAAGCATGCCCTCGCTCTGCAGGTTGCGTCCTGGCGTGACCCCAACAACGTCATGCCTAGTGCATCTTCCGAGACGCTCCTCCGCCACAGCCTTGCCATGTCGTTCCCTCAAATGAATGGGTCACACCCCGCCTGGCAATCAAAATCTTGCCAATGAGCAGCAGCCGCGTGGTATGATTATGACGGATGTAGCTTCGGCAGTTCGCCAACGGTCCTGTCGGGGTTCATCGTGCCCGCCAAGCCAGCGCGTCATGGGCGGAATAATACAGGTCAGAGCCCCGCGTAATTGCTTCTTGTGATTTTCTGCTTCTGTCAAAAGCCTCCCGGAGAGCACGGCCGAGTATGCTACTAAGCCGGGACTACCGGCAAGACGATTCCAACGGCAAATAAGATACGTCGTAGCCCCAACGACCGTCCTTGACAGTCTTTCTCGGCGGAAGCACTGACCAACCCGAACGACAAGAGGTCAAGCGCATCCGGAAAAGGGCCGCCCCAGATGAGTGCCTCGGCGACGGGATCGACGAGCGGCAGTGGATCAGGCTCGACGGCTGACAACGGCTCGGGCTCGCTGGCGGAAGGGGAACAGAAGCCCAGGAGGGTGGTCATCTACTGGACATGTGTACGAGCTTCCCCCGCTCTACCATTCCTCTCGGCATCTTGCGCGGCAGGGAGCCATTGGCTGACCGCTTGCTGAATCGCGCAAGGCAGTGCCAATGCAGCTTCGGCTTGATGCTCCAGGCCACCACACCGGCATGCCTCGACTGCAGCCACATCCGTTGCCAAAACTGCAACCTCGAGACTCGAAATTAGATCGACTTGACCAACTAGCGCGCTCCAGCAGGCGAGAGTGGGAGGCAGAGAGAGGGTATGGTCGCTCGCTCGCGGGTTTTAGTTGACTACGTACTTATTGGTTGGCAACTCTGCTCAGACGTGACTTGGGTAATTCGATTGTGAATAGTTACATACCTACAAACGGCATTGAAGTTGAAGGTACGGGCTTTATTAGGACAAGTATCGCATAGCAATGAAATACTGAGTGAACCAAGTGAGTTGATGAGGAGTCTCGACGCTAGCTGTCTGGGGTGGCTCGATCAAGCACGGGCAGTGGCAAGATAGTGCATCTGAGAACTTCCGAGGGCTGCATAGCATGCCCAGGCAATAGGCTCTGGCATTTGCCTGTAGGAGCTCTATCTACCTTATTCAACGCGAGTCTCAACTCTCTTATCCTATCCCTTCAATGATAGCACAATAACGCATCCGTGGTTGCCGATGAGCATTAACGCCGTCACGGCTATCTGGCCGCGCGGCAAGAGAAAAATGTCAAAGGAGACCGACCGACTCGCCCAAACAAAAAGACTGGGACCCTGACTGACACTGGTCAAAACTTCGGAGACAGACACGACAGCAAGGAAGGGAAAATCAAGTCATCACTGTTTCAAAGGCAGGTTTCTTGGAGGCGGGAGGCGACATGATAGGCTGAAAATGGCTGGTGGAAATGAAGCTCGTGATCCAATGGCTGCCTAGGGAATGCCCAGAAATGGAAGGACCTTTGCACATCCCAGCCACTCACGTCGCTCCAAGGCGTGCAATTTGGGATCATTCTGAGCCAATCAAACCAACTGGAGACACCATCTCTTCCATTTCCGCCTGGGATGCAAAAAAGAGACCGAAAAAGGCCAAAAAAAGTACCAGCAAGTGTCCATTACATGGTTACACGTAAGCATTACTTGTTGCTTGCTGGAGAGAGAGGGAAAAGTACTTTGGCTCCTCAGCCTCCTGACGGACGAAACACCCATTTTTGCACACCGACATTTCGCCAATGATGCGTTGGCCGCCCAGGATGATTCCCTGCTTCGGGGATGCACGATCATCGGCTTCAGCACCGCCTCCTGACGACGCACTTTCTACGAACTTTGTCTCTGCTGATGACGGACGGCAGACGGTTGGGCGCCAAAACCTGATGTCGAGAGAGCCCTGCTCGGACAGGGATTGCGTTTTCGAGGCCCACGTGATACCAGCCACCTCAGCCAAAAACTCGCACCAGTGATCCCAGCCGCACTCTCGCGCCACATGAAGCATCCATTCTCTTCCCCCAACCCCGGGAAGGCAACAGGCGTGAGCCATTTTAACTCTAAATTTAGCAAGGGCCTCCAGCGCTGCTGCAAGTGAGCGACCCGGCTTGCTCGGAACGCTTCGTCTTACCAGACGAGTTGCAAGCGGTGTCGACTGCCGTGTTGCACATTGGGGATCTCCCCCAAGGAGCCGATCCTCGTACCCGCCGAAACCTTGTTTCGATGGCCGTGTGGATTTGGGGGGGGGAGGCCATCTGGCGGGGAAATGTGCAAATGGATCGCGAAGCTCACGGAGAAAACGGCAAGAGGAGAGCCTGGGTAAAGACACCAGGCGACGGCAACAGCAGCAATACTACCAGGAGCTCAGGCAGCAGATCTTGTACTGACGTGAAGGAAGTGCAACGCATGAACTGCGATAGTGTGGCGCGCGCGACCGCACGCGCAGAGAACGTGAGGTGTGATGGGCGTGGAGACCTGCCGGACTGTCGCGACCAGGCACTTCGGTACAAGATCTACAGGCTGCCTCGAGCTAGTGCGTCCCGTACCGCCCGGGAGCGATATCACTGCGAGATACAGTGAAAAGTGAAGCTTGGGGGATAACATGGCCTGGGTGGTTCGTATCTGGACCAGCCAGAAGCCTTCTAGGGACGCACAAGGCGTTCGGGAGCGAGGCTGCTGGGGGGGACGGATCAAGGAACAGGGAAAGAAGGGGAGGGAACGGCAATTTCATGTCGAGTGATGATGGAACATTCATTCAGGCACCCTTCCATTGCTCCCTGAATGCTTGCACAGGTACAGAGGCGACTCGCTGACCCTTTGGGAGGTGGCATCACGCCACCTTGACCAATCACATTTGGGCCGCAGGCAGGGCCATAGCAGTAGCACATAAGCTCCATGGATAACGGACACAAGCTTGCAAGTTGTAGGTACGCGTTCAGCGAGGCATTCTTCGCACGGTCTTGGATGTCTCTGGCCCCCACCAGCCACCATTTATTTCCGCACTTTGTGAAGACGAACGCGGTGTTGGCCCTCCCACACCCACATCCTGCGCCGCCGATAAAGGTAGGTACGTTGTGGGAGTGGGAGCGGTGACATCCACAGCACGCGTACAGTGTCTCTTCTTCGCATCGCAGGTCATTTCGAGATTATATGACTAATAGCAACTGCGTCGAGACAGTCACGGACGTGGCATGCAATGATCAGTTAGCCTCGCAGTGGCTCTCACTTGCTTGTTGTCTAGGAGCTTGGGGGTTAGTGAGGATACCGTAGATAGACAGCAATGCACTCTGTTCTGAATGCTTCGCCTGCATGTGATCTGCCTGGTTCGGTAGCAGAGAGGAGGGAGATGATGATGATGAGGATGGGCAAAGGAGCACGAGCAGAGTGGCTTAAAGTAACAAGTCGGAAGGGACTTTTTCTTCACTTCTTCGGGCGTGGTTGGACCCACTTGTCTTGGTGGCCCTAGGCTGAATCAGCCAGTCACAGACGTTAAAAGAGTCTCGCCCGCCCTCAAATCATCGTTCGACTCTCCCCTCGTCTCTCCTCCTCCCACAACCAATCAACCACCCATTTTGTCGGTCCACCAGACCACTCTTTTCCATCAAATCAAATCCTGCCCCTCTGCTGCCAGCTACCGAAGTCGACCATCGAAGGACAACGGTCTCGCAGCGACCCAATCAGCATTGCGTCGCAAACCGACCGCAGCGCAGTCGAAACAAAGTTGACCGAGTCGCAGTAGCTTTCACGCCCGTCGCCAGCCAGTGTGCGGTGTCGATTGATCGGATTGAAACACGAGCCTGGCTCTTGCGCGTCAGCCTCGGGAGTTTTCCCGGAGAATAAAAGCAATTCCCATTCAGCCCAGCCTGCTTGCCACGTCAAGCCCTTGCGATCTCGCACAGCCGGCAGCCGCTTTTCCCTCCGTCTGGTCTTCTTCTCTGGGTTGACAAGCGACTCGAGGAAGGACTCGCTCGCCTTGCACAGAGCCCAACCAGCAAGCGGCAAACAACGAGCAGTCTTGCGACGCGCCGCGACGGCAGTCAGTCACCAGCACAGGACCTACCCCCCCTTCCGACAACCCCGCTCACCCGCCGCCATTTCCTTTCTGACCACCTGTGACGTGACTACCTGCTAGCGCACACGTCCCAGGGCTTTCCGTTAGGTACCTCTCGGATCTACCTACATCAACTCAACTCCCGTGCATACGGTCATACCAAACCTCCTGGCTTACCGGAGCTGAATGCCAGTTGCAGCAGGCCAGAAACAGCGCGCAATTGAACCCGTCATCTTGCTGCAGCTCGTTGTCTCTGCCATCGCGCCGTTCTTTACCACCTTTCCTTCGGTGCAGTCAGTAATTGCACCTCAGACCGACCTTAAAACCACAGGTACTTTGACACGCACACACAAAGACGCACACTCCACACTCTCTCACGTCGTCACAATTGCGATAATCCTGGCTGCGGCATATCCAATTTTGACTGCCAGTGGGGCCAGAGCTCAGCCGGATTCCCTAGCTGCCTCTTTTGCGACGACCGGAGGACACGACCCAGAGCAGATCCCTGTCGCTTCGTGTCGCAGCCGATTTGTTAAGTAAGGCCGCCAGCCCACTGCCCAGGGAAATTCCAGCCAGCCATCTCTCTCCATCCTGACGCTGGACCCATCCGCGCAAATAGAAAAAGAGATCCCCAGACTCTTTTTCGACAAATCAGCACGCGAGGCATCCTCGTCGCGACTGCTCGACTTATCGCATCGCCGCAACTCCAGAGGCCTATCATCATCGCCAGCTTCACTCTCGTCGACGTTATTGGACCTGTTCCCAGTCCCGTGATTCTCCCTGCCTGCGGAGAACAATCTTCCAAAACACCCGCGACGCCCGTCTCTCGCGTCGCTACTGGACGCCTCGGTCATTGCCCTCGTCGTCCATTCCTCTGGCGACCCTCACGCCTGCTTGACAGGGCGTTGGGGTGAGAGTCTTGATTTCACGCTCCCTGTATAGAGCCAGGTATGTAGCTGTCCCGTTCTGCCTTCCTCTGGCCTCCGTGTGCACATTTGCGCTGCCTTCCGCATTCCATTTCACTTAACTTGTCGGCTCGCTGCACCTTTCCCGTCCTTCTCTCCCCCCCATGATTCCATGTGCGTGCCCGTTCTTCGAGCGTGTTACACTGGGTCTGCTTTCGTGTCGCTCGACAAAACGGGGGTTGACTGCTTACGACGCGTGGTTATGCAAAGTACGTCTGTCGTGGGTTGGGGAAAGTCTTGTGTAGCTCCGGCCTGGAGGCTTTCGCTCTTTGCGCCCGCGCCTTCTTATCTCACGCTCATTTGGGGACACCCTCAATCTTTCTGAAACCTGAGAGGGCATATCGCTGACCTGGTTGGTGCAGGAGAACCCGCCAGTCCGGCCAGCAAATCGCTGCCGCCGACCGTTCAGACCCGTGTGCCACTTCGGCGCAAAAAGACACCACACACACCATAAACCCAGGTATGTTTTTTCTTCTTCTTTCGAACCTTCTTGTTTCGTCAAGCACTCCGTTTCGAAATCACCCTTCGTTTCCCCACCTCTTCTGTCTCTCACCCCCTCTTCCGGCTCGCTGGAAGGGTACACCGCCCACACCCACATGAACACACACACACAAACAGCCAAGAGACCCGCCCACGGCGACACCATTGTGTCCCCCATTTCAGGAGCTCAGGCCGGCTCAGTCTATGGTGTGTCGCATCGTACCCAAGAACTCTATAGAGCCTGTCATACCCCCGGATAGAACAGCGATGCCTCGGTCGCGAGCGGTGGAACGGCATTCTGGCTGTGAACCGCTTCATCCGGTGCCTAGTCGGCATTGCCCAAACACACGAACGGCAAGGCGACCGGCGTGCTGGTGATGCCGGCGAGGCCTATTGCGAACATGTAGAAGTCTACCTGTGAGGGTCTTATACGCGCGCGTCATCCTGCAGCAGCTGCCTTGCGCTTTGCCTCGCAGAAATTGTCACCAATCCTTGCTACTGCAGCCCCGGCTTCATAGTGTGCAAACCCAGGTTGCAGATGGCCCTGAGGCTGCAATGGTCGGATATGACCCTGGCCCGCAACGTCGGCGGTCGCGATGCTTCTGTGACAAAGTTGTCAATCTCAATGTTCCGCCATTACCCCTCCCGTCAGGCGTCTTGCACCGCCGCCACCGTGGGCGAGATCAGGCTTGAAGGGCTGCTGAGCTGGTAACCACGGTGGGCCCGGCTCGTGCATATGCCGTCATGCATGCCAGCGCATCAGAAAGCGGTGGTGGTGGTGGTGGTGGTGGTGGTGGTGCCCCAGGGTCCAAGAATATACGCAGTAACCACCCCAGGATTTCCTGGCCCCCTCTTATTGTCACATCATCCGCCCTCTTTAGCCCAAACGGTCTGCGAGCGACACTGACGTTTCTGGTTGGACAGATCTCGGGTATAAGGGCCCTACCAGCATCCTCGACAAGCTAGCCTGCGCTTTGGGGCTAGATCCGTCGTGCTCTTTCGTCGCGAACCTACAATTACTTGCCAGTCGGCTGCCTCGCTTCGGTCCGCCCAGGGGCAAAATTCGAGGAGTCGCACCACCGCACAGAGCACTTCGCGCCAATCCCGCCCAACTAGCTCCCGCAACTGGATTCCTTGTCTTCTGAAGCACCGGGCCCAGTACCAGAGAGGGACTTACCTTCCGTACTGAACTGCACCGCAACTACATCGGGCTGCATATGCCGTGGTGTGACCAATTACGCACCTCCCTCCCGAGCTACAAGACTGCCAGCGCATCCACGCAGATCCAATAGATTGGGGTGTGAACATCCAACCCACCTCCACGGGTACCCAAGTGACGACAATCGCACCAACGCGCGTTGTGCCCAACACTCGGATCGGCGCAAGAGCCTCCTCCGCCAGGCTCTCAATTACATAGGCAGGTCGCTGCGCGATTCCAGCCTTCAGGACCTTGTCCCAAATACAGATTGCAGCAGCCACTTCATCTAGACGACCCCGCGATCTACACAGCGCCCTGAGTCGCGTCTGAGCAGAACGCCCACGACGAGCGAGATCCCGGCCCCCCAGTCGAGACTCTCCGGTCGCTTTCGCCTGCACCACATCCCGCGCTGCGGATAATGATGGAGTACGCGCAATATCAGCAACAACCACAAAGCACATATCACAATTCCGCATCGAACAATAACATCACATCGCCCACGAGCCAACATCTCCAGCAGACTTCGCCAATCCTGTCGTCACAGCAACACCAGCAGCAGCAAGAGCAACAACAGCAACAACCCGCGACGAACCAAACCCACAACATGTATCAGCAACCCTACGGCGTGCCTCAACAGGGCATGGGCTATGCCATGCCCCAGATCCAGGCCGCAGCCATGGCAGCGACTGCCGCCGCCTCGGGATCAAATTACGCCTACGGCATGTCCTCGGACCCAAGCCTCCAGCAGACCTCGCCGCGGATGGGCGGCGTCAACAAGAAGGAGGGTAGGGACCCCCGATCGCCGCAACAGATGAACAGCATGCCCCAGCGTCGCTTGAGCCAAGTCACAAGCCCCGGCGTGCCCAACGCGCAGACGATGATGAACCATGCGGGCGCGCGTGGCGGTGTTGTGCCGCCGCTGCACCCACCCCAATCCCCAGAAATGGCCACGGCACCCGTTGAGGAGTCCCCGCTCTACGTCAACGCCAAACAGTTCCATCGGATCCTCAAGAGGCGCGTAGCCCGACAGCGGCTGGAGGAGGCTCTGCGGTTGACGTCTAAGGGCCGCAAGCCGTACCTGCACGAGTCTCGCCACAACCATGCAATGCGCAGGCCGCGTGGCCCGGGCGGCCGCTTCCTAACGGCTGAAGAGGTCGCCGAGATTGAGCGCAGCAAGGCTGCCGGGGGCGACGAGAACAAGCCCGAGGGCGGCGAGACGGAGCCGGCGGCCAAGGCCGGATCCAAGCGCAAGTCGGAGGGCGGCTCGGGCTCGGCCAGCAAAAAGGCCAAGCTGGACGCGTCGAGCGTAGAGGAGGAGGACGACGACGATGCAGAAGATGAGAGCTAAGAGCCCTCGTCGCTGTATTCTGTTTTTCTATATTTGACTGTCACGATGTTTACGACCACCAGCACAGCCTCGGTTCTTGCTCGAATCTCTCCTCCAGTTTGTCCTTGGGTTCTGCGCTACGGCGACTTGGCGAGGAGTTGGGGACCTTTTCAGCGATGCTCGTTACAGCCCAGGGCAACCTGGGTGCTCCCCTTGTGTGGTAGAATGGGACCTGATTGATGTAATGGCTTTTTTATTCCCTCTTACTTTGTTTGACGGTTCGACGTCTTCTTCTCTCGGATTGGGGGCCGCGTTGGTGGCAACTGACAGGCCATGTCTCTTGCCTCCAAAGCCCGGCCACAGCACTTGTACAAACCCAAAACACCTTTTTCTTACCAAAAAACAAAAAACACAACCTCGTCACTTCTGAGTTCATTGGGTATATGGTGTAACAGTTGGGGCGGGACAAGGAAAGGGAGCCGGGGATTCTGGCTGGTCATGGGGTTTACAGGGAAGCGTCTCTCTGATCAATCAAGATTGCATGGAAGGACTAGGACTTGGACGACATGGAAGGATACCCGCAGCTCACCTCTGAAGCCTCTGAAGAACACAATGCCTGTGTTTGTGCTTTTGTCTTGCCCCGTCTGTCCAGATCTCCCTCGTCGAACGACCCCGCGATCCCGGCCCGGGCTCTGGAGCGCACATTCAAGCCTCGGGTCAGGCAGGGAGGATGGTGGTCTGGCTACCACATTCGGGGACCAGTGACGGGGCTACCAGGGGGATGGAGCGATGGCATTTGTTTTGGGGAGTTTAGCTGCTCGATTTTTGTCCTTTTTATTTTGTTCTTCTCTTCCCGCTCTCGTTCTTTTTCTCTATTTGGGAACTCTATGGACAATCGCTAGACATACCCCGACACTTTGTCTTTTTTTTTTTTCTTCACCTTTCGAGCGCGACAATCGCCCACCTTGGGGGGTTTTCACGGGCTTGTTTGGTCTTTTGTTGTTGGTTTTTTCTTGGTTGGGATCATCTCCGGAGGACGGAGGGCAGAGCACAGTACAATACACCACCAAAAAAAAAAAACACTACAGATAGCAATATCCCTGAGGCATACACTGCAGTGTATGCCTATAATATATGAAAGACTGCGTCGAGATTGACATCCTGCGTCTTTTGCTCCTCGAGCCGTCCTTTTCTTCGTCGAGTTTGCCATTGTGTTCAGCAGCGCATAAAGTGGTGCCCCAATTATCAGGCAGCAGGATGTGACTAAATGCACAAAGCGTCGTCAAAGTGCACGCTAGGCAAAAATGAGCGGCGGCTGGGGCCCCACTCCAGACCACACATCATCACATCGTCTCGCTGCAAGTTGTGAGAGAGACAAGCCTCAAAAAGTTGCATAAACAAGTCATCCACAAACCTCGGTCTACGACATAGACTGCGACCACGACACAAAGACGAAGCCGACAACGCTAGACTGAGACTCTCGGGAGGGGACCTACCCTTGTCTGAAGCAAGGCGCGCTTGACTCTTGATCTGATCTCAGCTCGCTCTCTCTCCCCCAGTTGAGACAGCGCGCGCCCGTAGCGACGCACCTACACACCACGATGTTATTCTTCAGGTTCGTGATGGCACCCGTCTCGTTTTTGGGCATGATTGTTCTCCTTTTTTTTGGCATCGCTGTTTCTTGAAACGGACGTGTGCTCTGGACGGGCTGGGCTGGGCTGGGCTGGGCTGGGCTGGGCTGGGCTGTGTGCAGGCGGGTGGCATCGCGGAGGTGTAGCCTGCGGAGCCAGAGATCGAGTGCAGTCAGTCGGGGGCGCGCTATGCCGAGGGAACTCTTCCCCTTCCGATCCCCCGGCGGCGCACGCGCACACCTGCTGCAGCAGTCCGTCCTCCTTTGGGGCGCGACGATGCCTGCCCCGTCCTACAGGAAGGCCACATCTGGCTTTCTTTTTATGCACGACAGGGAAGGGAAGAACGATGCAAATCGAGAGAGCTGTTTGGCTGACCAGATGCAAAATAACACACACAGCTTCTTCAAGACCCTCATCGACACCACCGTCACGGTGGAGCTCAAGAACGACATACAGATCAAGGGCACCCTCAAGTCGGTCGACCAGTACCTCAACATCAAGCTCGACGACATCCAGGTCGTCGAGGAGATCAAGTACCCGCACCTGGTCCGTCAACCCCCATGCTCCTCCTCCCCTAACCCGATCCCCTCTCCTGTTTTTTTTTTTATCATGGACAAAGAGAATGCTAAGACAGAACGTTCTCCAGAGCGCCGTCAAGAACGTCTTCATCCGCGGCAGCGTCGTGCGCTACGTGCACCTGCCCGCCTCGGCCGTCGACGTGCCCCTGCTGGAGGACGCCACGAGGAGAGGTACGTTTATTGCTCACCTTGCTTACCTTTTCCCCGCTATTGACACACGCCGTTCTACTACGGCTACGGAAATGTGGGTTTCTTCCCCTCTGTTACTGACATCGTTTTTTTCCCCCTCTGGGCAGAAGCCGCCAACGCGGCGTCCAAGAAGCAATGAGGGGAGGCATGATGGTGGGGAAAAGCTGGAGGGAGAGGGGCGGAGGGAGGGAGGGAACGGTGCTGGTAATGCGTGGGAAGCCCTACAGCATCAAGGGCGGAGCAGGGCTTGGGTCCTCGGATGAACTGGTGGGCGATGAGACCTGGAGGGGCCTTTGAAGCTGCTTTTTTCGGGATCCCTCCGAGCAAGGGCCATCACGAGCACGAGTCCGATTGGTGACACAAAGCCGATGAGGAATTCTGGGCCGGCAGAGCCCTCTTCTCCCGTTTTTCGTCCTGTTAGACTCGAGGGCTCAGGGGCGGATAGATAAAATACGCCATGCTCAGATTTTCGATCCGACAGGGACGAGCCAAACGGCGAAAGACACAACGTGAGACATCCTATCATTGAAACAAGCGAGAAATGAATCGCCTCACGCAACGTTCAAACCGTAAATACCTAGTCAACTGTGATATTTTCCCAGGAAAGACAAAACTCCCCCAAGAGAATCTCTGTCTACAAATGCATCCCTCTACCAGTAAACACCACCACCCCTCCCATCCTTACCATCCCACAACTTCACCTCGTCCCTCTCCCGGCTCTTTTGCTTCCCCTCGTCCTCCATATCCCCATCCCCATCCCCATCGTCCCCACGATCCTCCTCATCGACGAGGACCCTCACGACCCCGCCCCGCCGCCGCTCGCTCCCCCACCGGTCGAGCCAGCCCTTCATCCGCCGCCGCGAGGGCTCGCTCCCGACGTTGACCGTCGGCACGACGCGCTCGATGCGCAGGCCCATGACGAACAGCGCCAGCTCGCGGAACGAGCTGTGCTCGCTGTAGGGCACGCCGAAGCACAGGGCCTCGCGCGTGCTGCCCCGCTGCGGCACCAGGTCCCGCGCGCCGAACCGCGTGCGCCACCCGGGCCCGTGCAGGATGCTCGCCGTCGGCACGCTGCTGGGCGGCAGGTTGGCCCCGACGACGGCGGCCGCCGCCGCCGCCGCCTGCGGTCCCTGTCCGCCAGCTGCCCCTCCTGCTTTCTTGCCACTACCACCACCACCTACAGAAGAGTTGTTCGCCATGGTCGGCCTGTAGTTCCACCCCGAGGGCCGGAACCCGACGACGCGGCCAAAGTGCGGCCGGTACGACTCGAGGTACTCGGCCAGCGTCTCGGCCCGCAGCTCCATGAGCATCTGCATGTGCACCTGCGCCCGCGCCGGGTCGGCCGTCATGAGCGCCGCGAGCTCCGGGTCGCCGAGCTGCGCCACGACGCGCCGCTTGGCCGGCGGCGCAAAGATCTTGGTGCGCAGCGCCAGCGCGATCGACTTGCAGATGCGCTCCTTGCCGATGCTGTACGTGCCGCACACGACCAGCAGGCGGTTCCGGTTGCGCTGCTGCTGCGCCGGCCCCGTCAGCGCCGAGAAGGCGTCGTGCGCCGGCGGCGGCTCCTGCTTCTCCTTCTTGGGCTTGGTCCCGTCCACGACGGGAGCAAAAAACTTGCTCATCGTCTCGTTGTCGGCCGCGCCGCTGCCCTCCCGCCGGCGCAGGATCTTGTCCCACTCGGCCTCCCTGCCGTCCCGGAGCGCCTCGTCCAGCTCGGCGCAGAGCTGGGCGCACGAGCCGCTGACGTCCTCCTGCGGCGGGAACGAGTAGCGCGGGTTGAGGTAGGTCGTGTCGAGGTAGCAGACGTCAATCTTCTGCTGCCTCGTCCTGCCCGAGACGGCGTCGACCGTCTCGGGCCGCAGCAGCGGGTGCTCCATGTGCATCCGGCAGGCCCGGAAGTCGCCGCAGTGCAGGATGCGCTGCGTCCGGGGCCCCTTGCCGTTGTTGGCGCGCGGGTCGCGGCTCCCTGGCGTCGTCTTCTCGAACAGGAACAGGCTGCTGCCCGGGCAGTGGTTGGCGGGGATCATGGTCACGAAGACGCCCTCGGTGCCGGGGACTTCGGTCTTGACGTCGAACTCGAGCTCGACCACCCACTTCTCGGCGGTCCTCAGCTGGCTCTTGACGAGGCTGCCGGTGACCTTGCTGCAGTAGATGGGCCCGTGGGTCCAGTTGGCCGTCAGCCCGACGTAGTGGTCGCTGTGGAAGTGGGAGAGAAAGTAGGCATTGCAGCCCTGGACGGCGCCGTACCGAAAGGCGTCGACGCAGATGAAGAAGCCGGGCATGATCTTGTAGAAGGGGCACGTCCTCTGGTACGCCGGCTTGCCGCGGGCAGAGTGTTCTGCGGCGGCGGCAGTCGCCCACGCCTCGTCCTCGGCGTGGCCCGACATCAACTTGGCAAAGGCCGAGTTGGGCTTGGCTAACCCGGGCCCGGCACCGCCTTCGCCGCCAAGCGTGATGGGGTTCGACTGCCCGGGCCTGGGCATCGCGGCTCGGGCGAAACGCCTGCTGATTTCGGGCGCTTCCACCTGGGCAAAGCCGTTGGACGTCTCGGACTTGAGAAGGGCTGGCGGCGGTCGAGGCCGTGATGCAGGTGTCGGCACGGGGATCGGCTTGCCGTCGAGGCAGGCATTGACATGGACGGTCGCCTCGTCTGCCGTGATGCCGGCGAGACTGGCATTGCAGATGGGGCAGCAGGCGGCCATGGCGTCGTCCTGCACCGTCGGGATCTCGACTCCATCGTCACAGCTGTAGTCTCCTGCCTCCTCGGCCTCGAGCCTGGCCTGTTCCTCCATAAACTTCCTCTCGCGGAACTCTTCGCCTTCGTAATCGTCGTCGTCGGGGAAGTTTGCGTCCGCAAAATCGCCAAATAGGTCTTCTGTGGAGGGTTCCTGCTTGAGTTCGGGGGTGTCCGAGGCGGCCTCGGTCGCGTGGGTGATGATGTTGAGGATGGAGCGGTCGTCGTCCGGAGGGGCTTCGGGCTTGACCGTGTCTTGCGGATCGTGATCCTTGGAGGGCTCTCCAATTAGAGGCTTTGAAGTCTCCGCACCGGTGGGCGCAGTGTCCTCGTCCTCCGAGTCCGAATCGTCGAGGAACGGACCCTTGCGCGACGCTTTCCTCGACTGCGCGGGCGGCTGCGGGTGTATTGTCGCAGTCCCCTGGATCTCTTCGGGTTCGCTGCTCAGCTTCCTCCTCTTGACAGACCCCTGCACTTCATTGAACCTCGCGTCCTCCTTGGGAGGCCCTTCGTCGTCATCGTCGTACAGACCCTCCTCCTCCGGCAGCAGTGCGGATTGCGGAGCTCCCCTCTCGACACCAGCGACGAACAGCGAGTCCTCGGCCTTTTTGAAGAAGGACAGGATGCTGGAGTTTCCTGCGCCCTTGGACTTGGCTAGGGGCGTTTTGGACGGCGTGCTCGTCTTGGTCTTTGTCGCCCTCGGCGTCGCCTTGGCCGCCGACTTCGTGGCGGCCATTGAGTGTGGTATCGTTCGGACCAGTGCAACAATCGCAGTTGGGCAGTTTTCAGAGCGTGCGCCGCAAGTCCGTCAACATTGGGAACGAAACCATAGATGTTTGACCCCAATCACGGATCGCTAGGATGTTGTCGGGACACAATATGTTAACAATGAAAAAGGCATGCGGAAGTGCCAGTCACGAAAGCGGGCAGCAAAAAACCACGGCGTGGGTCGAGTGCCCCCAGTCGTGACGTCCTCCTCTGGCAACGCGACTTGCACTGCGCGCAATCACGTGACCTATTTAATGGTTTGACGTTACGGCTTCTCACCAGTCATCACCAGTACTTTTCAGTGCTGAATAGGCCGTGTATATACATGTTGATATTTTCAAGTATACGTTGGTCACGCAGTATGACACTATTATAAGCTTGCAAGGATCAGTGTATGGCCTGCATCGGGCCCATCGCTGGAAGCATCGATCGACTGTAACAACTGCATGAAGACTTCGAGAGCTCCTGTTGCCCAGTCGCTCATCCCATAGTTGGTCCCACATAGCAAAAGGACTACCCAGTGTATATCTCCTGGCAAGCGCCTGAACACCTATCCTTCCTTCACAGTCTACCAAACTGCATCCACTGCCATGGGCGGACGACCGGTCCTAGACACGCATCAAACAAAACCATCAGGCCATTCCCATCAGTAAGCCATGGCAACATCATTCGGGCCAGGTTGCAGCATGTCCGTCTTGGTCGAGTAGACACTCTCCAGCGCGTCGCGGACCTCGAACTCTTCCATCACGGCGCCGAACCTGCGGTGACCGGATTAGCAAGTCCGCTCTACTTGACATTCCCCAAGTAGCGTGGGGGAAAAGGGAAAAAAAAAAAAGAAACCCCAGGAACAAAAGAATATAACTCACCCATAGCACCTGACCTTGCCGACCAGCTCCTCCGTCAGCCTCTGAAAGTCGGCGGGGGCCAGCTCCCCGAGGCGGGGGTGCGCCAGCACCATTCCCCAGGCCATGACGGGCGTGATCTCGCCGTCCAGGTTCAGCTTGGTGCTGAGGTCGAGCAGCGTCGACAGGTCACCCTTGGACAGCTCCCACGTCTGCTGCGTGTAGCCCTTGGGGTTGAAGTCCGACGGCGGCAGGTCCCCTCCCTGCTTGACGTGAGTCTTGCCAAAAGGCACCTGCGGAGTGAGCTCGCCAAACGTCCTCGGGGGACACGACGCCATGAGGGCGTGCCCGCAAGCTTCGCCCGTGCCGTTGGCCGATCCGCGCTCAACCAGCCACGGGAGGTGGTCCATGCAAGGCTTCTCTAGGCTATATGGTTTCCCCGGACGTGAGCGTGTCAGTTGCGGCCCGGCCGGCTACGAGTGCGATGATTAGATGTGGGAAGCGGTGCTCACCTCAAGACAAAGTCAATCCCCGCTTGATCATAATCTATGCCCGGATTACGCTGCGGAACATTGCTCGCGGCATGGGAGCCGTGTTCCTGCCCGTGGGAATGGGAGTGCGTGTGGTTCGAATGGAGGCTTTGTTTCGGGGACAGTTTCTGCGAGTACTGCGGAGAGAACTGCGGCTGCGGCTGCCCCTGTAGCGTGCCGGCCGACAAGGGCGGCGGGGTGAAGGCGCTGGTGTGCGAACTGGCGGGGTGCCCGGTGAAGCTGGTGCCGCTGCCGGAGATGCTCAGGGAGGAATGGTGGCCGACGCTCGGGATGCTAGCGTTGTCGTCGTGCATGCTGCTACGTCCCGGCTGCAAGAGCCCGCCCATGGAGATGCCGTTGCTGGTCAGCAGCTGCTTGAGCTGCCGGTTCTCCTCGGCAAGCCGGTCCTTGTCTGAAGTGACGGCGCTGTAGACCTCTTTCAGGCGGAGCACCTCGTCCTCGAGGGCTTTGATGTAGAGCTCTTTCCTCTCGCGGTGCGTTCGCTGGGCCTGCCGGTTGAGCTCCTGCCGGCGGGTCAGGGCCGGTTTGGTATCCGGCTTGGGCCCGCGGCGCTTCTGCGGCTGGCCATCTGAGATGACAAAGTTAATCCAAGACAACGACGACACCTGCCTCGGCGCTCACGCCGGCCTCCCCTCGCTGCCTACCTCGGGTTGTGCGCTTATCATTGAGCGACTTGAGAAAATTGAGGTTGAGGGACCCCAGAGGGCCCCTGTCGGAGCCATCGGAGGGGCCGGCCCCGTTGCCCGGCCCCTGGTGGTGCGGCGGCGACAGCGAGGACGACATGCCGCGCTTGTCGTGGGCCGAGAAGAATGAACCGCGCCGCCCTGGGGGTGTGAGGGAGTGCGGTGGCGAGGGATAGGCCGCTGTGGCCCTCGGGTTAGCAGTCTTGATCATTCTGATGTGTAGGGGCAGGAAGAGAGATATGTGCGGTATGGGGAAGGAAAAAGTGAAGCGTGATGGGAAGGACGGTCAGGAGGAATGGGTTTCGGCGCCTCTCAAATATGCTTTGCTGTGAGACACTCGCGGCGCACATGAGATAACCGTGAGCAACGAGGACCGAGCCACGCTCAGACCGTGGCGAGGACAAGCAAGGAACGAGCGGGCGTACCTGACTGGCAGCGACAGCGAGCAATAGAGTACTGTGCCAATTGCTATATATATCAAGCCGGGTTTGACGGACAGCGGTGTGTGGCAAGTAACGGGTAGGGGAGAAGATGAAAGTTTGGACAACGAGCCTTTGAGGCTCGAGGATTGTTCCCTGGCCCGGGAGCTCGCTGCACGGATGGAGGGGGGGAAGCGAGCTCTACAAGCGCAACGTTGACGACGCACAGCAACAGATGAAGAGTGCCAGTGCCGGTGGTGTGCTGGTCTCACTCGCGATTGGAGCCCGGTCAAGCTGAAACCGAGGAAGCGACACAGTGGCGTCTGAGCTTGGAGTATCGCGGGGGAGATCTGCGATGCGATCTCGTTGCCGTTCAAAAAGAGTATCCTGGTCGCAGGAGCAGGGTGTCTCGACCCGACGCGATGGGTTTGTCGGCTTACAGCAGCAGTTGGGGGACCACCAGACAGACCAGACAGACGACCCGACGGCCGTTGATGCGCTGATGACCTCCGTACGAGCCGAGCAGAATGGGGCTGAGTCAACGCTACGGTCAGATCAGAGGTTTTCGAGGGCGGCGCAGTCCCAAGTCTAGCACACGCTCGTTCCGGCTGGCGCTTGTTTTTTGGACGCCGTTGGGGACGGAAACAATCGACATCCGTCATTCGCAAACGTTATCTGTCGATTCGGCCTACGGAGTAAATTGAAGGTTCGATCCCGCACTAGGAGTCTAGGACACCGGATGGCGAGATCTGGTGTGCCTGGAACCCCCGCCAAGAACGGGCCGGGTTCTTGACTCGATGGCCTCCACTTGTAGGGCAGCCAGTCACTCATTCGAGATCGTTCAGGGGGTCCGCGGGCTGGTTCCCTGGGAAATATAGGTAGCAATCCTAGGTATTGCCAAGATAAGTATCGTTTATGGACCGGACTGTTCTGTATCAAAGCCGGCATCCCGGATATTGTTGCAATGGAGACTCTCCAGAACCAAACCGTGATCCAGCGCTGTCACGATTGCCGGCAGGAGCCCCACCCAGCGAGCATCGGAAAATGGATGACGGTCACGACTGCCATGATGGCCATGACAAATGCCCATGTGCTCTCCCCTTATTACTGCGACATACAACCAAGCCCTCTTGCCCTCGCATCGTCATGTCACTCACACACATATCTTCACATGCAAAGTTGAGTTGCACATCAGACAGCCAGTCTCTCGCGGTGGCACTCGCCGTCGGTCCTCCGCAAGACCATCTTGCCCCAGGAATGTCTGTGCGAACCTCCAATCTGAAACAGAAGTACACATGCTGCTGAGCGACAGCAGCAACCTGTTCTTGACTTTTGGCCATGCCCGCGGGTGGCCTTCCTTGCTGTCTTTCTGTCTCTTTGGTCCGCTCTAATCACAATATCAGCTTGGGATCCCGTTCACCCGGAAGTCCTTCCTTCTAATTAAACTCCAGAAACTCCAGCCGGGGGTCTCGGAGTTTCACCACCCTCCACTCCGGCCTCCGTGTCACGACAGCCGGTCTCGGCAAACGTTCATTCGCACAACACACGCGCGCGCGCACACACACAAACTCACCATGGCACAGCCCGCCATCGTCACCACCGCCCGAGGCCTCGTCCTCGTCATCCCCTGGCTCATCTGGCTCCTCGTGGCAGACATCATCCTCTCCCTCCTGCTGGTCGCCCGCGCCGTCCTCTCGCCCACGGCCGTCTACAACCTCTCCTCCCACACCGCCGCCTCGGTCTGGCTCTGGATCCAGCACATCTTCGAGACGGCCAACGGCGCCGAGATCACCACCTCGGGCGACCCTTTACCGCGGGCGGAGTCGGCCATCGTCGTCGCCAACCACGTCGCCTGGGCCGACTTTTACATGATCCAGCACCTCGCCGTGCGCAGCGGCATGCTCGGCCGCTGCCGCTACTTTGCCAAGGCCCAGCTCAAGCGGGTGCCCTTCCTCGGCTGGGGCCTCTGGGCCATGGGCATGCCCCTCGTCACCCGCAAGTGGGCCCACGACCGCCGGGAGCTGGACCGCGTCTTCGGCGGCATCGCCAAGGGCCGGTGGCCGATTTGTACGTTCTTCTCCGACTAACTCCACCTCCGGCTTCTCTTTTTTCCCCTCTCTCTCCTTGCTTTACAACACCCTTGTATACGGTGATGACACTGTTCTCTTCCTCTGTCACGCCGTCCACTCACACAAGACCACCAAAGGGCTCATATCCTACTCCGAGGCCACGCGCTTCACGCCCCGCAAGCACGCCGAGTCGCAGGCCTGGTGCGCGGCCAACGGCCGGCCCCAGCCGCGCCATCTGCTCTACCCGCGCACAAAGGGCTTCGTCGCCACCGTGCGGCACCTGCGCGCCGCGGCGCCGCACGTCCGCGCAGTGTACGACCTGACCATCGCCTACGCGGACCACACGGGACAGTTCGGCGCCGCGCCGTCCATGTGGGAGACGCTCAGCGCGCCGGGGCTGAGTGCCGCCGCCGGCACCGGCGGGGAGGGCTACCGCTTCCACGTCCACGCGCGGCGGTTCCCGCTCGAGGACCTGCCGCCCTCGGACGAGGAGCTGGCGGCCTGGCTGGAGAGCCGGTGGGTGGAGAAGGGGGAGTGGCTCGAGGGGAAGAGGTTGGAGTGGGCTGCGTCGCCGGCCGAGGGGTGACATGGAGGATGGGGGTGTATGGCTGCATGAGAGGGAGAGCACCACCCGAGGTGGGTTCCGTTGTCACCTGGGCGCGATGATGAATGGTGACGAAGCAATGTATCCTCGCCTTTTTGCGAGTTGTCTCCATCCGCTCAGAGAGAAGGTCCAGCCGCACACCGCCAAGGATCGAACTGCTTGCCGATGCTCTCCGGGAAGACACTGCATCTGCGATCGAACCACGCGTGGCGCCACGGGGGTCATGCACTCATCAGCCGTTGTGCGCCCACCGACCGCTCTGCTTCGCCTGCGGGACCCAACAGCACGAGACCATTGTTTGCTTTTTTTTTATCGCCTTTAACCCCCCATTCAACCAGAGTCGCACAGCATTGTCTTCAATTGCACGTAGGACCTGTCAAGTACCCAGTCTGGCGGACGGGCAACGACTCGTGAGAGGAGGAAGGATGGTCAGCAGTCGGGTGCGATGTCTCAGCGGTCAACCTTCCCTGTCCCGGGTAAATTCCGTCGTTTGCATCGAGGGCATGGAGCCGGCAGAGAGGGAATCGGCCCATGGTAGGGAGTGACCATCGGGCCTTGATTGATAAGAGGCTTGCTGTGATTCAACAGACTGATAACTAGTTAGCATGCTTTATCAGCTGTCAAATCATGAGCCTCTCTCCCTTCCCTTCTGTCGTGTGTCCCAGTACCACGTTTCATGGCTTCCTGGTGTGTACTCGGTCAGCCGTCAAGACGGGACGTGATTGTCGTCTCGTTTCCGATTTATCCAGAAGACCCTAGGGTTTCGTGCCGTCCAGAAGACACACACCCTCCCAAGCACGAAATTCAAGTTGAAACGAGTAACAGATTGACACACTACCAGAGTTCAAGCAACCTCCCCCCCCAAGATGTGTGCCGTCGTCTCCTTAGTGCTGATGGCTTACCGGGCTTCGGTATTAGTCGCGAAGTGCCCATCGTAACGAAGACATGCAGTAGTTACATTTTACCGGGAGATGAAAAAGCACACACACACACACACACAAGAGCTGAGTCTGAAAATCTCAAAAGATTCTCGTGGTGGCGTAACGTGCACCTTTCCCTGTTGGACATTCTCAAGTTGACTTTTACCTTTTGTGCTCTTTGCAGACAAGTCCGAAAGTACTTATGTAGTCAAGAAGTGATCCAGGAGCCGCGATTGGTCCTCGCAACATCCATCGTTGGACGTTGTGCAGAGAAGAGAAGACACGAGCTAACAACCACTCTGCATCTTGTACCATTGACGACTGCCGTCCCCCCCTTCTCCCCTAGCTCACCTGTCGTTTGTCAAACTAGTCGTACATCCGTAACGCATGCCGAGTGATCATGCATCACTGGTGATATAAAGGAGTCAAATGGGTAGAACATGCATCCCTAGTGCAACTGAGAGAGTTGGACTTCGGTCGCCGACTGCTTTCTCGAAACTTCGACCAGACTTCGACCAGGTGTTGCAGCAGCTCATGGCACCAAGGCCCGGTGTAACTACGCCGCGTCACTCTCATCGGACGACTGTACCAGCTTGAGGGATCGTGATGATCTTTTGGCAGTCTGCTTTCTATCGCACACTTTTGGATCATGGGGTTTACTGTAGGTATTCAGCGTCGCCGATCACTGCGCATCAATATCTAGGACCGTTTACACGCAAGCAAGGGACAGACCTGACCTTGCACTCTCCGAAGGGCCAATGGCCAGCAGAGCCGGTGAGAGTGCCAAGTGACGAATGTGTGCCTTTTTCCAATACGGGGTGCCCGTGCAACCCTACTAGTCGTCCGGCCTGCAGCAGGGCTAGGAGGTGCATGCAACGACCAGACAGCTTGCGGGGGTTCTTTTTGGGGCACACTCGCCCGCGCATTGGTCTACATGGATGGGAGTGAGCAGGTTCAACCACCATGCAGGACGGCCACACACACACACACATATCCACACACCGGCTCGCCTTGATGCATGCATGCAAACTCGGGGAGAGGGCTGAGGGGCAAAGCGAGATTGGCTGGGAGCAGGCACGAGATCCTCCAAAAATCCAGGATTGCGCATGTCAGAGTGCAGTAGCTCGACAACTTTCTTGCTACCTGTCTCCGTGCTCTGCTCCTATTAGCCTGTCTGCAGCGTCTGGCTGTATGCCGCCGGTCACGGCTGCATCTGTATGTAGTCTTGTGAGTGTCGGCAAGGTGTGCGAAAGCAATTCCCTCTCCCGGGCGACCCCACCGCGCGCCGCCCTTGGAAGGGCCATGGGCATCGGGCGAATGCGGTCGTCCGGAGCAGAGTTGCTTGGGAAAAGGAGCGACAGCTCCCATCTAACACGGCCGTGTGGACGAGCCCCAGCAAGCGAGAGGGAGGCGTGGGAGGCCAGGCCATTGACAGGTGGTGCGGGGTGCTTTCTTTGTCTCGAAGTGAGGTCATCCCGGTAAACCAAATCGAGATCGATGGGCAAGAATGAGATGTGGTCACGAATGCTGCTTTGAAAAGGGGAGTGGGTGGTGGTTCATGGGAGGTGTTGTTCCTTGACTGTCATGGCGGCATGGATGTTGGTGAGCCTCTTTCTTCCTGGATCAGGTAGTTTGAGGTTAGTTGCTGGTACGCTTCCCGTACAGCTACGGCTGGCCGCTTGGCTTGTCGCCAAGGCTGGCGGAAAGGAGGCATGCGGGGCGTGAGCTGGGGGTGATGGGGTTCTCAACATGTTTGCAATAGCCCAGGTGCAACAGGGCGGAGGTAGGAATGGACAGTCCAGCCACCAAGGAGCTCGACTTCTGGGACGGATCAGCCATTGCAAGCGAGACGAGGCAGGCGATGGCAGATGCGGGGAGCCAGGCAAACTAAGAGATGTGGAGGTGGAGATAGCCGCACCACCAACTTGCATCCGGGTTGAGGGGCAGCGTCGTGATCGATGGTGTGGTGATGGTGCCAGCAGCGAAAGAGACACAGGGATCGGAAAGCGTGCCCGCCACGCGCGACCAACAGGACAGTGAAAGCCGTCGAGACCAGCGAGAACCGGCCTGTCGCCGAGGAAGCAGGTCAGCTAGCGATCACGGGTCACACGGGCTGTAGTCACTGCAGATCCGCTAGACGAGGAGCAGTGCGTCGCGCAAATCTTGAGACGGCTTCTGGGGCCGGAGCGTTCATCCCATACCAGACGCAGACAGCCAGTCAGCCAGTCAGTTCATCCATCGTCTTGCTCTTGTTTGATCTCTTGACCTCCAAGGCCGTTTGTTGAATCGTTGGGCAGGTATTCAGAACCCGCACTCAGGGGCCAGGGTACAGTGAGGTTGGCGTCGTCACTGAAGACTCGGGCCAACAGGCGGGTGATTGTTGTTTATACGCAGGATCAGCCAGAATGCATGAAATGGAGACGGACGGCTTGTTTTTTGAGTTCGAGATGGTTCCGCGCCTTGGCCCGTAGCCGGACAGGAAGTGAGACCCAGTCGTCAGGTATGTGAAGCCCATGTTGGCAGGGTTATTGACCTGGCTTGCCTGGCCGCTTGTTTCAAAATCAGAACAGAGAAGGAAAATAGAAGACGTCCGGCCGGGGTGCGCATGAAGCCATTCCTTCTGGCGCGCCGTGGAAAGAAACACAGGGATCCTGGCTTCGAGTGCTTCGAGCACATCTCGGAGGCGTCTAGCGAATAGCGAACCAGAGACCGCTCCTTGGATGTTGTTTCCAAGGAACAGGTACGTGCTACCTTGGCTGACTCATATCCTCCCAGCTGGCCAGCGTATCCTGTACGTGCAGCTACAGGGGGGGAAGGGAAAACACAGGGTATCAGGTCTGCTGATTGGCCGATAGCCTGCCATTACCCCGCTCTGGAACCAACCCGCGCCCACGCATCGGCTCTGGCCTAATTCACATCAGTACGTACTTTACTAGCGGACCTCAACTGAAGGAAGGGCTTCTCTTCAGCACCCCCATCTTCCACTTCTCGTCCCCCTCACCCTCCCTGGGCTCACATTCTGGCTAGCTCGTACCAGAATGTCCAAAGTGGTCAAATATAGGGAGGGATCGCTGTCGGCACAGCAAGTAAGACGGTACTTTAGATAGGGCCCCTCGTAAGCGTGCATTGCAGAGCGACACCAGACCAGACCACCACCACTCCCACATCACATCAAGTCTTCATGTAATCAAGGCACCCGTGGACCTCCTCTCTCGAGTTCCTAGCCTAGGTAGTTAGAGGGTACCGCATGGTGCAGGTCCCAAGCAAATCACGTCTGGGCAATTTATCTGGTTTTCTTGGGTGGGATTAGGAGAGACAAGGATGGGTCCGGTTCCCAGGACAATTACCTAGAATTTGGGGGGTTTCCCACGGAGTTTGTAGCCGAGCCAAGCACAAAACGCCCTGGAAGCAACCGCCAGCCCACTATCCAACGGGCCTGGGTGCCAGTCAAGTGCCAGTCAAGTGCCCGCGCGCCGCCTGCAGCGTGCTCGCTATTGTTGCTGATCCCCACATTAAACTTTCCACCTTCGCGAGACCGACTGACACACCAAAACTCGGGCCCACGACGAGTCGACGACAACACCACCGGCGATACACACGCACCCACCACACACACGCACATACACACACACATTCACACGCTTCTCTCCCTTCTTTACGGCCACCTCGTCCCCGCCCGTCACCAACTTCCCAAGCCTATATCCTCTTGCACCCTCCGGCTTCCTTTCCTGGCTCGTTCCCTGTTGGTAATTGAGGAGAGAGGAGCAACGCCCGAACCTCCGCCTGCAATTCCGAGGATTCCCCACCCCCGGCATCCTCATTGCCTGCGACCTGGGCCATCCTGGGCGAGGTCGGAAGTGCCCTGGTCGACACGACACGCCCAGCTCCGTGCATGCTCAATGCGAGCGTGAATCTTTTCACAACGCTTCGAATTTGCCTTCCAAAGCCCCGCAAGAAACAGAGACGTCTAAGCAACAACCCGTGATGTCTCTTGTCCTCGCCGACTTTTAGCTCTGGCTTCCGGGCCAGCCAGCCTGGCTTTCGAAACTCCATAGCCAGCGTCGACGAACACACCTCGCCCTTCCAGCTGCCGACAAGTTTTTCCCTCTTACGTCTCGACCGCGCGCTCCAATTCCGATAGCAGCCTCTCTAGCAACAAACATCACGTACGCACGAGTGAGAGCAGGCCACGGGTCGACGAACTTTACGCACTAGAATAGGATATCCGGGGGGGCAGCAAGCCAAGTCTCTCGGATCCAGAGCTGTCAGATGCTTGCACCGACGTCTCTGAACCCCCTGCCCGATTTCGCCCAAGATGAGCACAGATCCGAACTCGCTGGCTCCTCCCGCCATCAAGTCGTTGCGGGCGGAGACGGCGGGAGTCATGCAGCGTTCCATTAGCGAGGACATACGCGAGGAGAGAGAGGACCTCCGCGAGGCTGCCGAGCAGACACTCAATGTCATCCTCGACCTCAACATGGACGGCACCGTCCGCTGGGTCAGCCCCTCGTGGGTCGATGTCATCGGCACCCAGCCAGAGACTGTCCAAGGCAAGCCCATCGCCGACATCGTCGCCGGCGACAACAAGACTATCTTTACCGACATGGTTGAGTCCTTCAACAAGGACGATTCCCGTAGTCAGTTCATCCGTTTCTCCGTCAAGCTCGGCCCTCTCTCGAAACTGCTATCTTTCGACGGCATCAAAGATGCAGAGGCCAGCCCCGAGGAGGAGGTCGTGGACCTCGAGGCACAGGGCATCATGGTCTATGACGGCGCCTCTGGAGCCGACAGCCATATGATGTGGATGATTCGACCATGGGCGGCCCCACGAGAGATCAAGATCGACCTTCCTCCCTTTCTCGTCGAGTCGCTCGGCTCCGGCGCCGAGATTCTCGCCAGCTATCTCACCCAGCTTGCTGACACAAGCCTGGAAGATCCCGCCAATCCTGCACCGCCTCTCCCCGTCCTCTGCCGGATATGCGAGCGACAGATCCCTCCCTGGTGGTTTGAGAAGCATACAGACCTGTGCTTACAGGAGCACCGAGCCGAGATGGACGTACAAATGGCGCAGGAAGCCTTGACAGAGCACCGGCACGCCATCGTCAAAGTCCTTGATGCGCTCGAGGCACGTAAGAGCCGGTCTCTGACAGGCGAGCAGACTCCCTTACCAGTGGCTGAGTACAAAGGCATGCCCATCGGCCCTCCTCCCTTGACATCGTCTTCCTCGACTACACCATCGCCTTCTCCGGCCACAGGTCGGTCTCGCGAACGCTCGTCCGGCCTCGGCCATGCTAGGGGCCGGTCCTTCGCCGTCCGACGGCCGCAGGCCAGAATTGTTGAGCTGCTCCTGGACTTGTGCGACACCGCCATCGAGATCAGCCCGCCGGCCATCAAAGAATCCTCGTCACAAAACCCCGGCGAGCTCCGCACACAGTCGCCTCAGTCCGAGTCCAGGATATCGCAGGTGATGCAGTGGCAATCGCCAAGCAACAACACACTGGAGCAGGAGCAAGGCCTTGCTCTGCTCTGCGCCGATACCGAGGGCATAGCTAAGGGTAAGGTCGAGGCCGTCTTTAGACACCGCAAGATCATCGAGTACGCCGAGCGCATCCGCGTCGAGTTTGCAGTCATCGTCCAGGAGTGCATCGAGGAGGCGATGCGCAAGGCCGCAAGGATTGCCGCCGGTTGCCTGAGCGAGAGCGAGTCCAGCGACAACGAGGAGGCCGAATTGTCGGAAGCGACGCCCGCCCGGGAGGAGGCATTCTTTGCCGGCTCCTTCGATGCTCCTTCCGTACTGGATGCAGCCATTAGGAAAGCAAACATCAGCAACGACGTGGATCAGCGGCGCTTGTCCTCGGCCGCCATGGACTCCGTCAAGTCAAACAGCCCAAAGCAGAGCCCGACGCCGCGATCTCGCGGCACAGGCAGCGCTACCGGGCACCGGGATACGCGAAGGGAATCGACCGTGTTCGAGAGCGATGCCGGGGAGAGTGACGGCAGCTTTAGGTCGTCCTCCCTGGCGTCCCGACCGCCGCCCAGGACAGAATCTCCCATATCCGAGTTTGGCGACTTGCGCCGGCAAGCCAGCTCGCGGCAGCACCATCGGAGAAGTCTTGTCCTACCAGGATCATCTTCGCCCCGCCGGCAAGAGTCGCCTTCGCGGTCCACACAGGCACCGTCATCGCCTTTGCGCATTACCAAGCCTCGCACCCTCCCCTTCCCTCCCTCGGACGGGCTCATGTCGCCCGAGGCATCGCCTATGCTGCCCAGCAGCGAGTTCAGCTCTCCAAACTTCAACCACCATCACCTTCATCATCACCGCAGGCAGTCTTCGGCCGCCATGTCGCTGGGTCCGGGAGGTGACGCCGGCTCGCGGCCACCGCCGTCACCGCGACTGGCAGCCGCCAATGCACAGCCGCTCGCCAGAGCAGTGCCGCCCTCCATCAAAGACTTTGAGGTCATCAAGCCTATCAGCAAGGGCGCTTTCGGGAGCGTGTACCTGTCCAAGAAGAAGTCGACAGGAGAGTATTTTGCCATCAAGGTGCTCAAGAAGGCCGACATGGTGGCCAAGAACCAAGTCACCAACGTCAAGGCCGAACGGGCCATCATGATGTGGCAAGGAGAGAGCGACTTTGTCGCTAAACTATACTGGACTTTCTCGAGCAAGGACTACTTGTACCTGGTCATGGAGTACTTAAATGGAGGAGACTGCGCCTCGCTGATCAAGGTCCTCGGTTGCCTGCCGGAGGACTGGGTCAAGAAGTATCTCGGCGAGGTTGTCCTTGGCGTTGAGCACCTGCACAACCGCGGTATCGTCCACCGGGATCTGAAGCCAGACAACCTGCTGATCGACCAGAAGGGCCATCTCAAGTTGACTGATTTTGGTCTCTCGCGCATGGGTCTTATTGGTCGACAGAAGCGCGCTCTTAACAGCAACACCAACGAGCCTGTGCCGGATCTTCTCAAGCAGGGCCCCTTTGCTCGATCGGCATCCATAGCCTCCTCCCGCTCAGCGTCCCTGGACCTGCACGGGCATGCCCACGGTCCCGGGCACTCTCCGAGCAACACGCCGCAGATGACGCCCAGTGATGCCGCCGGCGGTGCGCAGCCCTCATACTTTAGTCTCGGTTCGATGCAGCAAGAGCCCCGTCGCGTGTCCGGTCAACGCAGCGACAGCGGCGGTAGCGACGCTCTCGCGCAGATGATCAGCAACCTGGCCCTCACCGATATGCACCCGAGTCAACTTCCTCCCGCTATCCAGTCTCCGCAGGGCGAGGGCAGCGAAGGCGAGAGCACAGGGTCGCCCGATCTCCCTTCTCTGCAGCAAGTCAGCACCCACGGCAGCGTGGATCCAGGCAAGAACACTCCACCACAATCGAGCATGCCGCCACCAAACTGGGCCCTATTTGACCCCGAGGATACCAACCGCCGCTTCGTAGGCACGCCCGACTACCTAGCACCCGAGACCATCAGGGGTGAACCGCAGGACGAGACGAGTGATTGGTGGTCGGTCGGATGTATCATGTACGAGTTTCTATTTGGCATCCCTCCGTTTCACGGCAGCGAAGCCGAGGAGGTCTTCGAGAATATCCTGGCCCGCAGGATCCACTGGCCCGACGAGGCCGAAGACGAGGTCTCTCCTGAAGCCAAGGACTTGATCAACAAGCTGCTCTGTATGGACCCTCAACAGCGCCTCGGTGCTAATCGTGACGACAAGTTCCCTTCTGGCGGTGCGGAGATTCGCAGTCATCCTTGGTTTCAGGGTGTCAATTGGGATACGCTCCTACAGGATGAGGCACAGTTCGTGCCGCAGCTCGAGAACCCCGAGGACACAGAATACTTTGACAACCGTGGGGCCACTCTTCAGTCGTTTGCCGAGGAGATGGAAGACCAGTCATCTCCCGCTTCCGTGCCCGTGACCGACTATCCCGATCGGCCTCACGACGCCCTCTCACGCGTCCGGTCTCAGGTCAACTCGATCAAGCGCGGTCTGATGCCGCTGCATATCCCCCCGCACGTCCGTGACCTCAAGAGCAGACGGCTCAGCGAGCCAGTAGTAGCCGACGACTTTGGCAACTTTACCTTCAAGAACCTACCTGTCTTAGAAAAGGCAAACAAGGACGTGATCCAGAAGCTTCGTGCAGAGGCCATGGCCGCGCACAGCAAGGCCTCTGCTGTCAGCCCTGGTGGTCCCAACAGTGTCACCTCTCCGGGCGCGGGGCTCGAAGGCAGCCCGATCCTGTCGAACCAGGTCCAGCGAACCATGTCCAACGCGAAGGCGACGCAGAGGCCCCAGTCGCCGTCCGGTGTCAGCCATGCGAACTCTTCTCCGAGCCGAGCTTCCCAACCCTCGTCGCCCCTGCTAGTGTCCTTCCATGCCGGGCAAGGAAATGAAGGTCGGCGCAAGGTGTCAAGCACTTCGTCGAGCTTGTCCCAGCCCTCGGGGAGCTCGCTACAACCCGGCACGTTCTTCGAAGTGCCTCGTGTGCCCCCGAGTCTGCAAAAGGCAGCCACAACCGTCGCCGCCTCGCCGGTTAAGGGCCGGGGTGCGCCCCCGCCGTTGCCACTATCGCCCCAAAAGGTCGTGGCCACTCCCAGGCACCCGAGCAGCTCGACGAGCCGCTCCCGGTCCCTGACTGTGGGCTCGCAGGAGGGCAGTCCGGTAGCTGCAGACCTGCTAAACCACCGTAACCGTCGCAGTCAGGTTTTTGACATGTCCCCGTCCTCGTCCGACAACGAGGGCGAGAAGGCCAACGCGCTGCTCAGGGTCCAGCGCCGGCGGCAGAGCTCTCGGCGCATGTCGCAGATTGCCCTCGACGGACCCATGTTCCGGCCCCTCGACGTGCTCATCTGCGAGGACCACCCCGTCTCAAGGATGGTCATGGAGAAGCTGTTGGAGAAGCTCCGCTGCCGCACGATATCGGCAACGTCGGGCCCGGAAGCGGTCCGCTATGCCATGAGCGACATCAAGTTTGACATCATCTTTATGGAGTTCAAGCTGCCCCAAATCAACGGCGCAGATGTTGCTCGGATGATTAGAGACACCAGCAATGCCAACTCGCATACGCCCATCGTCGCCATCACCGCCTATCTCAAGGAGCTTCAGGCCAAACAGCACTTTGACTCGCTTATCGAGAAGCCCATCAGCTCGTCCAAGCTGACCGAGGTCCTAGGCAACCTCTGCCAGTGGAAGCCGCCGACAACCAGCCAGCAGAACTCGGTCTCCCTGGCGCTTGCTCACCCAATTCCCTCCGGTCTGCGGCAGGAGAGCATACGCCTTGAGGACAGCCCTACCTCCAGCTCTTCGATGTTTGCCCTTCGTCCTGGCAGCAGCTTCCGAGGCTCGAGTCGAGAAGATTCTATTAGCTCTAGCCTCTTTGGCGACTCCGAGTCTGTCACTACCGATGACATTCCGGTGGTTATCAGCCGCAAGGCTACCGGAGACTGGCCCGACGATGCCGGCCTTGGCATTTCGCAAGAAGAAGCCCTGCTCAACTCGAGCGAGCCGCTGAAGTCGCCCGTCCATCTCATATCGCAGCAATCGGCGCCAGGGATGATGGAGCAGACCCGCCTGCCGATCCCGGCGCCCGTGCCTCGTCGGTCTCTCGAGAAGCTGAAGGCCAAGAGAGAGGCCATCGAGAAGCGACGCATCGATGGCAGCATCGACTCGGCCGACGACGAAGACGATGAACTCGGCCTGGGCCTGAGCAACCTCAGCGTGAGCAACACCAACACGAGCAGTGGTAGTAGCAGCGGCAGCACCGGGGGCAGCGGCAGCGCCAACGCGACGCAAATGCGGCAGCACTTCCGGTCCAAGTCGGTTCTGCCGTCTTCCAAGCTGGGCATCGAGATGATGCGCGCCAATAGCCATGACAGCGTCAACGTGGAGTCCAAGGGGGTCAACGTCATCATGCCGCATCGCGGGCTCGAGGAGTCGCCCGGCCCGATCGAGGATGAAGCCGACGAGGGGGACACTACTGTCATACACACGCCGCCCGGTGATCACGGCACGTCGTCCGAGGACAACACGACTGTCGTCGGGGTGGACGAGACGCCGCGGCCTTTGGGTGGCGGTGGGTCCATTCAAGCTGACGACGAGCCGACGCCGCGGCCGCCTGTTAAGTCTGCTACGACGGGCATGGACGCGGGTGGGTTCATCTGAGGGCGTTCACTGCCGCTGATGTTGCTATATTGCCACCGCAACGCGGCTCGTATTCTATCAGAAAAAAAGGCACATAACAGACTGGATACTCTCGATCCCAGCCGGTTGCCTTTTCGTCCTTTCTCTTTTTTTTTCCCTTAACTATTCGAAAATTGTTACATCTCACACACAGCGCGGCGTTTTTGATCGGATCCGAGAGCCAAAGTGAGATTGCATATCCAAACGGTTCATTTGTCATTTGTAATGAGAGATTATTCTTTCGTTTTTGCTAGGTCCTTTATCTATTCTTTTCTTTTTTTTCTTTTGTATCTTGTGTGGTGGCGGCGGCGGTATCTGATGATGAGCTGGCGTCTTCAGGATTCATTTTACTGCAAGGCTCGTTGGGGGGTGAGGTTTGAGGCTAGGGAGGTTTTCTTCTGCAGCTGCTGCAACAACTGCCCATGCCTCATCAGAAAGAGAGAGAAGAGACGTGAGGTGGGAGAGCACCTGCTCATGCCTGCCATCGCGATGTCGGTCTGCATGATAGTATCCTCGTTAAGAAAGCTTCTACATACATGATGACAAGCAAGCTGGTTCACAAACTCAGGCATCCCGCACATACGTAACTCTGTTTTCTCTTTTCCCAAAGAACAGCACAAATTCAAGAAGATTGCAGCAAACCGGCGTATCTCTCGGCGAGCTCTTTTGGCCGGCCATTGTAGTTTTGTGTCATGATTGCTCGTGGGCAGTCCCGTTCACCAGTTGTTTTGCAAGGGCAAACCGTGGGCGGGTGTCCTCTGTGCTGCCCACTGAGTATCATAAATATTGCTGAACTGTTGTCATTCTGGTAGTTCGACGGGAGAAATGTTAATTCACGGAAAGTGGATGGCAATTGGAAAGAGCTTCGCTACCACTTGTATAGGTTTCGAGACGACCTGGGGGATCTATACACTGTCTCTGCGAAGAGTGATCCCCTGAGCTGCAAGGAGATGGCCATATGACAGTGGTGGTGAAGCTTGCCTGACTATATGACTCGCAATAGGGATACGGAGTACAACATGCTCAAGCATGCTTGATTCTCACCTGTTTGACGCGATTGTTATGATTATAAACATTCCCTGATCATGGAATGGTGTAAAATCTCCAAGAGGAGTCGTCTTGTCTACCCCCTGACATGGAGATTGCATATTGGACCTAACATAGTAGGAGAACGTGGTTTGAAAGAAATTGATTCCAGCTAGGCAACTTGAGAGACACTATCTGAGCATGTTTTTTTTTTGTAATGAAACGACCTCTCCGGTACCCGATCAGTACGGAAATGTACACAGAGTACCGGAAATATTCAGATATTCAGATATTCGATTCTCAGCTAACTCGGACAAGCTGGGTCCTTTTGCCATTTTTAAGTGGAACAGCAGAGAGAGAGAGCACGTTGCTCTCCCGTGTTATGGGATTGGCTGCGGGGGAACGTATCCATCAACGACCAGACTGCATCGGGACTATGGGGAAAAAACAGGGACCTTGCTCCGGCCGAGACCTAAGGGGCTTTTACAAATAAAAATAGAGATGACGACGACGGCAACGATGATGCTCCCTTCTAGAGGCGGGACTGGCTGCCCTGAGTGGAAAATGCTCCTGTGTCCTTTTCTCATCGAGCAGTGAAACATCAGGAAATGGCGACGAGTATGAACGATGGCATGATGAGCAAAATGAAGAGCGATGGTGCAATTTCCCTTTAGTCTGACCGAGACTGGAGCGTAGTCGGTCTCCAAAGACAGTGCCGTGATCGTTGCAGGAACAGATATAGACATAGCACCAGTGTCTTTCGGTTCACACCTATTCAGGAATATGTCCCGCTACTCTGGTCAGCGGGCGTGGCACAGCTCACCAATCCTGTTCCCGGTAAGGCAGCTACAGACTGACACCGGAGCTTGGACTGGCCAAAGATGATCTCCTCTCGAGGGCTGGAAAGGACCGAGACAAGCAATGATGCCGGCCTTTCCGGGGGCTTGATGTCTGTGGTCCCCTTTCACGTCGTCGATTGGCTGCATGTCTATCATGAGCAGGCGAGGCACGTGTGCAATGCCGTCCGTTACGGGGGCCCAGGGGACAGTAGATGTGTGTGCGTACAGGGATGTGAGCTCAGGTCGGATGGACACAAGCTTTTGTGGCAATAGACGATGCACTGGGGAAAAGCTTGTCTGGTTCTTGGCGATGGGTTTAGGGAAGAAGTGGCAGCTGGGCACATGTCCCACACTGTCTCTGTATCACCATGCAACGAACGACATCCCGTGTAGAACCATCGGGAGAACACGTTTCCTGAAACGGACTCTTGGGATTCTTGATGGGCTTATAGTCTCTAGCGTTCAGCTCCCCGACGCTTACCGTCGGTCTTGGTCTGCATAAGACCGTTGATGTCTACGGTCCCGTCAAGGGCAAAGGTTTGGGTACTCTCGTGCCGCCTCGTGCTTGAACCAAGAGGTTGGGAGCTGCTCCTCTGGGTGTGCAGAGAAGTGGTACGCTATCGGAAGGAGGCATGTCTAGCACGGGTTGGCTTCCTGGGCCTCGATGGAGACTCCGAAGGGGGGTTACCCATGAGGTATATTGGATGCGAAATGAAGAGCAGACCATCTCGACGGTTGTACGATGGCTTTTGGCACCGAGCCTTTGCCGTTCAGCATCAGAGGTTTGGGGAAGATGAGGCAGCCAATGGCAAAGCCCAGGTGGAGCGCGTGCGAGGGGTCTGCTTAGGTATCAAGAGTGAGAAAACTGTCCTATGCCTTCAAGTAAAAACCTTATTGAGAATTGGATTCCAAGTCTTCGTATCCGCAGATTGTCCTATTGGATCTGTCTGGCAGTTCTGGGATAGAGAGTCTTGATGTGCCTGCCATTAGGAGAAAGTGGGATATCACCTCGGCAGCATTGCGGCAGACCAAGACATGGAAGTCCAACAAAAACGCATGATGTCAGAAGTGGCAGGGATAGCTGTCGAGGTATCCGGGGCCGCAATGGTCGGCGCGGGCGGTACCACCAGGGCTAACTGGCGAACGGGCGGCGCGGCTGCTGGGCTGGCCAGTTACAAGTACAAGTAGAGCCAGCAGGGCCAGGTCCCCCCAAGTCTCCCCTCCAATTGGCAGTGGGTCGGGGCATTGCAGTAGCGGCCCCACCCCTCCTTCCGCAAAATCAGGGGTCCCTCCAGCCTGTCACTCCCGCACGTGTAGGTTTTGCGCCCTGTGATTGGCTGAAGCTCTGCTCCAGATCTAGGGCGAGATGCACTCTGCAGAGATCTCGGGCTCGTTTTTTTCTTCTCGTCTTCCCCACTTCTCTCGCCTCCAAAACGAGGAAGACAACATTCGACATGCCATTTCCCCCTCCAGCAAGCTGACGGACTCGCGCCGTGCAGCCCTGGGTCAAGCCAAGCATTTTCCAAGCCTGCCGACAGAGCCGTTTCGTCCGCAGCTAGGTCGCGAGCAGAAGGAGAGCACACGACCACTTTCCCAATCTCGAAAGTTGGGAGTCGAGGAACATGACCTCGCCTTTTATATGGGCAACGCTTCTGCGTGCCGGGCTACGTCAGCGCCCATGATGCTCCTCCGTTCTGATAGCGCCATCAGCTCGATTGATTCCGCCCTTGACCTTGACGTCAATTCCACACACCCCCATATCCCATCTCCCAGTTCCCTGGTCCATCCTGAGCATGTGGAAGTTCTTGGCGTTCTCATAGGTAGACAGACCCGACAACCTCCAAAGGGCCGACCGGATGGATGACATTGCAAAATGACAACCCTGCCAAAGGCTCGTACGCTCGCTCTTCCTCTTCCACGCCCCCACAGTCTATGCAAGCAGGGTAAACGCGGCAAAGGAACACAGGAAACATGTGCTCTGCTGCAGAGTGCAGTGCGTGCATGCGTGCGTCTTGTCGAACAGCAGCGAGGAGGGCGAGAGAGAGAGAGACAGACCGCCGGGATGGAGCAAGGACGATCTTGGCGGCAAACCCCTCCCGCCAAAGGGTTCTGTTTTTCTGGATCTGGACCCGGTGGATGAACATGTGGGTTGATATGTCCTTGTAGCATCAAGTCCCTAGCAGATCCTGTGGACCTCTTCGAGGTACGGAAGCATGCAAGTCTTTTTTTTTTAAGCTCGTCCGTGGCGCCAGTCTCGCCTTCGCCGAGTCAACCTCCACCCTCCCGGCTATCCTGACTTGCTACCAGTGCCACCCTCTCTCCTCCACCACACTATCCCATCCTAGACTGCTCTCTGTCTCTCTCTCTCTCAACGGTACCTACTCTCCATTAAAAACTCCCCTACTCCCCCTTCTCCCTCACCCTCTCTTGATTTCTCCTCTTGATTTCCTCATGCAAACATCCTTTGCTTCCCAGTGTTGTCTTACACTGTTTTAGAGAAGGCAAACTCTCTCGTTTCCCTCCCCCAGCGTTCCTGCTCTGTGGGGTGTGGATATCCCACTCTTACATTCCTCGCCACTTTTTTCTTCCTGGCGACGGCACTTCGCATACCACCGCCGCGTTGTATTGGGGAAAAAAAAAAGACGACAGAGAATTGTGTGCAGTCACCTTTCCTCTGATCTTCCCTTCCCTTGTCCAGGTCCTCTACTGAACGACGACCGGTCGCCATATATACGAACACCATGGCGGACCTACTACAACACCATCGCCACCACGATCCGAATATCGGCCTGATCCCCGTCCCCCACGGCCCGGAAACGGGCGACGAGGTCGATGAGTACCCTCGCATCGGTCGCTATACCGCCGAGCAGGAGCGCCTCATCTTTTCCCACCTGACCCACCCGGACGACAGCTTCAACGACGAGGGCACGTACTGGGCCGATCTGCCCTTCTGGAAGCGCCTCTCCTTCGTCAACAAGGTCAACAATGAGGAGGCCAAGCGCGAGCTGAAAGCCACCGGCCGCCTGGCCAAGCGCGACCCCCTCGGCCCTGTCGGTTGGTACTTTCGCAATGCTGTCCTGCCCGGTGCCGGTCTCGGCCTCGAGGGCTACGTCCTCTTCAGTATCGGCAACCTGGAGCCGCTCTTTGCCTCCACCTGGAAACAATGCTGGGGCAAAAACCCCGAAGTCTGCGACAAGAACTGGATTGCCGCTGTGACGTATCTCGAGATTGTGGGGATCATGGCCGGTCAGGTGGCTGTCGGTGTAAGTGATGCCAGTGCTCAATTCTTTCCAGCCGGCTTCAGTTCGCTAATGATATCCTCGACAATAGATCATTGGTGACTGGATTGGTCGACGATGGGGTCTCATCCAAGATGCCTCCGTCATGTTTGTCGGCCTCCTCATGTTGACCGCGAGTTGGGGCACCAGCCTGAACGGCTGGGTCATCTGCTATGCCTGGTCTCTCTTCTTCTACAGTACGTGTTCCAGCAAGCCCCCTTGGATAGCGAATATGCCTTACTGACCTGCATATTCTCCCAGGCTTCGGTGTTGGAGGCGAGTATCCAATCACGGCGACCTCGTCCATGGAGAATGCCGCCGGCGCCGGCAAGATCTCGACTCGCGATGACCGTCTGCACCGTGGCCGCAAGGTCACCATGGCCTTCCTCATGCAGGGCTGGGGCCAATTCTTCAACCAGGTCATCCTCATCCTCCTCCTGCTCATGTTCCACCACGGCGACGGCGACCCGCCATACGGTAAGAGCACCGTGCAGTGGGTCTTCCGCGTCTCCTTCGCCCTCCCCGCCGTCGGAACTCTTTGGCTGGTCTACTACCGTACCTACAAGATGCGCAACGCCAGCAAGCAGCTGCAGATCGCCAAGAAGCGCGGCGGTGTGACTGGCTACGACGCCACCTCGCTCAAGAACTGCGTGCACCACTTTGGCGGCCGCCTGCTCGCCACCGCTGGCACCTGGTTCTGCAACGACGTCTTCTTCTATGGCAACAAGCTCTTCCAAGGCCAGTTCATCAACGTCATCTCCTCCAACCCCAAGTCGGTCATGGTCACCTGGCTCTGGAACCTGTGCAACGTGCTGGTGTCCCTCGTGGGCTACTACCTGGCCTCCTTCCTCATCGACCACAAGCTCTACGGCCGCAAGATGATGCAGCAGGTCGGCTTCGGCATGTGCTTCATCATGTTTGTCATTCCGGCCTTCAAGTACGAGTACTATACGTCTCCCGCCGGCATCCACGGCTTCCAGACCATGTACTTCCTCAGCTCCTTCTTCAACCAGTTCGGTCCCAACGCCGTCACCTTCCTCGTCGCCGGCGAGGTCTTCCCCACGGCCGTCCGGGCCTCGGCTCACGGCTTCTCCGCCTGCATTGGCAAGGCCGGTGCCCTGCTCGCTTCTATCCTCTACAACTACATCGACACGCAGACTCGCTTCTACGTCGTTCCCTGGTTCGGCCTCGCCGGCATGCTTCTGACCCTCATCTTCCTGCCCGACACCACCGGCCTCGACCTCAAGGAGCAGGAGCGCCGCTGGCAGTACATCCGCGAGGGCCGCGCCGAGGAGTACCACGGCATCGCCGTGCACCCGCAGCACCTGTCGCTGTGGGAGCGCCTCCGCGGCGTCGGCAAGTCGTACGACCCCGAGGCCGACCTCAAGGCCAAGATCGAGGACCTGCGCAAGGAGTGGGAGATGCGCGAGATGGAGAAGGGCGAGAAGGAGGTCCGCGGCGAGCCCACCGTTATGGACGGCGACGACGACTTCAACGAGGCGGTGCACGGCTACTTTGAGCGCACGACGCGCGACAGCCCCCGCATCAAGGGCATGAGGAGGGCCGAGGGCGTCCTGGGCGAGAACATCTCGGACGAGGCCGCGACCGCGTACAACAGCGGGGACAGCCAGCAGGGCAGCGCCAGCAACAGCAACAGCAACAGGGCCGACGAGAAGAGGACGGTCCTGCCGGAGCCCGCGCAGGATCCCGAGAAGGAGGCCATGCAGCAGCAGCAGCAGGACAGCTCGAAGATCCAGTAGAGTGATGTCTTTCGGTCGCTCCCTCGCTTCTGGCTTTAGCAGGCAGAGGTTCTGTGATGAACGCCCAACATTTGTGTATATAGAGTACTCCCTAATCACTTTCGTGTTGGAAGGGTTTTTATAATATTCTTGGTTGTTGGAAGGGTTTTTGCCTTTCTCTCTCTAGAGAAAAGTATGGCGTTACAAGGCATGGCGATTGAACATCGAGTACACAGCATGAAAAGCGGACCAGAGAGACGTTGGATACCTACTCGTGGCAGAGGTCTATGAAATTCGTTTACGGCATTTAGCATGTGGAGCTTCGAGATACCGTGAAGGCTCCTGAAAATACAGAACAGAGGGTATAATTATTCAAGAACGCACATTTGAGTCAATTGGAAATGTCATCTTTTTGCGTGAAGCTGAGTGAAAGTCATGATACTGACCCGATGCCACTGAAAGAACCGTCTTGTAGTCTGGCTGTAGACAAGCTCCACACAGCTGGTTGGCAGCTGGCAGCACCACTCGTTGCTCCTTCCCACAAAGAGGAGGGCGAGCGAGGGCGTCGCTGCCCGCCCCACAGCACCCCACCAACGAATTATTCGATTTTCGAGTTGAATTTCTCCATCCCACCAAGGCCAACACAGTGGCACCGCGAAACTCTGGTCCACGACAAACACGATCGACATTTCGAAGCCCGTTTCAACTCGAGACACGGATTCAGAAAAATGTCGTCATCTCTCGCGGACATCATCTCCGCCCTGCCTGATGGCGAGGGCTGGGGACCCCCGGCTACCACCGAGACCACCCTCGACGGCGTGCCCTACGCTCCCTTCTCCAAGGGCGACAAGCTCGGCCGCATGGCTGACTGGGCTGCCGACAGCAAGGATGGCCGTGATGGCCGCGGCGGTCGCCAGCAGTACAACCGCTTCAATAGGGATCAGCAGGTTTACGGCGCGGGCAGCGTCTCGCTCTTTGCCGTTCCCCAACAGGCCGAGGACGAGGCCTCCTTCTCCGTCGTCTCCAACACCCGCGACACCGGCAAGACTCGCTTCGGCCGCGGCGCCGTCTTCACTCGGGGCCGTGGCCAGCGTGGCGCCGCCCAGACGACCCGTGGCGGAGGCCGCACCCAGTTCCAGCGCACTGGCGGTCGCCAGGGACAGCAATACGGCGGGGGCTACGACGGCCGTGGTGGTGGCCGCTCGAACGCCGGCGGCAGGGGCGGACGGCGCTTCGGCTGGAAGGACTACGACAAGCCGCAGCGCAACCGTGATGCCTCGATCAACATCAAGGCTGACTGGAAGCTGCTGGAGGAGATTGACTTCAACCGTCTGGGCAAGCTGAACCTCGAGGCCGGCGAGGGCGAGGACATCGACTCGTACGGTTTCCTGTACTACTACGACCGCGCCTACGACAAGCCGCCGGTTAGGGCGACCGAGCGCAAGCTGACGCCCATCGACCGCGCCGCGTACAACGTCACCACCTCGTCCGACCCCGTCATCCAGGACCTGGCCGACAAGGACGAGGCCACCATCTTTGCGACGGATAGTGTCCTGTCCATGCTCATGTGCGCCCCGCGCTCCGTCTACTCGTGGGATATCGTCATCGCCCGCCAGGGCAACAAGGTCTTCCTCGACAAGCGCGATAACGCCGCGCTCGACATGGTCACGGTCAACGAGAACGCCGCCGACGCGCCGCTCGAGGCGTCCGAGGGCAGCAAGGACAACCTCAACCAGCCCCCCGCCCTGGCCGAGGAGGCCACCTACATCAACCACAACTTTGCCAACCAGGTCGTGCTCGAGTCGGACAGCTCCAAGGTCGAGATGGCGCACGAGAACCCGTTCTACAGCGCCAGCGACGAGTCGGCGCCGCCGGCCTCCAAGGCCTACAAGTACCGGCGCTTCGACCTGTCGACCAACGAGGAGGAGCCCGTCTACCTGGTCGTGCGGACGGAGCTCGACGCCGTGCAGAAGAACGCGCTCAGCGGCGAGGACCAGTTCATGATCATCAAGGCGCTCAACGAGTTCGACAGCAAGGCCCAGGGCTCCGGCGGCGCCCTCGACTGGCGGACTAAGCTCGTCAGCCAGCGCGGTGCCGTGGTCGCCACCGAGATGAAGAACAACTCGTGCAAGCTGGCCAGGTGGACCGTCCAGAGCTTGCTGGCCAAGGCGGACGTTATGAAGCTTGGGTATGTTCTCCCCGCTCTTCTCTGATGTGGAATTCTATGCTAACAAGTACAAATCACAGTTTCGTCTCGCGTGCCAACCCCAAGTCCAACGACAAGCACGTCATCCTCGGCGTCGTCGGCTGGAAGCCGCGCGACTTTGCCAACCAGATGAACCTGTCGCTGTCCAACGGCTGGGGCATCGTGCGCACCATCGCCGACATGTGCCTCAAGAGCGGCAGCAGCGACGACGCCAAGTTCGTCCTGGTCAAGGACCCGAACAAGTCGATCCTGCGCCTGTACGAGGTGCCCACGGGCAGCTTCGAGGACGACGGCGAGGAGGAGCAGCAGCAGGGCGGTGAGGAGGAGGCTGAGGAGTAAAGTAAAAGAGAGACTGGGAAGTCGAGCGGGTCTTTGTGTGAAATCAACATTACAAACATTATTACCGTCTGCTAGCCTTTTGAGGGACTTGCGGGCAACTTGAAAAGTTTAAAGGGGAGCGGGTTTTGCATGCATGGAATCGGGCCCCCGTTAACATAGACTACGAGAGGAATGAAACTCCCGGAAGAAGCGTTTGGTTGTGCACACCTGAGGTCATCGCGGTTCTCCCTTTCTGGTTGTTCAGTGCGTGCATGTGCTATGTTGTTGAGCGGCTGCCCAAGTCTTGCGCACGGATTTCTCGGCCAAGTGGCCGGGAGTGAAATCTCCAAGCCATCCCTTCTCAACCATTTGGGAGTGGGCTCAATCCCCAAACCCCAACGTCTATCTACTCCTTCGACGTCATGAGTAACTCTTGAGGTCTCGCTGTGCCACTTTGGTTTCATTTCGTTCCGAGCGAAGCCACACACGCAACTGAGCGGTCTGCACGCGTTATCTTCCTACGGCCAGAGAGTCTGCCAAAGCGACCCCTTGTCTGTCTCAAGCCACGTTGAACCTGATTGGTGTGCCCAAAGTTGTGCGTCGATGCATGAGGGAGAACTGGGCTCTGCGCCACCACGGGACAGAGGACGCCAATTGCTGCCCAGCCTTAGTGTGTCGAGCCAATCCTGCCTTGCAGGACGGACAAAAGGTCCCCCCCTGTCAACCTGTATTCACCACCACCCCGGACGCAAATGCTCAGCCGCACGCACCTGTATTGGCCGAGAGCGGTCCCCCCATCCCCCCAGCTGCAGCGTTAGATCCGTTTCGCGGCGTGGCACAAGCGGGTAAGTAGGTGTTTGCGTCTGGCCTGGGTGCAGACGGGAAGGGATCGCTCACTCATGGAGGGGGATGAGAGAGTGTGAAAGAGGGTGCCAAGCGGGCGGTCTCTGGGCCGAGTCCGTCGAGGGGCTGACGCCCTCACCACCACCCTCGTCGTTGTCGTCGTCGCGTTCTCCGAAGCAGGAGGGAGTCCGCGCGCGCACACGCGAACAAGAGTCTTTTGAGAAAGCGAGGAAAGGATCGTGCCGCTCCAGGATCCGACTATATTTGACAGGCGGGTGTGCTAAGCGTTTCGTTCCGTCCCCATTCCCCCCCTTTCGTCTTTCTTGGCAAACGGTCCCCGTCCTCCGGTTCTGCACTTTTTTGGTGTACGCTCACACACACACACATATTTATATATATCTACATACATACTTGTTTGACCTTCCTGTTCTGGAGAAACGGACAACAGAAAAAAACAGCGAGAAGGAAAGAAGGGTAAGAACGTATATATATATCTGTGTATATATACACACATCATGAACTTTGGCATCGGCCTCAACGATGTCATCGTCATCACCAAGTTCGCGTGGGACCTGTACAAGGCGTGCCGCGAGTCGAGCGACGACTTCAAGCGCCTGTCGGCCGAGGTCGGCTCGCTGCACGTCGTGCTCCGGGAGACGGAGGACTACCTGCACGACCACCCGGAGCTCGACGCCGAGCGCCGCCGGCGCCTCGTCTTCCTGCTCGACGCCTGCCGCCTCACGCTCGACGACCTGCAGCGCCTGCTGCTCAACTACGAGTCCCTGGGCACGAACCAGCAGCGCACCTGGGACCGCATGCGCTGGGGGCTCACCGACGTCAGCGACCTGCGCTCGCGGCTCATCTCCAACGCGACGCTGCTGGGGGCGTTTACGAGCAGCTTGGCCAAGTGAGACTTCCTCTCTCTGTTTTTTATCTCTGTCTTTTTTTCCTTTTTTTTCCCTTTTGCACGTGTGTTATGCATGCTCTCTTGCAAGGAACGGGGACGTTGGGAAGTTAAAGAGTATGGAACTAATAAAAAAAACAGCTCCTCCACCACGCGCATGGAGAAGCGCCTGGCCAAGTTCATGACCGAGGTCCGGGCGGGGCTGCGCGAGGGCTCCGTCGTCACGGCGCCCGACGTGACCGAGACGATCGACACGCCCGACGTCTGGGGCCAGCTGCGGCGCGAGCTCGAGGACGTGGGCATCTCGCACGCCGTCATCGACGAGAACCGCGAGTACATCAAGGCGTGGTTCAAGACGGCGCTGCAGGACGGGCTCATGGACGAGGACAACCCCGCCGCCGCCGCTGCTGCCGCCGCTGCTGCTACCGGCAACGACGATAGTGGCCTGTTGATGCCGACCCCTTCCTCGTCGTCGTCGATGCCCATGATGATGACGACGCCGGACGCGTCGGACCCGAGCTTCAGGGTCACGCCGCCGGCGCCGAGCGACTCGGGCTACGGCGGCAGCGTGCGCATGGACAGCGTGTCGAGCATGACGTCGGCCAACGGCGACTTTGAGACGGAGCTGCGGCGGCGGCACACGGACCGCGAGGTCGACGAGGCGCTGCGGTCGCTGTCGCTGTCGCCGTCGGCTACCACCACGTCGGCGTCGGCGTCGTCGTCGTCGGCGGCAGCAGCAGCGCGGATGCCGCCCGGAGGAGGCGCGGTGGCGGTGCGGAAGAAGTCGTCGCCGGCGCGGATGCTCATGAAGTTCTTGCAAAAGGACGACGCCATCATCCAGGCCGCGAGCGACGGGGACATCAAGAAGGTGGCGAGGCTGATCAGCGTCGGGGTGGATGTGAACGCCAAGGACCGATGGGGGTGAGTTTTCTTCTTCTTCTTCTTCTTCTTGCTTCTTGTTTTACTACGCCATTTCCCGTTCCTTCACTGCCTTTTACCGTCTTTTCCTTTTTCTCTCTTTTCTATACATATCTGGCAAATACGACGACTGGTGTATGTATATACGCTGATCCTTCCCCGGAAAAACAGATGGTCTGCGCTGAGCATGTGCGGCTACGGAGGGTACACGGACATTGCGCGGCTGCTGCTCGAGCACGGCGCCGACCTGGACAACATCGACGTCGACGGCGAGTCGCCCGAGGACCTGGCGCGCAACCGGGGCAACAGGGAGATGGTGATCCTGTTTGACGAGGAGAGGAAGGCGAGGGACCTCAGGGCGCGCGAGATGGACGCCGAGAAGCCGAGAAAGGTCGGCTCCTGATGATGATGATGATGATGATGACGGCGACGATGTCGGTGACACTGTTTTTTCTTTCCGGGTTACATGATTCGGGGAGTTTGGGATTGGGATATGGCTTTTAGGCCCTGTGCTAGATTGCTCTTGGGAGATACCTTCTTCGCCTGTTATGCATGGCTTTAGCAAATATACGCCGCTTATAGATATTTATTTCTCGATAGATATACGAATGAGTCTACATGTGCTCACGACAGCATCGCATTTTGGTCTGAGATGAAGTCGATTCGAATCTATGAATGGGTTGTGAACGACGTGGTCCGGGAGATCGCTCGCATTGAGTCTACCGTTCCGCAGAGTGTATCATTCAGAACGTGGGTCGATCCGGTAAACCTCATCGTGTAAGTAGATGGATCATGGCCTACAATGCAGTCGACTTGAAGCTGAAAAGCGCAGCACACCAGACCAGTGGTTTAATTACACGGTGGCTGCGGAGAGGCTTAGAGCTGCAGCTACCCCAATAGCGCGATTCCAGTAGCGGAGTCACAGTCGTCTTCAAGGCGTGGATGGAGCGCCGGCGGCTATGCCTAACGGGTCGGGACGCAGCGGGTGCCGCCTGTGACTTGATGCACTCCAGTCTCGGCTCATCAGCCAGCCAGCCACACTCTCTGCACTTCCAGCGAGCAAAGAACAGTGCACCAGCACGAACGAGAGAGGTTGACACTGCGGCTTTTTTTTTTTATGATAGTCGCGCAAGCGGTGTCGGAAAATCGCTCGCCTTCGCCTTCCAACCTGGTGTCATAGAGCTGTCTGTGAGCCGAGGTTTTTCTCTGTAATTGGCGTGATGGTCTGCTCTGAGCAATAGCCCCTGATCGAGCTGCGGCGATATAGCGCTGTGCTGCCGCCGACACCTAGCCAGTTTCCCCCTTTCCTTCTGCACCTGAAAGACATCCCAGGCTGTGAATCCAGTGTACACCCGCTTGGGCAAAGATCTGGAAGTGTTACTTCTGTACCCAGTGACGCAAAGATGGAAAAGACCAACACGGACAAGATCCACGTGGGTATCGTGGGCGCTGGTATCTCGGGCCTGCGGTGCGCCGACATCCTCTTAGCCCACGGCTTTCAAGTGACCATTCTCGAGGCGCGAGACCGGATAGGAGGGCGTGTAAGTTCCTACCGTGATTCCCGTTCGAAACAACTGTCCGCAGTACTAATTCGAAACCCTTCCACCCAGATATGCCAGTCTGAAGAGCTGGGTTACACCGTGGATATGTGAGTCTTGATCCTGATATGCCTAAAGAAGACAAAACATCTGACAAGTGGTGACCACCAAAGCGGCCCAAACTGGATCCATACCTGGGACAGCGGCGAGGTGCACCCCATCTACCACCTCGCGCAGCAGACCGGCACGCCCCTGCACCGCTGGAACAGCAAGCAACTGCTCTTTGACTCCGAAGGCCGCCGCCTGCCGGACGAGTTGACCGACCGCCTGTCGACGCTGCTGTGGGAGGTCATCGAAGAGGCATTCGAGTACAGCGCCAAGGCGGCTGGCCGAGTTGGTGGCGGTGATGGAGCCACGGAGGGGCGGGGGGACGGCAAGCCACCGAAAAGATGGCCGTCGACGATCCCGGCGGACCAGTCCCTCTACGACTTTGTCAAGAAGCGCGCGGCCGAGCTGCTGCCCGACGAAGGAGAGAGGCGCCTGCTGGTGCAGATGAGCGAGATGTGGGGGGCGTACGTCGGCGAGCCGGTCTGGACGCAGAGCCTGCGGTTCGCGTGGATGGAGGAGTGCTGTGGCGGCGGTGAGTCTTTTACCTTCGGTGTGTACTTAGACGTGAGAATGCTGACATCCATCAAAGAGGAGATGTTTGTCGAGTCCAACTACTCGGCCATCCTGCAGCGCATCGCCGCGCCCGCGCTCGCTGGCGCCACGATCAAGCTCAACACCATGGTCACGGGCATCACCACTTCGACTCGAGCTTCTCAGGAGAACTCCGGCGCGGCCCGCGAGCAGCGCGCCGTCTCCGTCTCCACGGCCGACGGCACGTCGACCGTCTTTGACGAGCTCGTCGTCACCGCGCCGCTGGGCTGGCTCAAGCGCAACCACGAGCGCGTCTTCTCTCCGCCCCTGCCGCCCCGCCTGTCCTCGGCCATCGCCAACCTAGGCCTCTCCATCCTCGAGAAGGTCTTCATCACCTTCCCCTCGGCCTTCTGGGTCTCCGCTGCTGCTTCTGCTTCCGCCGCAGCCGGCCAGGGCCAAGACGATGATGATGACGACCCTTTCCCCTCGTACACGAACTGGCTATCCCCGGCGTACGCGGACGACACCAACCCGCACCTCTGGCCCCAGGAGATCTGGAACCTCGCGGCCTTCGCCGCGCCGAACCGCCACCCGACGATGCTCTTCTACCTCTACGGCGACTGCTCCCGGCACGTGGCGGGCATCGTCGCCGACACGACGCCCGCCGCCGCGGGCCCCCAGCGGCGGAGGTACGAGCTGCTCGACGCCTTCTTCCGGCCCTACTACTCGCGGCTCCCCGGGTTCGACCCGTCGTCCGCCGACTGCGCGCCCTCGGCGATCCTGGCGACGGCGTGGCAGCGCGACGAGCTCAGCGGCGGCGCGAGCTACTGCAACTTCCCGGCCGGGATCGAGGCCGCCGACGAGGACGTGCTGGCGATCCGGGAGGGGTGCGGCGAGGGCCGGGCGCTCTGGTTCTGCGGGGAGCACGCGGCGCCGTTTGAGGAGTGCGGGACGGTGGCCGGGGCGTACCTCAGCGGCGAGGCGGTCGGGAGGCGGATCGTTGGCGTGCGTGGGCTGGAGAAGATGGAAGGAGGGGAGGAGGAGGAGGAGGAGGGACGGGCTGGCGTGATGGCTTAGGATGCGGAGGTTGGAGGTTTCGGGGGTAGGGTACCCTTTTCCTTTTGTATGTTTGCCTTGACTGATGATGAGAATGATCCACGAGATTTACATGATATTCATACATACGCGAGCAAAGTACTCCCCTTTCGTTCTCCTTCAGTCATATAACTCCTATCAAAATAGCCTCCTCCAGTGAAAAAAGACCAAACAGCATGGCCAACATATCTGCCACTCAAAAAGAAAAAATATGACCGAGTGAATGTTTTGCAACGATGACCTGGCGTAGAAGAAGAGGAGAGGGAGAGGGGGGGACGTCTGCCCCTTTATGGTTCGGCTTCCCCTTTTCTCCCAGGCACCCACCCTATGAATCACCTACCTTCACCTCACCTCCCTCCCACCCCAACCCAACCAAGAGCAACAGCCCCTTATCATTCTCAATAGAGTACCTGGTTTCCATAGGGGGTGGGATGGTGCAATGGTTCATGACCACGATAACGTGGATTCCATTTAATAAATAGCACGCCATCCTACCCTCACGGTGGAGGACACCACAAAACATTAATGTGGCTGGTCTCGTGTTCGAGTCAAAGAAAAACCTCGAAAGGGGTTTTTCGTAGCCAGGAGTTCGACTCCTGGTGAGCTTTTTGTTCTTTTTGCCTTTTTTCGCGTTTTATTTTTTTTTTTTGGCCCCCTTTTCCTTCGCTATCGTGATACCGTGGAGGATATGTCTCTCTCAGCATGCTCAGGGGCAAAAGGGATTCTTCAGAACTGTTTGATATTGAGTCCTAGTTATAAAGTGCCTAGCTCACCACAGACTGACTACACGACTCTCATTCACACCCTCTCCCTGTCATGTCAGAACCCCCTTCCCCTGGCTGATCTGCCTCTCTCTCTCTCCCCCCCCTTCTCTATGCCCATTCACCCGTCCCAGGTGTAGTTGCCGCCCATGTCGAGCAGCCAGGTCAGCGAGTTGAACTCGACGTCGATGACCTTGATCTGCCAGTAGCCGGCCTCCTTGGTGTTGGTGAGGATGGTGATGCCCTTGCTCGGCTTCATGGCCTCGCCAAAGGTGGCGTGCCAGCGCAGGGCGACGACGTCGCAGTCGACGGCGGCGATGGAGTCGACGACGACGGGGAAGGGTGGGTTGCTCAGCTGCGCCTCCATGAAGATCTCCTTGGTCGCGAACGTCGGGCCCCCCAGCGGCTGGTCGAGGAACGAGTTGATGCTGTCCGAGTTGTCGACAAAGTCGGCCGCGCAGTACTTCTCGCAGTCCTCGGCCTTGTACTCGGCGATGAGCTTGCGGTAGATCTCGACCATGTCGGCCGCCTCGGCGCGCGTCATGCACTCCTTGTCCTCGCGGCCGGCGAGGGGCGTCGGCGGCGCGGCCAGCGCCGAGCTGGCGAGCGCGAGGAGGGCCGTGGCGAACTTCATCTTTGGAGTTGGGCGGTAGAGGTTGTGATTGCTAATTATTGTCGCTTCTTTCTTTCTCTCTCTCTCTGTCTGTTGTTCACAGACTTGTCAATTACCTTGAGATGAGGATCTCCCGACATCTCGAACGAGCTATGGCAGTCGCTACTCGTCCTCTTTTATATCCAATTCTTTTCTTCCCTTCCCCTTCCTGAGTCCGATCCTGGAAGCCTCGTCTTACGTGAAGCTTCGAGTGAAGCTCCAGCAGATGTATTTATCCAGGGAGCTCAGCACCGCGACCAAGACTGCAGAAATTAGCTGTCGTATTTATCCAGGCCGAGTCCGGTGAGCTCACAAATTGCTGCTCGTCGGACGTCCGAACATCTCATGCTGCCGAGGGTGAGATCGCACCTGTTTCTTCATATCGTGGCATATCGTCGACCAGAACGCTAATCCATTTGCTCGGTACTTTCGGCTGCACACGCGGCCCAACACGGCAGGGCAGCAGAGAAAGAGGTTCCCCCAGACACACTCGCAGCTCGATCTGGGTGTGCACCTCATTCCTACCTTGCGTCTGGAGCTTTTAGGCGAGGTTCCGGCGCAGATGGCCGTCTGCCTTCTTCGTGCTATGGTGGTGAGATGAGTTGTGAAGCGATTGGGCATGCTCGTGTCCCGTGAGAGGAGAGGGCGGGTTGAGTCCAAATTTAGAAGGTGAGGCTCAATGAAGATCTAAGGAGAACCTCGAGGATAAGACCTTCTTCTCCTTTTTACCAACTATTTCAATCTAGGGTTCACTGGATGCTTTAGCCATTGCTTTGGTGGTATGGTTGTAAGTGTGATATTTAAAGTCGTGTGCTTGCCAAGCGACAGGTGTTTGAATGCATTGCTGCTCTCAAGTAATCTCCCCCAGAAGCTTCTTTCCTTCCAATCTTGAAAACATGGTTCATTTTAGCTCTATTCTACTGGTTTTAGCTTTTCTAAGAGTTTGAGGCTACTCGACAGCCCTCCTCTTCTCCTTTGTCGTCTATCAAGACCTCTGAGATCAATAGGTAGCTGCATATCAAGTTGCACGATCAAATAGATGGACAACATCTAGTTACTCGATAGTCAAACATGTATGACTTGGAGCGAGGAGAGGTCTCGCATTCGTCCGAGTGCCTTGTATTTCTACCACCCCTTGACTCCCAGTTCACCATGTTGGTGTTCTTGGCCGTGGTGTAAGTCTGATTGTGCTGGCGGCACCGTGTGAACCCCACCTGACTAAGGTCCAGACCGCCCATTGCCCACGTACAATACACGCGCTGTGCACGCGCCCAGGAGAGGGAAGAAAAAGTGACGTGCGTGCCCCAAGCTTCCATCGTGCCTCTCCCCCCAAAACCACCTCCACGCCGTACCGACCAATTATCGTCGCCGCAAACGACCGCTGCAAAACATCTCGCACTCAAGAAGACGCATATAACCAGCATCATGGACGTCGCCGACCAGTGGATGCTCGAATATCTCCCAGGTACGTCCACATGCAACGCAATAACCTCTCTCCCTCCCTCACCTCCCTCCCTCCACAGCAACATCTCCCCGCTCCATAGATCCAAACAAAAACAACAAGTCTCGACACTCTCCTCCCCACACCTCTCCTGCACCGCCCTTCCCACTTTCGCTGACCCCATCTCGCACACAAAACAACAGGCTTCCTCCCCGACCCGCTCCCGCAGCTCCTCCACGAGCACGTCCTCCACCCGCACGCCTACGTCCAGGTCCTGAAGCGCAAGGCGATGCACCTCCTGGCCCGCCTCTTCAACGCCGCCTACCCCTTCCTCTCCCCCGTGGCGGACCGCCTCGCCCGCGCCCTGCACGACAGCCCGGACCTCGTCGTGCTGGCGGCCCTGCTCGTCGCCCTCGCCGCCGCGCTGCAGGTGCTGCTCTACGTGCGCCGCGTCGTGGCCTGGGGCGTCCGCCTCGCGCTGCGCATGGCTTTCTGGGCCGGGGTCGTCGCGCTCGGGGCGGTCGTCTGGAGGAGAGGGCTCGAGGAGAGCGTGCGCGACGTCGTGGTCGCCGGCGGCAAGGTCGCGGGCTACGCGGCGGCCATCGGCGAGGTGTGGATGGCCGAGTACAGGCGGTACGAGGCGCAGACGCAGCGGGTCGCGCAGGCCGGCGCCGGCGCCGGCGCGAGGAGGCAGAGGTAGAAGGAGAGGTGGGAGCGCCACAGTTGGTGGTTGTAGTTTTTTGTTTGTTTTTTTTGGAGATGGGAATGAGAGTGTGGGAGACCAAGAGAGGAAAAAGAGATACAGAGAGATGTTGTGGTCTGTCTGTTGTTCTACGGTCTTGGATTCCGCACATTGGGCAGATCACCACACACACAACATTGGCCCGAAGGCATACGCGCATCGTACCCGGAGAGAATTCAGATTCATCGTTCCTGTTTCAGGGGGCCACCATCTAATCCGACCCAACGCCGACGCTATGCAAACTATGTGCCGCAGGGAGGTATCCACCTACACCTGACCGACCGACCAGCTTTTCAGAATACAAGACAAATCGTCCCAAATGCAAGACACCAGCACAACACCGCCTCCCTTTTTTACTCTTGTTCCTCAAACTCCTCGTCCTTCAACTCCCTCGGCTCCTGGGCCTCGTGGTACTGGATGCAGTCGTCGATATAGCTCAGGATGGCGCCGACGCTCTCCTCGTCCGACGAGTCGAGCTTGAGGTAGCTGACCATGCTGAAGCTCTCAATCAGACCGGCCACGGCCCGGTTCAGCCTCCTGAAGCTGGAACCCTTCATGATGGCCTCCCGCTGCTGCGGGTCGGTCATGTCGTCGTCGCCGACCTCGTCGCCCTCGGCCCTGCGCCTCGCCACCTCGGCCGGGTCGTCGTCGAGCAGGGCGACGTCCGGGGTCAGGAACTTCTTGAGATCTTTGCGCTTGACCTGGCCCTTGACGAGGTCCATCTTGGACAGCACGTTGAGGTGGGGGATCTCGAGCATGATCATGGCGCTCATGGCGCTCAGGGTGCCGGCGAAGAACTTGGCGCGGTCGACGACGAAGGTGGCCTCGAGCAGGTAGGCGGCGCAGAGGCGGATGTCGAGGGAGCCGGCCTGGGTCAGGAACTTGACGAGGGCGGGCAGGATGGGCACGTGGGTGTAGAGCTCGATCTGGCCGGGCATGTCGAAGATGATGAGGTACTCCTCCGTCAGCGAGTCGAGGGACTCGGTCAGGAAGTCGAGGTTCTCCATGAGGAACTCGAAGCAGTAGATGAGGCCGCCGTTGGGGCCGAGGCCCATCTCCTCCATGACGTCCTCGAGGGAGATGAGGTCCTTGATGTCGAGGTCGGGCTGGTGCTCGAACGTCTCGGCGGCGGGGTCCAGGTTGACGTAGAAGGCGGAGCGCCGGTTGAGGTTGAGGTGGGTGATGAGGGAGGCGCAAAAGGTGGACTGGGCCGGGCGGGCGCCCATGTTTTGTTAGGACATATCCATATCCAGTGGTGTCACGGTCGAGAATGCGACGATGATCTTGAGGAGAGAGGGAGGAGCTCACCTTGCCCGCCCCTGCTGGGCCCATGACCATGACCCCGAACTTGCTCATGTCGGGCTAGGTATCTGCCGACCCGGCGTAGAATGCTGAGATGTTATGTGTGCAATGCGCCGACTTTTGTTTGAGAAGGGTCAAGCTTGAAAGTGAAAGAGCTGTGTCGCAACACATGCAGATTTTCGATGATGGTGTTTGTCAGGGTGGGGAACTGGACATCACTTTGAACTTCCTTTATCAATTATCGATAAGATAAAAAGATAAGCTTGAAGCCAAAAGCGGGTATAGGCCAAACGCGTTACCTTGTACGAGTACCCTCAAACCTGTGCCTCTTGCAGGAAGCTGACCGGATCAAAGATATCAAGGCCAGCATGGAGAGACGAAACAACAGCCGAAGAGGGGACGAATTCTGCTGCCCCGCTAGTGGGCCGGGCTTACCGGGTGAGGCATGGTGCCAGTGCAGCATTGACCGGTTCGATAGGCTGGCGCCAGGGGAGGATCCCTGGGATCCCTGGAATCCCTCCAGGCGCGGGGGCGTGTACCGCTTTTTCACACCCAGTGTTTTTGGTAGTGCTGGACTCAACCGGCAGAAAAAAAAAGACCTACAACCCCTCCATCACGCGCACGCAGCCATTATTACTGGACGGCGGTGAGCAAAAAGCCAGGCAAAAAAAAAACCTGGATTGGCTCACTGGCTGGTATCCTCTGTCATTTCCCCATCCATCGAAAGCAAATGGGGGGATGAAAAACGTGCACATGCAGCATGGGAACACAACGGCAGCAAAGCCGAGTCCCTCAAGGTAGCATCTACATGCTCCCCACGTCGAGAGCCCGGACGGAGTGCGTAGTCGGTACCGACCGTTGATCCCGACTTCCGAACCTCGAGCGAAAAGAAAAAAAAATCTACTCTGTAGAGAGAGGAGAGCAATATTGCGCCATACTTACGGTCGAAGTTGACATGCATTGATGTCCGTGGGCATATATGCACGCACTCTAATCGCTGCTGCTCTGCTCATGTACTTCGTGCCTTCCTGGCAATTATGTCGCCGTCTGACACCCCCTGCGCCCGAGAAGGAAAGAGGTAGATAGAAAGGGAAAGAAGAACAATATTAACTCTCCGAGCACACCTTCCATTGAATCCCATCCCACCAAGAGAAACCTACCTAGGTACCTCAATAGGACAGGGATACATGTACCTCCTTAGCAAAGAATGGGAAAATCCCCCCTTGCGCCTCAGCTTACCTCCCCGGACAGAGCAAAGCAAATGGAAGCGCATCTCATCCAACTAACGGCAGTAGATACAAGCACCTAGGTACCTTAGTAGTTGAATGCAGTAAGAAATGAACGAGACCAAGCCAAGCAAGCCAGCAAGAGAATAGTGCCTAGGTAGGTAGTACCTAGGAAATACGGAGTAAGTAGGTCAGGTAGAGCACGCCTACATCTTCCCGAAGGGCGACGACACATTGCAGCGTCGACTTCTGTCTTCTTTTGTCTCAGTCCCTAATCTTAGGTTGTCACTCCAAACAATCCCCGTCCCACTAATAAATCTGACTACTTCTCCCACCCGCATTCCGACAGCTGTCTCCTTCCACTCTCTCTCTCTCTTCCTTTTCTCTTCCTCTCCTCTATCCCTCTCTCTACTCTCTCCATCTCTCGTCTTCCCCTCATTGTCGTCGGTATCCGTCCGTCTGCTTCATTCTAGGTTGGTATTTCCCATTGAACATGCAGCAAACCCCAAAACTTCAAGGACGCATCGTTTTTCTCTGACCGTGAAAAGTACAGATTGCCGCAGTCTTATCGATTGCTTCACCCCTCCATCGGCTATTTTTTTCCCGCATACCTTTTTCTCCTCCCCCAACATCCAAATCACACAATGGCCTCCAACGGTAACGCCATCCACGCCGACCAGGCTGCCTGGCGCCACTACAACGAGGGAACCTTCCTGTTCACCGTAAGGCACTGTTCCGCGCCCCCGGCACAGCTTAGTGTCTTTCCTGCTAACAGGCAATCCCGCATCGCAGTCCGAGTCTGTCGGTGAGGGTCACCCCGACAAGATTGCCGACCAGGTTTCCGATGCCATCCTGGACGCCTGCCTGGCTGAGGACCCCCTCTCCAAGGTTGCCTGCGAGACTGCCACCAAGACTGGCATGATCATGGTCTTTGGCGAGATCACCACCAAGACCAAGCTCGACTATCAGAAGGTCGTCCGTAACGCCATCAAGGACATTGGCTACGATGACTCGTCCAAGGGTTTTGACTACAAGACCTGCAACCTGCTCGTCGCCATCGAGGAGCAGTCTCCCGACATTGCCCAGGGTCTGCACTACGAGAAGGCCCTCGAGGAGCTCGGTGCTGGTGACCAGGGTATCATGTTTGGCTATGCCACCGACGAGACCCCCGAGCTGTTCCCCCTGACCCTGCTGCTCGCCCACAAGCTCAACGCTGCCATGTCGGCCGCCCGCCGTGACGGCAGCCTGGCCTGGCTCCGACCCGACACCAAGACCCAGGTCACCATTGAGTACAAGCACGACTCTGGTGCCGTTGTCCCCGTCCGCGTCCACACCGTCGTCGTTTCTGCCCAGCACAGCGAGGACATCACCACTGAGCAGCTCCGCAAGGAGATCCTCGACAAGATCATCAAGAAGGTCATCCCCGCCAAGTACCTTGATGACAACACCATCTACCACGTAAGTTTTGAGCGTTTCGAGTCTCGCTACTCACTGGATCTAATGGCATGTGACGACTAACTCTTGCGCCTGCAGATCCAACCTTCTGGCCTCTTCATCATCGGTGGTCCCCAGGGTGACGCCGGTCTGACTGGCCGCAAGATCATTGTCGACACCTATGGTGGCTGGGGTGCCCACGGTGGTGGTGCCTTCTCCGGCAAGGACTTCTCCAAGGTCGACCGTTCCGCCGCCTACCTCGGCCGCTGGATCGCCAAGTCGCTGGTCGCCGCCGGCCTCGCCCGCCGCGCTTTGGTCCAGCTCTCGTACGCCATTGGTGTTGCCGAGCCCCTGTCCGTCTTTGTCGACACCTACGGCACCTCGGAGAAGACCTCGGAGGAGCTGGTCAAGATCATCCGTGCCAACTTCGACATGCGCCCCGGTGTCATTGTCAAGGAGCTCGACCTGGCCAAGCCCATCTACTTCCAGACTGCCAAGAACGGCCACTTTGGTACCAACCAGAGCTTCAGCTGGGAGAAGCCCAAGCCCCTCAAGTACTAAGCGTCGCCCTGGCCTGACGCCTTCATGGTGACACCAAGCGAGAGATTCAACTTCTCCTCGCGTAATCTCACATCTCACGACCGTTAGAGAAAAAGCTATCACGATTCATGTTTTATTTTTATCCGCACATCACGGACGGGCAAAGAATAAAGGCGTACGGTTTCAACAATCCTGGTTCTGGGAGAAATAATATATCCAATTTTCTTTTTTCTTTTGCTCTCGAGGTTTCTTTTTCCTTATCACTGTCACATGTCTGGGTGGGGGGCTGTCTCAGCCCTCTTGAAGCCTCGCTGAGCGACGACACAGCGTCGCTCAAGTCTTGCCTGGCCATCCCTGGCATTGCATGCAGGGAAGGCCAGCGCTCTACAGAGGAGGGGAGGGATGCTGGCGTCTTTCAACAAAGACATTGTCTTGCATTGGGAGGGGTGTTGCAAAAAATGGGAAAGACACTTTTCACTGCATAACTTTTCTTCTCGCGATACCACACGCATCGGAAAGAAATCACAGCATCTACACATCGGCGTTTTAACAACAACACAACACACACACATTGATCTTTGGGAAAGCGATTTACAAGAAAGAACTTCAACATCTTTTTGACACTCTGTTTTCCCGAACTCTGAAGCCGATGCACACAATACTTGCAACATCACAAAATCTCTCAACGCTTCGGGGAAGGGGGGGAATGGGGGAGACTTTTTTGGGCCGGTGGCGAGTTTCGTCCCTTGCGAAAGGGGTGATCGCCGCAAGGAAAGGGGCATGGGATGTACTTAGGTACCTTTGTTTTGCTATCTAGCTGCAGATACAACTCTCTGATAGATGGCCACACATTGATACAAGAAAGCGGACGAGTCTGCCCCCGGGTAGACTTGCGCGTGTTTGCCGCTCATCTGTCTAGTTTGACATCTGGCCCAAGTGATCTGATTCTTCGCAATGCACTTGCACTCTGTGGTCCAGTTAAAGAGAGAAGGATACACCATGATTGTTCAATTCATTTCCTGTCTCGAGATATTGTATTACTCAAGATATGTAACTACCTAGAGTATGGATCATGAGAGGGGGTGAAGAAGTACAGCTCTGTGGAATCGTAGGGTATCGAAGCTTATAAGAGACGCAGTACGCTCTGAGATAGAAAAAAAAAGAGAGAAGCAAAAGAGCGTCCTTCTAAGTTCGTCGGAGAAAGTGAGAATACAATGTGGTAGAAAAGTAGGTGACCAAGAAAAAAAAATATAACAAGAAAAGAAAAAAAGGTGGTGGTGGTGATTGGTGGTGACTGACTGAGTGGCCAAGATCCGCCGTGAAACACCAGACAATAGGGGTAATCAAAGAGGCAGAAATAGAGTATATCGTGACAGTCAGTTCAAAGTCGGAGTCTAAAAAGGGGGGATGGATCCATTCTCATCCATTCTTTTTTTCCTTCCCCTTTCGTCCTCTCGTCCCCTTTTCTTTCGTTACAGTAAACGGCAATGAGGAGGGGGGAAGAGGGAAAGAAGAAAGGGGGGGGGAGAGCCAGTCCACGCCATCAACATCACGGAGCACGACACTCTCCTCCTTCCTACCTACCCCTTTCCACGAAAATACAAAACAAAAAACAATCATTGATCATCAGGCCTCTTCTCCTCCCTTCCATGCTCACGTCACGTCAGCGACGGCGCCGAAGCAGACGACGGCACGTGGTCTCCTCCTCCTCCGGGCGCGCCGGCGAGCGGCTCGAGCCCCTCGAGGATGCGCCTCGCGGCGTCGATCCGCCGGCGGTACATCCTGCTCTCGGCGCTCGCGCGCCCGCTCTCCGTGAGGCCCAGCACGCACCTGCCCAGCCCCGCGACGGCGCGCTCGACGAGCATCTGGTCCTCGCGCGACAGGGCGCCCACGGCGGCCGGGGTGCCCGGCGCGGCGGGCGCGGCGATGCCCAGGGACGAGGTGCTGCGCGCGCTGCTGATGGAGTACTTGTGCTGGTGCTGCGGCTGCTGCTGCTCGGCAGAGGCGACCTCTGCGCCTTGGCCTTGCATGAGCGACTCGGAGATGTTCCGCAGCTGCCGGTCGGCCGTCCCCATCGCCGCCTCGCCGCCGGCCTCGGCGGAGGACGACGAGGACGAGGCGAACGCGTGCTGCTGCTGCTGCGGCGGCGTCGAGGACCGCGCCGCGACGGGCGACCCGCTGCCGTTGGACGACGTCTTCTTGCGCGCGCTGCTGCTGCTGCCGCCGACGAGCGGGAAGCTGCGCTGCGTGCCGGTCGAGTCGAACGACGAGACCGAGGGCCGGTGCAGCGTGTGCGCCGCGCTGCTGGCGGGCCGCCGGGCGAGCGCCGCGGCGGGCGGGTGCGACGACGAGGACGAGCGCTGCTCCTCGGCGCTGTGGCGCTTGTTGGGCGTCGTGTTGGCCGTCGCAGGCGCCGAGCTGAACGCGTTTCCCCCCCGGCGCGCCGTGGGTGGCGGCGTGGCCGGCCGCCGCTCGCGCTTTTGTTCCTGCTGGGTTCTTCCGTCTTGGTCTTCCTCGTCCTCCTCGACAACGTAGTCGTCGATGACGGCAGTCTCGTCCGCGGCTGCAGCCGCCGTCTCAAAGCTGGAGCGGTTGGTGCTGTAGCGCGAGGCGCGGCCCTCGGTGGCCGTGGCGAACGAGTCGACGGTCGAGACGGAGCCGGCGCTGCCCCGGCGGGTGCGGCTGCGCGACCGCGACTTGCCGTACGTAGGCCCGCGTGTTGTCTCGACCGAGTCCTCGGAGCTGAAGCTGCCGCGCCCCGCCAGCCGCTGCTGGTTGATCGTGCCCAGGGCGCTGTGAAGGATAAAGTGCTCGTAGTCAAAGGCGTCCTCGCGGTCCTCGTGAGAGATGGGGTGCTGAAACGTGTCGTGGTACTCGGACTCGCCCGCCTCGCTCTCCCAGTCAGTGCCGGCCGTGGCGAAGCCGTCCTGGTTCTCGTCCGACGGCGGGTCGTCGCCGTTCTCCGTCCGCATGTCGCTGTCCACGTCTTCCTCCTCCTCCTTCTCGGCCTCCTCCGGTATGGTCTCCGGCTCTCTTCGTGGTGAGTCGGTGCCGAGATCCACGACGGGCGTTTCTATGAATTGTTGCTGGTGGTGGTAAGGATGGCTCAGCTTCGTGACGCCGTTCTCCTGGCTCTCGTAGCCGCCCGCCAGCGAGTCGTCCTCTGTGTTTTCGTCAAAGGAAGACCTCGTCTTCTTGGGAGTTGACTGGCCTTCTCCGTCGCTCTCGCCGTCCACGGTCGACACCTCACCATTCCAGGGGTTCCGGCCTGACACGTCGTTGGGCGTGGATACGGACTTGGTCAGAGCAGACTGCGGCTCCGTCCCGTACCATTGCTCTATCCGGGCGTGGGTGAATGGGCTCGGCGTCCGCAGGCTCTGAAGACTCCTCCTCTTCATGCTGTCTGCGCGCGCCTGCTCCCGCAGAGACGAAATCTTGCCCTTCAGGTCCTTCATCTGGTCCTTCAGATCCCGCATCTGAGCCACAGAGGCAGACCTTGTCAAGCCCTTCTCGTTGAAGGACCCAAAGGTTGGGCTCAGGAATGTGTCCAACCTCGAGGCGTTCTCGGCTTCCGGCCGGAGCAGGTCCGGCTCGGCGGCATCTTCACTGACCGACTCCAAGCCCTTGTCTCCCGCCGAGTCCGTCGATCTCCTGTAGTCAGGCTCCTCCTGCTCCGCCAGCCCGTTGAGATCTTCTCGTATTTGACCCAGGCTCTGTGATGAGATCAACGGCGGCCTGTACCCACCGGCAGCGCCCATCGCACTCGCCGATCTTTGCGTGTAGACTTTGGGTGCGGCATCGAGTCTCAGGGCATTATCGCTGCCTATGCGTGCGTGCCCGGGCGCGAAGACTGTGGTAGAGTGGTCGCGGAGGCGGAGAGGGAACGGGGGTGAGGGCGTAGAGCCGTCGGAGAAGCCCGTGGGTGACGACATTTGCAGAGAGCTCCGCGCGCGTGTGAGATTGCCTTCCATAGTCTGTGGACTCGTTAGCTTATTTGCAATACAAAGTGGGAGGGCGCCACGAAATCATACCGTCAATCTCCTCTTCGCATTAGCGAGGATTTGCTCCGCCCGCTTGCTCAGGTCCGCCGCGGAGCGCTGGTCTTCGTTCCCACTGCCACCATTGACGCTGCTCCCGCCGCTTAGAGAGGGCGCGTCAACCGTCAGACTGCTGCTGGGCGCATGCGGCTCGCGGGCGGGCGAGTCCGGGACGTAGGACTCGGCGACGCTCTCTTCGTCGTCGCCCTGGAACACGCTGTCGCCGACGCTCATGGAGTCGTCAAAGTCGGCAAAGAGGTCCGGCCTGTCCTGGGTGGTGATGGTGCTGGTGCTGTCGCCCGAGGAGCGCCGCAGCCGCTCGACGGAGGCCTGCTGCTCCTTGGCCCTCCTCTTGACGCTGTCGAGCACCCGCGCGGGCTGGGCCAGGTAGTCGGCCATGTTCTCCTTGTCCGCCAGGGCCTGGCGGTCGAGGCCGGCGCGGCGCTGGGGCGAGGGCTTGCCGACGGTGCTCTCGACCTCGGTGACCTCGCCAATGTCGGACAGCATGGTGCCGTTGCCGTATATGATGGGCGTGGTCGGGGTGATGGGCCCTGCGGTGAAGGTGAGGGCGTGCAGGTCGACGCCCGAGGCGGCGGCATGGGCGTTCTTCCACATCATGAGCGGCGAGTGGGAGCGGTCGTCGTCGTAGCCGGGGGAGGAGGACCGCTCGTACTCGGGTAAAATCATGTCGGGGTTGGTCAGGGTAGGCGACGGGGGCTGCGGCGGGTAGGGCTGCGGCATGGAGCCCGCCCGGCTTGAGGAGGGCTCCATCATGGCCATGTCCGTCCGCGTAGGTGTCTGTGTGCCGCCGCGATGTCGCTGCTTCTGCAGAAGCGAGGGCCGGGAGCGGGAGGTGGCAGAAGCGAGAGGTGAGAGAGAGATGGACAGGTAGGTAGGTAGGTGAATCAATTAGAGGCTGCTGCTCGGCGCAGACGCCGCTGGACGAATAGCACACCGGCCTGTCCTCTCACAGTGCCGCCAGGAGAACCGTCGGGCCAGTCGTAGTTGGTAGATAGAGTAGGACAATCGAGAATGTCGTGCATGTGCAGGTTACAATTAACCGCAAAGACACCGTCCGCTCGGCAGGCCAGAGGATAAATTGGATGCGGCGAGGGCGCTGGTTCACGGCCGCAGACTAGGATCGACGACGCACGGGAAGTCGTTCTGTCGGGTTCCGGCCGTGGAGTGCGGAGAGTATCCTGCTCATGGGTTGTCGTGCTGCGCAGAGGGTGTTGGCAGATGCGAGCAAGCTGGCAAGCAGAGCAGCGCAAGCGACTCGCTAGACCTCCTGAACCGGCCAGATCAAACTGTGGCGCGCAGAAAGAGCACGCAGTAGCCCCGGGCCCAAGCACGCGTCGCAGAGAAGGGGATCGTCTGTGCTGTAAGAGACGGGAAGGTTCATGCAGCAAAGAGGGTGGTGGAGGGCAATATCTGCAAGATTGATTGATCGAATGGCGCGGTGCCAGTGCCCAGTAACAGTGCTCAGTGCCAGTTACGGGATGCGCCAGCAGCAGATGCCGGGGGTGGGGATGGCCAGAAACAGCTGGAGCAACTCGTCTCGCACTCGCGCTCCTTCCCCAAATCGACAATCGACGGCGGGCACACACACACACGCACACCTGATCGACAATCGTCACAGCCCCTTCGAGAGCAAGCGGGTTGAATATCCACTCAGTCTTGTGGTCGTTGTTCGTTGGGGGTGGCAGCGAGTGTTTAAAGAGAGAGTGCGTGGACCGGTGCCAAACTTGCACGGCCTTCCTCGGTCTGAGTAAAAGTATGCGCATCCAGGAGTGAGTGAGTTGATAACTTTTTGTTTCCCTGGTTCTCCTGCAGGCTACGGACAAGGTCGACTCGAGTCCTTCTCTCAGGCCTGTGATTGCGTCGACAAGGGCCTGCTGCCGGGCACTAACAAGGGTTTCTTTCCCTTTTTCGTTCCTTTTTTCTCTACACGTTGGCTAGATGCAAGGGGTGAGAGCTGGATCTCTCAAGCTTGACCGTCTAGAACCTACTGTAGTATCCAACGGTAAACCTGGGCGAGAAACCTGGCCGATCCTATTCACGGCATTTGCTTGCGAAGCTCTCGGCATCTCCTCTGCTTTTCGTCATTTCCCAACGGCCGGGCTAGTCTCCACGCGCTGGCTGGCTGCCGCTGTTGGCATCTGTCAAAAGGCACCACTTTCTCTTCACGAGACGAGGGACGGGATCAGCCAGAGAAAAAAAAAAAAAGGGGGCATGCGTTTATGTGCATGGTGCAAGGATGTAATCGTAATCGCTTGCACACACTTTCTCGCACACATGCGGCGCCAGTGCCAGCGGCGGCCGGTGCCGCAATTGGCCAGGCACGGCAACTTTAAATGGTCCCCAAGGATTTCTCTGGGTTTTTTTTTCCCCTCCCGCGGCGCCGGCGTGGTGTGAAGAGTTGCGAACTGGTAGCTTGTCTTGGGATGAAACAATCGGCACTACTTGTACTCCTGTACCGTACCGCACCTTTTTGGACGACGAGATGGTGTTACAGCTAATGAACTTTCTACCTATCCGGTAGGTAGGAAAATGCATATCTACGGCAATATGAGTCGGGTCATGCAGGTGTAAATGAGAGATGGCCAGGGTACGCGCTGCTTGCTGCGAGGCATGACTGTCGATATTTGGTGCCTGTCAGCACTATGGATCCTCCTCCATGCAGCCCGTTGAGGAAACAGAGACACCATCCCGGGCGTACGAGGTAGGGGAATGTGCCAATCGTGAAACAAGTGCGCCAATCAGCATTTTGCTACTGCTCCAGGTAATCGGCCGGCACAAGGCATATCTGCCCCGGTTGGAGTAGTTACATTGTATCTCTGAGCTGGGCGAAGTCTTCTTCACGGTTTACCGCTCATGGTCGACAAGAAGATAGAGTAATATCATCTGAAATTCATCATTCAATTCCAAAAAGAAGAAGCGGCCCAAATATTTATTAGAATAGAAGATGATGCTACTGGTACTGCCAGCCAATGCATGCCAGCGCACGGACCACCAGACACCAGCCAGGACGAATCTCGAGCTCCTAAAAATTTCCAGACCACCATCGTCGACCTCCCCAGCCTGACCTCATACGACACATGGTGATTGGCTTGCCACGCCGTCCAACCTCACCGCCCCAAAAACACCCCAATTCCTCGGTAGACGGGCCTCAATCCACACCCGCGAGGACCATACTTCCCTTCCCCCCAGAGAATTGAACCGTCCGGGCCGGGCCTGCGCCGCCGTCGCCGTCGCCGTCGCCGCTGCAATGAGCAAACACATCCTCCGCTCCGCCCTGGAGCTCCGGGCGCCCATCACGCGCCGCCTCTTCCTCTCCTCGCAATGCCAACAACCACGAGCGGCGGCAGTAGCAGCAGCACCGCTCCCCGCCGCCCGCCGCCTCTTCAACACCACCCCCTCCCACACCCCAAGCCAGCAGCAGCCACCCACCGACGCCGCCGCCTCCTCCTCCTCATCACCGCCCACAACCACCACCACCGCTCCCACCGCCACCACACCCGCGCCCAGCGAGAACCTCCGGACCCTCCTCCCCCTCCTCGCCGCCCAGCCGGGCGGCCGCTACGCGACCGTCCACGTCCACGGCCGGCCCTACCTCGTCACCCAGGGCGACAGCATCCGCCTGCCCTTCCGCATGCCGGGCGTCCGGCCGGGCGACGTCCTGCGCCTCGACCGCGCCACCAGCCTCGGCAGCCGCGACCTGACGCTCAAGGCCCCCGGGACCGGCGACACGAGCACCTCGAGCAACGCGCCCGCCTACGTCGACCCTTCGCTCTTCGAGTGCCGCGCCGTCGTCCTCGGCCTCGAGAGCGAGCCCATGCGCGAGCTCGTCAAGACGAAGCGCCGCCAGCGCAGGCGCAAGACGGTCCGCAGCAAGCACAAGTACACGGTCCTGCGGGTGCAGGAGCTGACCATCAAGAGCAGTCTCTGAAGGAAAGGGCCGCAAGCAGGGGAGGTGGGATGGGGGTCGTGTCGTGTAGGGACGTGAGGAAGGGAGGTGGGCCAAGGGAACGCAGTGGTTGTTGTATCAAAAGAAGGGCCAGTCCGAACAGGCTCGTGCCTCTTTGTATAATTGAGAAAAAGAATAGGCAAATCCATCAGGATGGGCCGGCGTGGTGCCTCGAGATGTACGATTGGTGAAATGGCTACCGGTCTTGTACAACAGACAAATAAAAGTGTCACAGTATCCATCAATTCGACAACATAAATCATTCTTGAGGCGTGCGGGAGAGAAGACGTAAATTCATATATTCGCTTGCAAAGGCTTCGAACAACCAAAAAAGACATGTCTACCAAGACGCCCAGTATCCAGGCTCAAACCGCCCTTCCAAGATCCCCGCACGGCTGAACGAGCGAAAGAGAGAACCCTGATGATAGGACGCAAGTGGGAGTTCCAATATGAGCAGGAGATATGTACAGAATTAGGCCTATTCTCTGGACCAAAAGGCACAATGTTATAAACAAACAAACGTAGTGGGAATCTCTTAAGAAGCTTTTTCTGGTGCTTGCTTGAACCAACGAACGCCGAGAAGTGAAGTAGAAAAAACAAGAGAAGAACAACAAAAGACAAAACGCAGTATTGAAACACGAATACGCAAAAAAAGACTTCTAGATGCAAACCACCCGCCCTGCGCTTCAACCACACACTCCTCCCTTCTTTTGCGTTGTGAAAAGTCATGTTCATTCATTCATATCCAACCGGGCTTTGAAAGCCCCTGGGAGTTCAGATCCGGGGCAGGACAGGCTCGTCACCTCCTCTCCTCCCTGCTGACCCCGACAGCCTTCCTAACGCTGGCAAAGTAAGCCCCCGGCCATGCCCCGAGCGCCTCGCTCTCCGTCGGCATGCGCTCCCGGCACCGCGCCACGACGCTCTGGATGATACGGCCCAGCAGCTCCTCCGTGACGGGGAGGGCGCCCGCGCCGCCGCCCACGGCGTCCACCTCGACCGGGTACAGGAACGGGTCCGTCGGCAGCAGCAGCTCCTCGCACGTGGGCCGCTGGTGCTGCTCGCGGTTGAGGCAGCGCCTCATGGTGCGCAGCAGCGAGGGCGGCACGGCCACGCCGCCCAGCCCCCGCTCCGGGAACTCGATGTTGTGGTTCCAGTTGATGATGGCGTGGCACCGCGCCAGGTGGTTCTGGATGTGGCCGAACGGCGGCGACCCGTAGACCATCTGGTACAGGATGCAGCCCAGGCTCCACACGTCGCTCGGCTTGCCGAGCTTCATCAGCTTGGGGCCCTTGGGGCCGTGCGGCAGCGCACCGGGCCGGCCGCCAAAGTTGGCCGAGGTGAAGGCGTACTGCTGCGAGTCCATCAGGGACTCGGGAGACATGTAGTTGGGCGTGCCGATCTGCGTCTCGCGGTGGACGTTGACAGTTTCATCGGTCTGGATGGCGTTGGCGATGCCAAAGTCGATGAGCTTGAGGCGGCCCATGACGAGCACAAAGTTGGCCGGCTTGAGATCAGAGTGCACAATGTCGTGGGCGTGGACGGCCTGGAGACACTCGAGCATCTCTTTCCAGTAGAAGCGGATGAATGCAGTATCGAGCTTGGAACCTTCGGGGTTCTGGCGGACACGGAGTAGACGGTTGAGGTCGAGCTCGCCCATTTCCATAAGCTGTGTGCCATTGTCAGCTCGAGATACCATCGTATCAGTAGACCGGGATATAGCTACTCACCAAGCTTAGCATCTTCTTCTCGTGGTTCATCTCGCAGTCGTATAATTGAATGACGCGGTCGACGCCCGAGAGCTTCTTGAGCAGCTCAATCTCGCCAAGGTAGCCCCGGATGGTCGCCTCGTCGGCGTTCTCGATCGACACTCGCTTGAGCGCAAATATGTTGCCGTTCTCAGCGGTGACCTTATACACCTTGCCGCTGCCGCCGCGGCCGATGCAATCGAGGCGCTGGTACGACCGTCCGTTCACCTTGAGCAGGATGCGCTGCTTCTTACTGGCTTGGCCAGTGGTGGCGGCGCCTGCCCTTGCAGTGGCCGTCTCCAGCACGCTCATCTTTGGCGGAGGTGGAGGCGCGGGTCGGTGCGGCGTGTTCTTGCTCAGGGAAGCTAGGGCCTTGCGTTCAGGTGAAGCTGCGGCACCGGGCTTGGCCGCACTGCCGATATCAACGCTCAGTGGCCGAACTGGCTTGTCCAAGCCCTTATCGGCGAGAACTGACGATCTCTTGATACTAGCGGGGACGTCGTTCTCCTGATCATGCGAAGAAGGCAGCGCGGGCCTGGGAGCACGAATTCGATAATGCGGGATCTCAATCTCGTCGCCGCTCTTGGCGCCTGCTGGGGAAAGACGCACTGCGGCAGCAGAGGACCCATTTCTTAGGGACGCTCTTGCGGAGTCCTTGGCACTCACTGGGCTACCAGACGCAGCTGGATCATGAGCATAAGGTGCATAAAAGGAAGACACGGCGCCATCCCCCTCGTTCGGCTGGCTCTCGCGCTCCTGGCTGCCCGCCAGGCGATTTCCATTCTCGTCCACAGGGCTATTCTCGTCATCTTCCTCGCTCTGTCTCCTCCGGCCTCGGCGGGCTGGCCCGCTCAGGAAGCTGCCGGGTACCTTGCCGATGCGTTTGATGCGCATAGAGCTCTGCAGCGCCGGGTCGCTCTCCTTTCCTCTGACACTAGCACCGAAACGAGAGACGCTTCCTTGGGGCCGGTCGACAGTAGCAGGGTCTTCCAGGTGTTCATAATCGCTTTGGGGCGCGGATCCTGATCGTTTGGATGATAGGCCCGACGAGCTTGAAAGCCGGGCCTTGTTGCCCGAGGAGCCCACGGCGATCTGGACTCTTCTCCTGGCACTAGCAGGAGTGTTGACGACTGGCTGGGGCGGCTCGGGTTGTGTCTGGGCCTGTGACTGTTGCTGGCTCTCCACTTGACTTTTGTCCTCCACCCTCTCGCGGCTCGGTGCACGTCGAGCTTGCTTCGATGATGACAAGGACCTCCTAGGAGGGATCTGGTTGGGCAGCCCACCTGCTGGAGTGGTGCTCAGCCTGACGACTCTCTTTCTCGGGGCAGGGCTGCTATCGCGGCTCCGAATCGGAGAGGTAGGTCTGGAGGAAGAGATCTGCGCGCTGCCTGATCTGGCGTGTCTCCTAGTCTGTCTTACGGCAGGGCCCTCTGGCGGTGCATCCCCTCCAGCCGATGAAGTTGACCGGTTAAGTACACTCCTCCTCCTAGTCATCATAGCTGGTCCCTGAGCGGCGGCCTGGTCCACGTTTCCATTCGCAGACGGTCCGCCAGCTGCATTCGACGCGCTGCCGTCGCTGAGCAGAGCCTTGGTGAGAGCACTGAGCTTCATAGGTACCGGTATCTCATCGTCGGAGCTGTCGTTGAGGGTCGAGTACTGTTGCGGCTGCGACGCCGAGTTCTGGCCGGCATCACCACCTATGGAGGTGGGATGAACGGGGTTGGACTCGCTACGCCCAAGCTGTGGACGAGAAGGTGGCCGTCTCAGCGCCTGTCTTGCTGACGTCCTTCGCCCAAGCGAGAAGTGGCTACCTTGGGCCAGCGGTGTAGGCGATGCTGCTGACATTGTGGCGATGTCTCCTATCCAATGTTTTTGTTTGCCCAAGCTCTCAATCCGTCGTATATCAATTCAAAAGTCGACTTGCTTGGTGCAAGTGTCGCGTCGCGCTCAATCGACTAACTGACTGTCATGAAACACAGCACGCGGGAGCTCGAAGAGTATGTTGATTTTCGTATACGCCCATGTCCCGAGCTGTGAGAGATGCAGCGCAAAAAGCTTGCGGTTCGTCACCAAAGGTTGGGATCGTGAGAAGTGGAGGAGGTGCTTGACCCGGGGGACGTTGAATTGGTCGGCTTATTTTGGACGGGGGTCGGGAGGCCAATCAGATCGGCAATCACCGTTGCCGCGAGCAACGGACGCGACACTGGAACGAAGGCCCCACTCGAAATTTATGCTGGGGCATTTTTAGGCGGGAAAGGAACTACAAGTACAAGTACCTACAAAGTTGAAGGTTGGTCTGTGCGAGTTTGCAAAACAACTTAATATCCGAAAGAAGGCCCTGGTACTCGGGTATATGAATCTCTCATTGGTCTGAGGCTTCACGTTACTGAATTCAGAAGCGTCGAGACAAGTTGAGATCCATCAACACACCCACCGACTTACATCCTCAGCTCAGGGTATGAGCATACAGGGCATGTCACAGAGTTTGCTCAATGAAAAGATGGCTACGAGACATTTCATGTCACACTGGAGGGTCATCAGTCAAGGCCCCAGTTCCCAGGCCGTTGTTTCGAGGAAGCAATGCTTTTTCCCATTTGCCGTCTAAATGCCCCGTCCTTGCCCTAGAGCCATATCCCTGGCCGGAACCAATTAACACCAGATCCTCCCAAGCCACGGTTGTTGGGTGGTGAGGCCTTGGACCAAATGCGCACTACATCCCCGAATGACCCCGAAACCGCAAAGTTGTCGTGAATCGTGAAGTCGCTTAGTCGAAGAGACCGAAGCCCATGTCGTCATCGGACTCCTCCTTCTCCTCCTCCTTCTTCTCCTCGGCGGGAGCGTCAGCGGCAGCAGCGCCACCGGCAGCGGCACCGCCAGCAGCGGCAGCACCACCGGCACCGCCAGACGGGACGGAGGCGAGCTTGGAAGAACCCTCAGCGATCAGCTACAGAGGGAGTGTTAGTCATCTCTTCATTCTCTCATTTCGCAGTCGCAAAGTGGGGTAGCCTGTAGAGGGGAGGCCATACCTCGTTGATGTCCTTGCCCTCGAGCTCGGAGAGAAGAGTGCTGAGGCGCTCGTCATCGGCGCTGATGCCGACGGACTCAAGGACGCCCTTGATGTCCTTGGCAGAAGGCGAGGTGTTGCCGGCGAGGCCGAGGAGGAGGTAAGCTGCGAGGTGCTTCATTTTGAATGTGGCTATAGTACGGCGGCCAGGTTAGCGACAGTTTTTCGCCTGCATGTATGTGTGTGTGGTCTGCGAAGAAAAAAAGACGAGCAAGTCCTCGACAGCGGGGCAGAGTCGTGCGCATGGCATGTCGAGGGCACGGCGGCAGGCAAGGGTAGGGCGATCAGAGATGCGACTTACTGTTGTGTGTTTAGAGAGAAGAACACGAGATATCAATCGTTTTAACCGCAAACTTGACGGAGACTGATTCTTCGAGTTCGCGAGAGTGGACGGTTGGATGGGATGTGGACGACGGGATTCGGAGAGCCTGCGAACTTTTGGCGACCAATTTTGTGAAAGGCACTAAATTTTTGCCGGCGAAAAGTTGCAGTCACATGACCTTAGGGTCGGGGGCGTTGAGTTGAAGGGTTTCAAGCCACAGGTGGCTGGCGGCTGGAGATAAAGAGCCCGTCATTGGTCACAAGTGGGGCCTGCCAGCTCTTATCGGCCTGGCGGGACTGTCATCGAACCGTGGTAGAGCGCCTACCAAACTTCGCTCTTTGTTCTTTATCCTCTCTGCCTTGCTGCTTGCAGACGCCCAGCGAACCTTTTCCCCTCGCCAAGCCAAATACATTGGAAAAGCTTTTTCTCGATAGAAAAGCAGACTTTTGTGCTTCTCGTCTCTTTCATCATATTTTGTCTGCCGCATTATTCCTTGGCTTTCTATCTTGCAGACTCCGCTCACCGATTCAGAGACGAGACAGGCCTAGCCTTGGAAGGATCTCGAATCTGGTGATTCAGGACCTTTCGATATGCATTTTCTTTAGACATCTATCCTCCAGGACAGCGACAGCAGTCACCTATCTCTCCAAAGGTCTCGCGGACCTCTCCTGAGCATCTCGCCTCTCGCCCACTGGCAGTCGTCGTCACCATGCCGGTAAGTGCATCACTCCGCCTGCCAGGAAATCATTCATCTGCTGGGTCACACCCTGACTCTTTTCCCACCCCAGATCGGAGATCTCCTCGCCCAGATCAGTGGCGATAAGTCCACTTCGACTCCGAAGCAGTCCCCTACCCTCAAGCGCAAAGCAGACGACGCTCTGAGGGACCCGGCAGCCAAGACTCCACGAACAGCTTCTGCTGCAAATGTGTCCGCCAGGTCAAACCTGGACGCCAAGTCCGCTGCACGACCCGACAACCGATCAACGCCCGTGACCTCCACATCCTCTTCAGGCACGAAATCCGCACCCGGCTCTCGACCCCTCCACAGCAAGACTCCGAACGATTCGGTTAAACGAACAGTGCCGACACCGTCTAAAACAGGTGTGGTTTCGCGATCGGTTTCGGCGCCAGCCAAGCCTATCACGAAACCTGCCACAGGAGATGCCACCAACAAGGCGCCACCAAAGAAGGGTTCCTTCGCCGAGATCATGGCGAGAGCCCAGATGGCACAAGCGTCAATGGCCAACGTCGGCAAGATCCAGCACAAGCCCATCGAGAGGGGCCCCACGAAACGGGAGCGACAAGAGATGAAGGCAGAACAGGCGAGGACGGCACGGAAAGGAGGAGCGGTAGCACCGAGATCACCTGCCAACAAAACCGGCTACGCTGGATCGGCCCGGCCGAAGCCAAACGGATCCTCAGCTCTCACGCGGGATCGCAACGGCAACGGCGTGGTGGACCCCCGTGGTTCGACAAACGGCAAGACGGGCAAGGCGAAAGGCGCTCCTGTCGAGGAGAAGAAGCCGAAAAAGGCTGCCGTCGCAACGACGGGCTACACCGGCACCGCCCGCGGCGCCCGCCCGAGCCCCGCGCAGAAATCCTCAGCGGCCGACGTCAGGGACGACGACCGCCGCCCCCGCGAGCGTCCTCGCGTCCCCTTCGGTGCCCCGCGCCGCTCCCGCCACGACGACGAGTACGACGAAGAGCTCGACGACTTCATCGAGTACGACGACGACGAGGAGGAAGAGCCCGGCTACGGCTACGGCGGCGGCGGCGGCGGCAGGGGCAGGGGCGGCCCGCGCTACGATTACGCCTCGGAGGAGGACGAGTCGGACATGGAGGCCGGCATCTCGGACATTGACGAGGAGGAGGCCCGCTCGCGCGTCCTGGCCCAGCGCGAGGACCAGCGCGAGATGGCCCTCGAGGCCAAGCTGAAGCGCGAGAAGGAGGAGCGCAAGAGGCGCTTCTACGACAGTGCGAAGGATAAGCGGGATAGACGATGAATTCCCCCCCCCCCCTTTTTTTTTATTTCACCGGGGCCCTTCTCGCCGTTATCACGACACCACCACCACCACCACGACGAACAGGAACAGGACTCGATCTGTGATGTTCTGTACACACACGGCCCACGTATTTCCCAAATCCTACATGTTTCGCTCCAGATATCCCTGCCTGCCTGTCTGCCTTATTCGGTTTTACGTCAACTATTATCCTACTCAGGTTCTCTAGCATAGCATGCGCGCACACGGGAGGAGAGTGGCAAGTGGGAGACAGAGGTTTCTTTTCTTTTTTTTGGTTCCCCCCCTCACAAGACTTCACACATGGAGCGGGCGCATTACAGCGATCAGAAGAATCGTTTCAACCAAGGCGTTGGGTTTCCGTCATGTTTTCCTTTCATATCACGACAAAGGAGGGATCGGGTTTTGCTCATTTCCGTCTTGTGTTCACTGAAGAATGGCACCGCCGCCAGAGGAAGGGCTGTTCAGTATCATACTACTTGCATGGACTTTGTAGACATGTATAAATGTAATGACACTAATCGAGATATTGCACAACTTTGTCCTGGCATGTTATTCCGTCCAAGAATTGTCATAGTATTAAAGGGGTATTTGTTCTACAAGTTGACAATCAAAGAGGAGGTCCTGATGACGATCCTCGGTACGCTCTTCCTCCTCCCTTCCTCTCAAAAAACCCGACCATCAGTGAGATAATGGAAATGCGCTTGTCCGGGTGTGATACATGACTAGCACTTGGCTACCCATACCGTCCGGGCTGAACAAAATAACCGAGTTGTGACGGGGAAAATATCGAGTTCAGAAGAGGACAGACGCGCATGACGGAATCGAATTCGAACTGACTGAATGGCCGCCTGTGTCAAGCTGGGACGTGTACTCCAGAAGACTGGTGGGCACAGCTTGACACGACGACAGGAGAATAGGCCACATGCCTTACGACAGACGCGAAGGACAGGTGTATGGCAGCTCAAACGGGTGTGAAAGCCTGAGACGGGCGGATCTGGAACTACAAATCCTCGTTCCTGACGCCGGTGTTACCGAACCCACTCAAGTTCCAGCCTTGGTACCGCAGAGTGTTGCCACTGTTGACACTCGGCGGTGGCTGGGGCGGCAGACTGTGGTGCGGCTCGGTGTTCTGAACTGGAGGAGGAGGGAGTTGTGACGGAGCCTCCACTTTCGCAGTCGCACCGGCAGCAGGACTCTCCGACTTGGTCATCATGCCCTTCTCCTTAAGATATTGCAGCGTCTTAACGATGGTAAGATCCTCCTGGTCCTTGTCATTGAGAATCAAGCGCTGCTGCAAAGTAATGCGTCCGCCGTTACGCTCTCGCTCCGTCAAAGCTGCTTGGCGAACCTCTTCATCGTGTACGAAGCGGCACTTGCCCTTCTTTCCGCACGTGCCCCCCGTGGAGTAGTACTTGCAGTGCCTGGAAGGATCGGCTTTCTTCGGGGGTGGGGGGATTGCGACCGATTCTGGCTTGGTTGGGAGTGACTCTGGCGCCTCATCATCCGACTTGGAGGCTGAGGAGATAGTGGTACTAGCATCGACATCTCGCATCTCATCACCCTCGTCCTGCTGCTCTCGCTTGCGCTTGATGCTGGACTCAACCTTCTCCAGCTGCTTGCGGAGCTTCTGCTGCTGTTTCTCAAGCGCCGTCAGGGCCCCCTGCTTGCCGCCATCGTTCTTTACCTTGTCGCCGTTCTGGGTCACCTCGGCGAGCTTGGCCTTCCTGCGCGCCTCCGTGGGGAAGTTCTTCCTGCGCTCCGCGATCCACGCGGCAAGATCTGTAGGGCTACGGGCATGTCTTGTTAATTTCAAATCATAACAGAGAGAAGAGGAAACAAAGACGACCTACTTGGGCGCATCATCTCCAATCAGTTCTGCCAGCTTGGCCTCCTCGTCGATCTCTTCTTCGTCCGACTCTTCCCCAGGGGTGAGACCCAGCGTATTAGTCTTGCGCTTCTTCTTCTTGCCGGCGGAGGGAGCATCAGGCTTCTGATGGTGTGAATGAGGGGCAGCGGTATGGGTATTGTTCGCATGGGTGTTGGGCTTCTTGTGACGCGTCTTGTCGCCACTAAAATGAGGAGGACGGCCACCACGGAAGTTGTTGCTATGATGCCCACCACGGCCATGGTGCCTATTGTTTTGGGCCTGATAAGGCTCGTACGGCGGAGGGCCGCCCATCTGCGGTGCGCCGCCAGGAGGGGGATATGCCTGATAGGGTGCGGGTGGATAAGGACCGGGACCGCTCTGGGGGGGTCCATACTGCTGGGGATAACCACCACTGCTCACTGGAGCTGGGGTTCCCTGGTGGTTCGGACCCTCAAATCCAATACGAATAGGAGGTCCCATCATTTGGGCTGCTGAGCCGCCACGATCATTATGGTGACCTCCTCGTCCACGTCCACCGCTGAAAGGAGGACCATGGGGTGCTTGCCCATGGCCACCCCATTGCTGAGGTGCCGGCGCCTGCGGCTGCGGCTGTGCCGGGGGGTATTGTCCGTACGCCGGTTGCTGCTGCGGGCCGTAGTGGCCGGGTTGCTGTCCATACTGAGGGGGCTGCTGCTGATAGAGCTGCGGTGCATAGTTTGGGTGATAGTTCTGAGGGGGTAGAGAGCCGTGCGGTGGAGGCTGCTGGGGATGGCCGTGACCTTGGTCGTGATGCCATTGTTGGGGTGGATAGCTGCCCTGGGGCCCATTCGCGCTGGGGAAGCTTTGCTGGCCGTAGGGTTGAGGCGGTTGACTGTTATAGCCGTATGCCGGCCCAGGACCGGGACCGTGGTGACCGCCGCGGCCGCCTCGCGGGGTGTGACCACCTCGGTGAGACTGTTGGTACGGCTGCTGGTAATGGGGGTAGCCTGCAGGAGGCGAGCCGGCTGGAGGCGCTGGTGCTGGCGCTGGGGGCGGAGGGCCGTAGCTGTAGGAAGACATGACGCACTATCTCGCAGCACTGTATATCTAGATTGGAAGGGAAGCAGAGGACAACGAGGAGCCTAACTCTTGGCTCAAGCCGATCTCAGGGGAGCGTCGAGTCAGTGTTACTCGGGCAAAAATTGAGAAGAGCTGCCGATGAGGAAAGACAGCAGACCAAGAGGAAAGGTCAGTTCCGACAGACAGCTCAGGACAAAAGGGAACAAAAACACGATCAGAAATTCGAAAAGCTGTGAAGAGACTGCTGATGGAAGGAAGATGGACAAAGGTCGGCTAGAAGTGAAGAAATGACAAAGTTCCAGATTGGTTGGGCCTGGTTGGACTTGCCGCTAGCGAAACGCGCTCATAGCGTGAAGGCGGTCAAAATGGTCAAACTACCTATGGAGATGCAAGGAGGTGGGTCACTGGTGCCTGCGGTACCAGTCTGGCGCCGATAAGATAATAACTCAATCTACCTTCTGGCCGGCCCCTCCAAAAAGTATCACAGCCAGTGAATCAGCGGCAGAATCTTTTGACGATTTGCGACTTGATCGACGCCGTTCACCATGTTCATCCTTGTGAGTCAGATCACACCCGAATGCAGCTTCAGATCTCATGCGTCTAACATGTGCATCTCTTCGAATAGACCAAGATAGCAGATCTCGTGCAGATCGCGCCGAGAGACTTCAAGAAGAAGAGTCTCGTCGCCATTGAGGACAACATCAATCGCAAGTACTCGAACAAAGTCATACAGAACATCGGCCTCTGCGTGTGTCTCTACGACCTCCTCTGGGCGTCAGAAGGCCTGATTGGCCATGGAGACGGCTACGTGAACGTCAATGGTACGTAGTTCATGCAATATCCCGAGGGAGGTGATGCTCTTCTGACGCTTGCGACAGTCGAGTTCCGTCTTGTCGTGTTCCGCCCGTTCCGTGGCGAAGTCCTTCTCGGTGAGGTGTCTAGTTGCAAGCCAGAAGGTATTTTTGGTAAGTTGCATTTCTAAAATGGATGCCTTTTGCGCCTTCACGCACTGACAGTTTCCCAGTCAGGACAAAGTTCTTCTTCGATATATTCGTTCCTTTCGATGAGCTGCCTGATGGCTCCGTATAGTAAGTCCAACTCGATTGGCCACCTGCCATTCAACCCTGACACTGTAATCTAGCGACATGAGCAAACAGCTTTGGTGCTACGTTTATGACGAGGCCGACCCGGAATCCAAGGTCTACTACGAATTGTACGAGCCGGCCAAGTTCAGGATTATCGACGAGGAATGGCACGACCAGACACCCACAAAGCCCATCGACAGGCGGGGGAATTTCGACAAATCGGAAGAAGCCCTTCCTCCGCCCTACAGGATCAAGGCCAGCATGAGAGAAGGCGGTCTGGGTATGTGCGAGTGGTTCGATCAATGATATCCTTTCAATAAGGGCGATTTGTTCTATGACAGGGGGTATATCCATACTAGCTATCGTCTGGTGTTTCATCCTCGGGCCTCCCTACGCCTTGACGCTTGCCAACAGCCGGTCCTCGACGTCATCCAGCACGGAGTAATGGACGACGACGGCGATGTTCTCAGCCTCGCCGAGGAACTGCTTGTCAGGGTCGACCCCAGGGCCGAAACCTGCTTGGGGAGCTTGCGGGCCCATAGCGCCCATCTGCTGCGCCATCTGGCTTGCGGCTAGAGAAGGGTCAGCGTACCCTGCTTACGCAACTCTCAATCAGGGCATGTGTATATATCAGAGGGTATCTTACCGTTGTCACTTCCGAGAATGAAGTTGAAGACGGACTGTAGACCAAAGATACACAAGAAATACCAACTGATGCTTGACATCCATCTCGGATCCATGTCCTTGGTCATGACACCGGCCTGCAGCATGCTCTTGAACTTGATCGTCAACGGGAACGGCAATTTCACTGTGTCCTTGAGTCAGCCGTCTTGTATCTCCCGCCAGAAGTAGTGCCTGCCTACTGATAACATAACCGCTAAAGAAAGCGTTAATCCAGCTCATGATGAGCGTGTTGGGGATCATCATGGCCATGTTGCCCTTCATCATGCCCATCATGCCCTCCATAGCGTTGGGGTCCGTCATGGGATTGGGTGGCGCCTGGCCCCTGTTCTCGGGCGCCTTGAGATACGCCCCGGACTCGTAGGCGGCCGTCAGCGCCTCGCGCCGCGCGATGAACGACTTCTTGGACAGGTTGTAGTAGTGGGTGCGCACGCTGACGCCGTGCATCATGGCCCGCTGCTCGCGCGTGGCCTTGAGGTCCTGCTTCTTGGGCGCCGTGGCCATGAGCGTGGCAGCGTAATGCCGCAGCACGCCGGTAAGAATCATGACGATTGTGATGGGGAAGAGGATCCAGTAGCTGCCGACACGTGTGCCATTAGTATAAGTAATTCTGTTATCACGGAAATTGTGTGCCAGGTGGTGAGGCTTGCGTACAATAGCTGGGGATCCCTATGGATCGTCTGGACAGGGACTTGGGCCGCCATGGCTGCGATTGAAGCTCCGTGCGAAGCTGTCTGATAGGGAGACAATCGATTCAATCGCTCTGCAAGGCGGTTTGCGATGCCAAAGAGTCGGGGATTTCGCGGATGATGGTGGTTGACGTTGTGCGGGTTGGCAGCTCTGACAGTGAAGCTTCGATGTTCCCACAGCGCGATTGGCCGGACCATAATTTTACCACACCGAAGGAACACCGTTGAGCTTGAGCGCAGCACTGAGCTCACTCCACTCAAGTCCGTGGCTGTCAGACCCGCAATGAGCAATGGTGTCCTCCCACTTAGACAGATTATTGATACAGCAGACCTCGAGTCAACAAGCCACGGCCCTCGCTCTCTCTCACCGGCATTGCCTTTTTACCCTTGGCCCTTTTTTCTAAGCAGTGAGTGAGGAGTAACTATCTTCTCCACGTCCCTCTCATAATGGCCGTCTCGAGCGAGAAAATCGCAGTCTACAACCTAGCAGGTAACACTCTCCATCCCCAGTCTCACCCGGGATCGGGGGTCGCATACTAACACTGACACCTCCCCTCCCCCCAGACCTGAAGAACACCTCGGACGATGCCATCCCAAACTACCTCAACTCGCTCGGCCTGCGCCAGTCGCACCGCCTGACCGACGTGCGCCTCGCCCTCGGCTACGCCGCCTTCGCCGTCGCCGCCGCCTGCTTCCTCTGGGACTACAAGCTCGGCTTCGAGTCGACAAAGCACTACACGGCCGCCGCCGTCGCCGTCTACACCCTGCTCAACGGCGCCCTGACCCTGTGGATCTGGCACGTCGAGCGCGGCGTCGTCTACGTCGGCACCACGCCCGCCGGCGAGACCGTCACCGTCGCGAGCTCCACCAAGAAGAACGTGCCCGTCTACAACCTCAGCGTGACCACCACCTCCTCCACCAAGTCCGGCGCCGGGGCGCCGCAGACGGTCAAGATCGCCCGCTCGTTCAGCGAGTGGTTCGACGCCGCGGGCCACTTTGTCGCCCCGCCCTTCCAGACCATGCTCGCGACGGGTGTGCCGGCCATCGGCAAGCTGGACAAGAAGCGCGTGGCGGCCGCCGCCGGTGCACCCACGTCGGCTGGTGCTTCTGCTGCTGCGGCCTCGCCGGCCGAGACGCAAGGCCAGTACTCGCAAGAGATGCTGGACGCCCTGGCGGCGGCCTCAGCGGACGGTGCGAGCTCGACGGGTAGCACCACCGGCAAGAAAGGCGGCAAGAGAAGAAAGGCGTGAGTGGGAAGGGGGCCCATTTGGCAAGAAAGCTATAAAACCATGAATTTCGAGGCGTCGGTATGGGCAAAATGTACAAATGCAAGCATGTAGCGATTTGTTTACGGTTTGGTCTCCTGTCCAAACCGCCTCTTTATACAATACGGAAAGATCTGTTCTGCACCTAGTAGGTTCAGTGTCTTATACTGTGTATGCCTGGATTTCTCATACAACATGGCCGTGTAGCACACACGGCACCTACGTACGGACCTATCCAGTCTGATCTACCACGAAGTCTGGCGTCTAGCTTCTATCGAAATCATCTCCCTTGAGCCAATTCCAAGCCAGCAAGCCAGCCAATATAGGACAGCACACACACATCAAAATACCCCGACATGCATGCAAATTGATATGTTCATACAAAAATATTCCGTCCACCACGAGCCTAATCAATCTTCTGCCACGCCTCCCGCGCCACCTGCGCCGCCGCCCTGACCTCCCGGACGCGGTCGCCGCACGCCATCGCCAGCATCCGCTGCATCATCGGCGCGTACGCCAGCAGGTGCCGCACCTCGTACCGCGGCGGCAGGCCCGACAGCAGCACCAGCGCCTGCCGCCTGCATGCGGCCGCGGCCAGCGGCGTGCCCGGCGCCGAGGCCTCGGCGAAGATCTTCCTCACGGCGTCGATGACGGCCTTGAGGTGCTCGCGCAGGGCGTCGGCCTTGTTGTCCAGCACGTCGATGAGCACGAGCAGCGCGCCCTCGACGTCGCGCCAGTTGCCCGCCAGCGCCGACAGCGCGGCGATGAGGATCCGGGCCAGGCTGTCGACGTCGTCCTCGTAGACTGCGAAGGGGATGTGCTTGAGCAGGGAGATGATGGAGATGGTGTAGGCGGTGCTTTGGGCGCCGTCCTGCTTGAAGGGGAAGGCGAGGGGGATCATGGGCTTGGCAAAGGAGGCGTACAGCCACTGTTTGTGGAGGGGTTTGATGATGGCGTGGTTGTCGGTGTTCAGGTAATCTTTTGGCGAAACGAGGACCTCGACTGAGCGGGCCATCTCCTCGCTGTAGGCGGCATTCCTTGCTGGCGCCTTGGAAAGAAGAGGAACCACCGCCCTTATCTCCCTGTCCATCCTGGCAACGGCACCTGCTGCGAAAGCCAGGAGCCTGGAATACTGAGCCGGCGTCAGATTTGTAATCTTGTCCTCGGATAGCTGGTCCTTGACAAAATCGATCGCCATCTTCCACTTCAGCTCGTCCTCTTCTTTGGCTCCAGCTCCAACCAGGTACTTATTAGCAACCGTAACGGCGATGCAGTCTCGGACGAAGCGCTGTCGGGGCGATAGATCGTTGGCAGAAGTCCCACTCGCGCCTGCTTGGACATCATCGAAAACATTGACCGGAGCAAGGTCTTGGCACCACTGTAGACGGGTTAATGAGTATTTCACTCTGTCAAGAGGGCTCCAGGCTCAAGGGGCAACATACTATTTTGGTGGCCGCGGCAGGCCATAGACCTTGCATGACTCCCATAGTCAATGCGTCGAGATTGCCGCTTTCCTGTGGCCGAAATAATGTAGATGATGGTGCTTGTAATGAGAAAAGATCTAGCGCGCGGCTCTGCAGCTGCATTCCGAGCTGGTCTTCGAGACTCAGGTCTCTGATAATATAGGTGGCCATGTTTGACAGCTGCAATAGGAAAGTGTCGAGCTGGCCAACGTTCATCCTGTTTGCTTCTGATGCTTTGCGATATAGCAGAGAGAGGGTGTAGAGGCCGGATAGGAGATAATCCCTGAAGATCGAACTCTCGTTCTGAGTGGTATCTCCAGAAAAGCTCGCCCAGCCTTTCTGGAACTCCTCCGCAGTGCGTGGGAGGCTCGCGTGTATCAGTAGACTGATCGAAGCAAAGGAGCTACCATTCGTCTCAAGGCCCTTCTTTATGCAGGCCTCTCTGAAATTAAGAAGCCCTCCATATATGCCAGACAGGACAATGTTGGCACAGTGGTCCAGATCAGCATCGAGGAAGATTTGCAGCAGCTCCCACAGCAAGCCTACAAAGTCCAGCAACTGGCTGATCGGGGGAGCCGCAGTGGGTATCTCCGAGCAGCCAATATATGCCAGTCTAGAGAGCAGCTCCTTCAACCATATCAACTCTGCTTTTGAAGCGCCTGCCCATGCAGATTTCAAGTCATGAGCGCGGACTTCGCTTCCAGCAGCCGTCTGCACTGACGGATCATTCATTGCTACTCTTGCCGCAGCAAGCAGTGATCTAAAACCTTCTGGATATACCAGCGTCTGTTTCTGTAGGCTGCGAACGGCCTGTGGAGCTAGTTCTGATACCATAGCCTCTTCAGGAAGCTTGCTGGGGCTCCGGATAAGTTGGGATGTCGTCGTGCTGTATATCTTGTTGCATGACTCTTCATCCAACAGAGACGCCTTCATCTCTGTCCGGGATGGTCCATGCTGGCCAATCATGGCAGTGAGACCTTTGAGAACCTCTTTCAGGATGGACGTCGACCCCTTCTCCTGGCCCTGGGCCGAATTTTCTTTCCAAAGCCGGTAATAGACGTCGTTAAGCAGGTCTTTAACCAGGGGATCGTAAGCGTGAAATTCCTCCACATCAGGAGACGACTCGGCGCCCTGTCCCTTTACGAGCTCGCTTCGCTCCTGCAGCACGACATTGAGCAGCGCAACAAGATCTCGGCGGTGATTGGGTGATTTTGGTTGACGGATATTGCGCTTGATCGCTTCCAGCACTTGTTGTATCGAGAGGTTGAAGGCCTTGATGCTGGCACCCAAGACATTTGTCAGAAGAATACCCGCCTGTTTGGTGTAGATGGGGTTAGAAAGGTCTTCGATACAGTCGCCCAAAACGAGTTGGACAAATGCTTTGAGTGGTTCGACCCCAATAGCCTCGCCAGAAACTCCATCCAGCTTTTTTGCTATACCCCGGATGACATCGAGAGTTCCCTTGATGGTCTCCTCGATCTCGCCATTGCGCACCTCATACTTGAGCGAGCTCCAGATCTTCTCGGTATAGGGGACAATGGTCCTGACCGGATCCGGGTAGCTGTCAATGCAAGCCTTGATGGTTTTCAATATGTCAACCTTGACCGCAACAGTGATTGCATCGCCGCTATCCAGCCTCTCGAGCAGGAACTTGAAGGCTGAGTCGGAGGCCCTGTGTGATGCTGCAAAACATTTTCGCACTGCTGTCTTGAGATCTTCCACTGTAACTCCGGTCGTCGTTGCGGAGGACCGCATGGAGATGGGAAAGTAGTTGGAGTATGCCTTGAACACTTCCTGTGCCACGTCGACAGATGGCTCATATGTCTCTAGAAACAGCGCCAATATGCCAAACCACGAAAGAAGGTTCTTGGGGTCCTTTTCTTGGTGGCATAGCTCGAGAAGGTCGATCATGAATCTGCTCTCGCCACCGTACTCCCGTTGGAGTTCGCTCCGTACCGCATCATCGGCAAGTAAACGATCCAGCAAGCCATATATTTCGGATCGAGTGGCTGCTGTTTGCTTTGAGAAATCCTCGCCAAGACTGCATAGACTGTTGAATATGGCAATGCTCATAATGGGCTTGAAAGCCTTGGCTGTGCTCAGACACCTCAGGGCTTTGGACGCGGCCAGAATGCCAGCCTTGTGGTCGACATTAAACATGGACCCAAAGAATGAGATTAATGTCTGCACTAGTAAAGGACACATTGTACGTCAGTACAGTGTTGAGAAGACCATGAAGGGCAACAGAATCCTTACCTTGCTCTAGCCGCAGAACATCCCGGTCCAGGGCTTCTAGGGTACCCGAAAGGAACTCCAGCGCTGCCCATCCGGTCAGTAAATCGTATGCACAAGTCTTCTTCTCAAGAACCACACACCTTTGGAGCGTGCGATCACATCGTCGTCGCCTCCTTCATCATCTGCCCCACCTGCGATCCACTGATTGATGGACTGCGCCCAGAGCAAGACGGCTGTCGTCTTCCGAGGCGCATCTTGAATGGCTGGTCACGGTCAGTATATCTGAACTTGGTCTCTGAGGAGCGAGGAAGGTTCCTTGTCTCACCAGTCGCTGCCTTCACTGTGAGGTCCCTCATCTCTGAGTCGCTATCAGAGACGACATACTGTGTGGCCCAGGACTTGAAGTCCGCCATGCTTGCTTATGTACAGAGGGCCTTGTCGCACGAATTATAGGTTGTGGGATGCCCTTGGTGAGCTTGGGTGGTTGCAGAGGGATGTGGACTGAGATCCCAGCATCGGCTCAAGGAACTGTCTCAACAGCCTACTTATCATGGACCCAGTATTTGATTAGTGAATTGCAGCGCCAGAGAAATATTATCGCATGTGAGGGCGGCAGTAAACTCACTTATCAAAAGCGGTGAGCTCCAATAATGACGAAATCGGAAATACAAGTACAAGTACTGCAGAACCCCACATTGTATGTACATTGGTGCAAATAAGTCGATAAGGCTGTTTGGACGTTGCTCACCCACGCTGCTCATCAACGGTGGGGGACTCCAGAGCTTCTTTCAATACGACTTCATTACTGTCCTGAGAATGTTGATCTGGGTATCTTCTATTTGACTCTTGCTTGCCCATCTCAGGTGCAACAAAGGAGTCTATCCACCATCTCTAGGCCCTTGGTTTTTTTGAATGCGCCATGGACATCAAACGGGTAGATGTTGTATGGCTTTGGTATTACACCGAGACTGTGTAAATTCACAGATTCTTCCTTGCCAGGATCTCACCCACAACTTTTGCGGTCGCCTTGACGATGAGTTCATGCTCTGCAGCATGTATCCTCTCCTCCAGATCCTTCAGCTCGTCGCCCTCCCGGCACTCGACCTCCTGCGTCAGGATAGGACTACCACGGTCGACCTCGGCGATGACATAGTGAATCATGAGACCCGCCCTGTTATTCTCCAGCTTGCCATCCTTGAAGTCCTGGTACTGTCGCTCAATGGCGCCTGCGCCATCATACTTTCCTACAAGTCGAACAATGTTAACCACCTTACTCTTGAAAACCCCAAGACGGTGTGAGTCGGCTTACCAGGCAGTGCAGGGTGGAGGTTGATAACTTTGACGCCCGCCTCCTCCAAAGGCCGCAGGAATGGCACACTGAAGATGTGCATCCAGCCAGCAAGGACCACCAGATCCGGCTTCGCCTCGAGTACCCTTTGCGCCAGCGCCGCATCGTACCGCGCACGTCCATCCTTGACCTTTTCTGCGTCCTTCTCGCCTGCCACGACGAAACCCTCCTTGACCATGTTGAAGTACTCGGTGGGTATTCCCACCTTCTCGGCTCGTTGTATCGCAAATGCCGTCTTCTTGTTTACAAAGAGCTTGACGATCTGGGTGTGAAGAATGGAGCCGGAGTGAACAGCATCAATGAGTGCTTGGAAGTTGGAGCCATTGCCACTGGCCATCACCACGATACGGCATGGGGACGCCATCGTGACTATAGGAGAGTATTCCCAGGTGAATGAAGAAAATGCAAGTCTCGATGCCTCCGGGTGTTGTCGCAAAAGTTAGAAGAATGTCTGTCACTTTGATGTAATCAGGGCTGAATTTTTCTTATCGTCTACAGCAATTTTTAGGAGGGGTAAACAGAATCCCCACCAGTTATTTTCAGGGACCACCCGTCACTCCAAGCTTCTGGAAGGACTCAGGTACAGCTTGCATGGGTCTTCTTGTACACCCAGATTTAGCCTGGTGACAGGGGTGGGTGCGCCAACAGATAAGCCTAATCGGGGCCGCGCGGGGCATTTTTTGCATGCTGGTTCCTCAAATTTTTGACGGGTATCAGCATGTCTTGAGGTAAATTCTCAAGACGTGTTCCTCAAGATCCCTCCCTGTGGTAGCTTGCTGCAACTCTTGTCGCCTGTTTGTGAGCCACGCAATGGCTACCACTGAAGTCCCCAAGACCTGCAAGGTCGTCCTTGCAGAGAACATCGCCAAGAACCTGCTCGCGGAGGTCAAGGACACTCTGCAGAAGATCCAGACTGCTGGCGACGTCAAGCCGTGTCTGGCCGCCTTCCTGGCTAACGACGACCCTGCTGCTGTCAAGTATGCAGAGTGGTCCAAGAAGACCTGCGAGGAGAAGTTAGTCTCCTTGTTTGCCTTGCAAGATGAATTGAGTGCTTCCATGGCCGCTGTGACTAACACCTAGCAGTGGCTTCGACTTCGATCTGCGCAAGGTGGAGAAGGATATGCTCGAGGAGGCCATCATGGCGGCCAACGAGGACGACACGGTAGATGGAATCATTGTCTACTACCCGATTTTCCCCGGCAATCCTACCCACGACAAGTACATCCAGGAGACAGTCTCCCTGTCCAAGGACGTCGAGGGTCTCTGCCACAAGCACCTTTACAACATGTACCACAACGTCCGTTTCCTCGACCCTCCTGCGAATCTCAAGAAGTCGATCCTCCCCTGCACTCCCCTAGCCGTCGTCAAGATCCTCGAGTATCTCCAGATCTACAACTCCATCATCCCTTCCGGCAACCGCCTGTTCGGCAAGACGATCACGGTGATCAACCGGTCCGAGGTCAACGGGCGGCCGCTTGCTGCTCTCCTCGCCAACGACGGCGCTACGGTCTACTCTGTCGACCTGACTGGCGTGCAGCTCTTCACCCGTGGTCAGGGCATCAAGCAACCCAGGCATAAGGTGTTGGACAAGGAGGGCTGGACGCTGGATCACTGCCTTCCTCTGAGCGATGTCGTCATCGGTGGTGTTCCTGCAGAAGGCTTCAAGGTTCCCATCGAGCTGATTCGTGATGGTGCTGTCTGCATCAACTTCTCCTCCTTCAGAAACTTTGACGGCCCGGCTGTCAAGGAGAAGGCCTCCATATATGTGCCTTCGGTGGGCAAGGTCACCATTGCCGTCCTTCTGCGTAACCTGGTAGTAAGTTTACCTTTCTTCATTTGTTAGATGCTCCAAACGGTGTGCTGACGGTACAAAGCGGCTCATCGCCAACCGACCACCACGGGCCGACGCTTCCAAGGATGATTCCCAGGCCAAGGCTAAGAGTGAGGCATTCCTTGAAGGTTGATCGTGCATACGTGGAAGGAAATGCATTGGCTTGGCTATGAATGTGGAAACATACTTGGATGACGCCAAGAGTTTAAAGTTTTGAAATGCATGGAAGGTTTTGTGAACATAGACATTTGAAATACCCCGTTGGTGCTCATAGATTTGAAAAGTTCGGTCGGCAATATGATGATTCGAGGCGTTTATAGTCGGCGGTATCTAGTGGTAAAAAATATCCGATGCGACTGTTCTTGGAGTCATCTCAAGATATTGTGCATCGACTAATTGTTACTGTTGGCAGGTGAGAGTTCATATACTATTCTAATTCGTTGAGGATTACTATGTACATATGGATTAAAAGAGCAGGACAGTCAAGTAATTTGCAGTATATGTGCTAGAAGTTTTCATATCGAGTTGTAAAAGCTTTGGAGCCTCATGGTTAAACCCAGTCTCATAGACCCGACTGAAGAGTTTGATGACACTCCAAGACTTGAAGCTATTTTGGGTCTTATAAGTTTCCGCACCAGAGCGCCGAGGACTCTGCAATTCGAATTCGCGACAGCTTTATGACGACGAATAGACATAGATGAGAAATCTCGTAGAAATCCAGTAGGACCGAGTATAGAAGGGCAGGCAATCCGTGGAGGGTAGTTCAAGGTCTACAAGCTGCAATACATGTATGGAAATGTGTCAGGTCTGTCCATATTGTCCCGAAATCCGTCTTCGTTGCCAACTTGAACTTTATTGCATCCGCACGTCCATAATATCTGCTATTTCCTATTCTCTCTAATCCGTTCATTGTCATTTTGCCGTATGAATAGTGTAAGTAATGTAGTGTGGATCATAGACAAGCAGTTGCCCAAGCCGAATATTCCAAGACCATTTTTGCTCAGTTGAGATAAGCAACGCCATGATCACCGAACTGGGGTTCATAACGGTGGAATAGGCCTTTGGAAGATACCAAGTGCTCAATTGGTGATGCGCTAACCACTTGAGACCGTTGAATTAAAAGAGAATCCCCTAAGCGTTCTTCAGTACCGGATACCTTATGTCGTCCAGCCATCCGGTCCAAGAATGGGTATGTAGAGCATTCGACTCTTCATCACAACTCAACCCGAGTTTGCATTACTGTCAACATGCAAATGATAAGATCACCGTAGTGTTGGGTTACCTATGATCGACGCTTGTCTGTGTGCTGACCAAGTTCACTAGCACTCACTGCACCCTCAACTGTTTGGACCTAACATCTGGATTCCCGCTTCTGTATGCAATCGTATCTTGCATCTGATCTCGATTTGCTCTGGACTGACAGGGTGCTAGAGGAACCAGGATCTACCATTTCGATCTTTGACCTCATCGTGACTATAATTCACCACTGGAGTCTCAGCAGTTTCACTTGTACAAATTGTCACACTCCCATGTCAAATTCACATTGATAAAACGCGCGTAGTTTGTTGTAAGGGATATCGGATTTGGTCCTACTGGTAGATCTCGGCGGTTGAATAATCTTTGGCTTGCTTCAAGTCGGCGTGCATAGCGAGGCAGCTAGGATGGTCTAATCATATCGCAGAGAACAGAGCAGAGAGAATCCGCTATGCGGTTTTGATTGTTGAAAGCCACTTTTATGGCTTCATTCTTGCCTCGGAACATCTCTCAGGGTGAAAATTGGATTCAAAGAGCTCAAATTGCTAGCACTCCTCCAGATTAGCCAAGACTTGGCCTCCGGTTCAGTCGAGTCCAATGTGAGAGTCTAGAGGAGAGTCTGGAGGAGAGTCTGGAGGTGACGCTACTGGTCTGGTAGCGTTGCAGGTACGTACCTTTCCACGGGACCCACCCATGTTTAGCGCCTTCCCTTATGTAAGCCGTTTTTTTCTTCGTCCTTTGATTAGTCCCACGTGATGAGGGGCTTGAGGGCAGCCAAACCCTACAATTTTTCAATTCGCTAGTCACGTTGCGACTTGAGAGGCCCGCCCCATCCAACCTTTGGAAATTTCAATCCACCACGGCCATCAAGATTCGCTCTTCGATACACGACCTATCGAACAGCGAATTTCCCTGACAACCGACGACATCAACATGGCGGACACCGAATACGTACGTGCTTGGACCTATACATGTGCTCTCTCTTGCTTCACTGCTGCCGGAACTGGCAGGTGCGGTGATGCACACATAGAACGAAGAGGCTGACGATGCAATTTCTACAGAACGCCGAGGAGGCCGCTGAGCTTAAGAAGAAGAGACAGTTCCGCAAGTTTTCCTACCGCGGAATTGACCTCGACCAGTATGTGCACACCATCTCGATATTCATCTCCCCCTGGTCCGGCATCTTTCCAAACGACGACCTGTCTCGAATATGAAGGGAAAAGGGCGGGATCATCTGGATCTGGGATTTGGACTTTTGGAATGAGGTGGACGGCAGGCTAATCATGACCTTTTTTTCTACGAACAGACTCCTCGACCTTAGCCCCGAGCAACTCAGAGATGTCGTCCACGCCCGCGCCCGGCGCCGGATCAACCGTGGTCTGAAGCGCAAGCCCATGGGCCTGATCAAGAAGCTCCGCAAGGCCAAGCAGGAGGCCAAGCCCAACGAGAAGCCCGACCTCGTCAAGACTCACCTCCGTGACATGATTGTCGTCCCCGAGATGATCGGCAGCGTCATCGGTATCTACTCCGGCAAGGAGTTCAACCAGGTCGAGATCAAGCCCGAGATGGTTGGCCACTACCTGGCAGAGTTCTCTATCTCTTAGTACGTGGACGCCCAACAAAACACACGGCTCGTTCGTGTCGAGCCAACAATTTACTAACCTCTTCTACAGCAAGCCTGTCAAGCACGGTCGTCCCGGTATCGGTGCCACCCACTCTTCTCGTTTCATTCCTCTGAAGTAAGGGTTGCGGACATCGTGTGGGGGGTGGGATTCTTGCATTGAATTTATCACGGACATGGCGAAAGGGCATGGTTTTGCTTGGTAGAACGGCAAAACCTCGACTATCTAGCACGATAGGGAATGAAATTCGCATTTTGTGCAGTCATGTCTCATGCCTCCTTCATGTTGGGCGTTCTTTCATGCGGTCACGGCGTGCGCACACTCAGCTTGAGAATTACCTGGGGAGTGCTGTGCTCGGGGGCTCGTCAAGGCCGAGTTAGATGATATCGGGAAAGCAAAAAATTGATAACGTCAAGAAACTACATGATCATCGATAATGCTGGTATCGGCTGCTGCTGACGGTGAACCCATTCTATGCCGTATATACTCCCTTCATGGCCGTTAGCTCTGGTGATGGTTGAACCTGGTCACCTATTTGACCTAAGTGCCTGAAGACTGGCATGATATTCCATGATGCACCTCTCGAGCAGGCACTTCAAGTCATCATTTCCCCAAGTATGGCTCCAATTCGTATGGTGTCTGATGAACTATTATGAATTGTTCTATCCTAACACAACTCCAAATTATACGCCATGTCAATGTCCGTAGCAAAAAGAAGTTGCCTGTCGACAAGGGGGAAAATAAAATATCAAGATGCTGCAAAGGGGGTATCGCTGCGGGATGTCTCCCTGCTGTCATAAGTCTCATAAAAACACGCTCCGTATGTCCCGCTCAGGTACACCGTATATCAGAAACCACAAAGCTGTGCTTTCCCCTTTAATCCCCTCTCATCGAAAGAAAGCCCCCTCAAATAAGTCCAGAACCGGGCCCTTGTCATCATCCCATTCCGTCTTTCCCCTTGGCCAAGCCACAATGAAAAACGACAAAAAAAGGAAAACCTCGGGATAGAAAAAGAGTGCCCCGCGGCGTCATATCAGGGAGCACTTGTCCACCCTGGTCTTGGCCCTGGCCCTGCTCACGGCCCGCCGCAGCCGGCCCGGCGCGGCCTCGCAGCAGTCGCACTTGAACTCGCCGGCGCGCACGCGCCCGTCCTTCTGGTAGTTGATGCGCAGCTCCTCGCCGGCGGCGATGTCGCGGTGGGCCAGCACGCGCACGCGCCCGGGCTCCGCCACGACGCGGCAGTTGAACTGCGCGCAGTGGTGGTTGATGAGGCACGTCACGGCGTAGAGCGCCGCGCGGTGGTGGGCGCCGTGCGGCGCGTCCGAGACCTCGGCGGGCGAGAGGCGGAAGGCGTACTGGCCGAACCAGTCCGTCGTCAGCATGTCGGTGTGGAAGGTGCGGCGCACAAAGGGCATGTAGTGGCGCTCGCGCTGGACGCGGGCCGCGCCGGCGTCGAAGCGCGCCTGCCACTCGCCCGGGTCGATCAGGCAGACGACGCGCCCCTTTCCCCGGACGAGGGAGGGGAGACGGATGAGGTCTAGGGACAGGTCGTTGCTGGAAGTGGGGAGCCAGATGTTGGCCAGGTACGGGAAGGCGGCGAACAGGGTGCGCAGCCTGGGTTGGTCATGTCTGAAGAGCCGCTTGATTTCCTCGGCCACGTCGCGTCTGCCGATGACATGCGTGTCGTGGGTGGCCTCGAGAGCTACATCTTCCTCGTAGATGGCGTCTCCCTTCCGGAAGCTCGTGAGGGCAAAGACGCCAAACCCAATATCCTGGTTGATCAGCTTGATGCTGACGACAGGCCCTGGAGAGGACGGCAGGGGCAGATCCGGGATGGACGGAGACCGCGGCGACCGCGGCGGCGGAGACGACCGAGGCGACACAGCCGACTCGTCAGAGATGGTGGTACTGATGTCAGCGGGAGAAGGCTGCCTGGCTGGGGGTTCCTGCCGCTGACCCGGAAAGAGCCTGGCTTGGAGTTCCCGTTCCCGTTCGCGTCGTTCTCGTGCCTCAATAGTAAGGAGGCCCCGCGAAAGCGTTGTTGGTGGAGAAGGTACCATGAGGCGGTCTATGGTATCCGGGTCGAGTTGCCGGAATTCGCAGTTGGGCATCTGTGGGAGGCGGGAGTTGTCGCCGTCATCCGGCACTTCGATCATGGTAAGCCTGGATCTGGTGGTCGTAGTGTTTGGCCTGGGGCCTTCGATGCTCGCGTCCACAGATGAAACCAAGGTGTCGGATGCATCGCTGCCGTCCTCCCATTGATGACTTGGTCCCGGGCGAGGGGGTCCTGGGCGGCCCGATGACGGATTGCCAGTCACCCGGTTGCGGTCCATGCCGATGTTGACGATGACGGCAATGTCACCGTCGTCGTCCCGCGTCGCTGATTCGCCTGTGCTCAGCGGAACAGGCAGATTGCTGCCTGATTGCGTGTAGCTGAAAGAACCGACGCCCAACGTTTCATCAAGCGCCGCCTTGGGGGTTGGCAAACCGGTAAAAAGAAAGAAAGTATTAAAAGTGTTTGATCACACGAGCAGTTGGGAAGCGTAACGAATGAGAATGCAGATTAAGAGGTACGGGGGAACGTATGCGATGTGTGTCAGATGAAAAATCGTCCCATCTCGAGAAATGCACAATGCTGAAAGCGGGCGGCAGACGCATGATAAGTACAAATGAGCGGGAAAGGCAGACACCAAGCAGGTACGGATTTGCCAGCAGGTGCAATGGCGCAAGAAAAAGAGAAAGAAAAAAAAGGGAAAAATTAAAGTTGCGGCTTGAGCATGAGCAGTGCATGATGGTCGGATCATGCTTTCGCACGTTCAACGAGGGTCAGGTAGCTGTCAGTGGGCAGGTTTGGTTGATCGTTCCTTCAGTTCTATATGCAGCCTCAGTAAATGATATGTTACACAAGGTCCTCTTACTCCTTGGATGCCGCCTCCGCCTTCTTCTGTGCCAGCTGCGCTTTCCTGTCCTCCTCGTCGAGATGTTGTTGCCGGTAGTGGGCGACAACCTTGTCCATGTTTGCGTAGTGTCCGGCGGGGACGTTGAAGGGTGAACCGGCTTGGATGGCCCTGTGATATACTGTCAGTTGCCTGCCATACGAAAAGGAAAACTCCAGAATGCTCAGGATCGATGCGAGGGAGAGCGATGCTGGCGATGGTGCGAAAGAAGGGGGCCGACGTACTCGGGGTACTTCATCTCAATGTGCGGGTTGCGTCCAGCGTAGAGGAGCAGGTGCTTGTCGTGAGCAGCCTGCTCCATGGCGACCGTACGGACGTGGTTCCTCGTCTCCCAGTCCTTGCCAAAGTTTGACAGGCTGTTGATGGCGTTGGTGAGGCTCGAGGGCTCGCCGTCCTTGCCGGGCTGGGCCATCGAGTAGGCGATCATCGAGACGGGGATGGCGCCGACGGCGATGTAGAAGGCAGCCTACACAAGTCCATTGTCAGCATACCACCTCTGAAACCGGGACCGGCGAGAGCCTCCGCTTGGCGCAAAGCACATACTCCGATGCCCTCCTCGACGGCGGGGGCGTGGTGTCCGTGGTCGCCGTGGCCGTGGCTGTCGGAGGCGTAGGATCGCGAGGTCCGCAGGCCGGTGGGCCGTGACCGCCGGGCGGCGGTGAGGGCTCGCTGTCGAAGCGGCAGCATGGTGACGGCGTGTCTGGTGCTGTCAATTGGGTGGTAGGGAACGTGATCGAGGACTTCCTCTGGATGGGTGGTGCAAAGCTCCAATGAATTGGAGGTGATGTTACTCGCAGGCTCGGTTCGGCAACACAATTTAGCCGGGCCTTGGCGGGTCTAGCGGCCTTTCAGCGCCTGGGGTGCGCCAACGAGCCAATACCGTCTTGCCAAATACAGCAGTGCTTGTTTTTAGGTGAGCTACGATTTGAGAGTACATCAATCCTTATCGGCGCAGGCGGCTCAATATATGGAATATTTGGTAGCGCCTAGAGTCACATTACAATCACTTCTTTGATTTCTTCACACCTAGAATAGGTAGTTGAGGACAACCAACTCAGATCAGACACATCACCCATGATCATCAAACTACCAAACGACAGACAGTGAGTCATCTAGTAAACCCCAGTGTGGCAAATATCTAGATCGAGGTTGTTCGAAGTGTAAAAGGATTCTGCAGGCTTCCACCTTCGCTGCTTTAGATGTTGCTGATGTGTCCCTAAGACTGGTGGGGATATATATGAACGGCTTTTGGCGTCTTCGAGGCACAAACAAAAACTGTCTTGGACACTGGAGGAATACCTAAGTGGCTGGCGCATGGGCTCTCCTTGATTACAACTTCATACTTGATTCCCGCCATAGGAGTAAAGAGCCCTTCTACTAGTGCACGATGAAATCAAGGCGGGATTCAACCTTGTCGGCGTGGTCATTCGTACTAGTCGCCTTCGTCATTCTGGGAACCATATCAGCGGCCCTCGCGGCCGCATCAAATCCGCAGGCCTCCTCATCGCCATCACCAGATGTCGAGCTGATATGCCACACCGACAACCCGGCGGAATGTTACCCAAAGGTCTTCCAGGCCACGGATCAGTTTCAAAAGGTCCACGACGACCAGGACCTCCCCTCGGGCTTACACGTCCGACTCAACGTCTGGACGGGCGAGAAAGAAGCAAAGATCAATGTACCGGACGAGATAGATCCCAGCCTAGAAGGGCTCCCCACCGACCAGTCCGTGGTCCTCGTGGACCCCGAGCCGGCGGCCGAGGAGCAAGCCGCGCCGCCCAAATATCCGCCCGGCGCCCCGGCGTACGACCCCGTCGGCAAGGTCAAGCCGCCGACGGACGAGTCTGCCGTCTTCCACAGCGCCCTCAAAGTCATCAGGAAGGGCGCCTTCCGGCCGCACTATCTCGGGTTGGCCGACGAGAACGGCACGACTTTTGACGATGCGCTCGAGGGCATCCAGGAGCTCTCGCACGACCTCTACTACGGCCTCAAGCTGGCCGAGGACGCCGAGGCGTTCGCGGCGCTTCTCTGCGCCATGAGCTACGACAGCCCGAGCATGCACGAGACTCGAGACGACACTGTCGACGCTTCTGTCGGGGCGGAACGAGCGGCGAGTCGGTCGCACAAGGCGGCGACGGTAGTCGCGGCCGCCCTGCAAAACAACCCGAATGCGCTGAAGGCGGTGGAAAAGGCCTGGGACTCCACCAAGCTTGCCATGTGCAGGAAGGGCGAGGGGCAGAATCTGAAGGCCGTGCTTTTCAGCAGTCTGGTGGACGACGAGTCGAGCACGCCAGACGTCGGGCTGCTCAAAGCCAAGCTCGCCGCCATCACCGGTCTGCTCAAGAGCGATATGTTCAAGGACGAGTTCCTGGCCTCATCTGGCATGGACCAGATCCTCCGCGTCCTCGTGATCAAGGATACAGAGACGTCCAAGTATGACGTTGTGCGGCGGAGAGCTGCCAACCTGGTCATGGACAACTTTCTGGACGAGAGCATGGGCGCGACGCTTGGCAAGTGGCCCAACCAGCCGGAACAAGCCGTGGCCAGAGGTGAAAAGGGCAGTGTGCCGGTGAGAGATGCCTATTTTGATCACCATATCAGGTCGTTGGCGCATGCCAATAGGAAAGACGACGGTCACTGGAGTGTCGAGCTGTGGACGATGATCCAGACGCAGCGGGAAGCTGGCGCCAGGAATCCCAAGGCGAGGATCCACGAGGAGCTGTAGATCTGTCGATGAATACCCATTAGCGATTTGCATTATATCAAGAAGAATAGATCAGCATTGTAATGAACTTTTTTTTTTGGAAGATATCGCTCGGGTGTGTTGACTTACACAATAATTCTTAGTGGGGGTTGACAGTTTCAAACATCCACTTTTCATTTTCATCAACACCAAGTCTCAAACGGCGTCTCAGTCTCACTCGTTCAAATCAGCCTTCAGTGCCTCACGCAGTCAGAAACATACGGACTAGGATATCCTTTGACCTCGCACAGAGGACAGGACCTCCTGTTACATCCCTAGTCATAACCTCCCACCCCGGAGCTCAGCAGCCGTATATCACAGTTCACCCACCCTCCTCCGCCATGGCCTCACCTTCTCCCCCAGACCATAAATATCCAGGGATCCGCATCGAGGGCAAGCGCAGCACATCCCCTTCTTCGCCGGGCCGCCGCATGACCGCAGCCCGCACCTTCCCGCCGGGAGCCCTCATCGCCACCTTCACCGACCCGCTCGTCGCCATCCCCGCCGGCCCCGCCGCCAAACACACCTGCGCGCGGTGCCTCTCCACAGCCGCCGCCGCCGCCGGCACGACGCTCAAGGCCTGCACGGGCTGCCGCGCCGTCGCCTACTGCGGCACGGCCTGCCAGAGGGCGGACTGGTCCGGCGGCGGCGGCGGCGGCGCGGCGCACAAGGCCGAGTGCCGGGCGTTCAAGCGCGTGCGCAGCAAGGTGCAGCAGGACTGGCTGCCGACGCCCGTGCGCGCGCTGGTGCAGCAGCTGCTGCGGCTCGATGCCGATGCCGATGCCGATGCGGGAGGCGGCGGAGACGCGGCGAGGGAGGAGCTGGGCCGGCTGGAGGGCAACGTCGCCGGGTTCCGGGCGGGCCGGGTGTGGAAGGACCTGGAGATGCAGGCGCTGGCCGGGTGCACGTACGCCGGGTGGGAGACGAGCGAGGAGAACCTGCGGCTGGCGGCCGAGTTGCTGTGCAAGGTATGGGAGATGTCTCTGTCACATGGGAGTTTGAAAGAGAGAGAGGGGGGGAGAGAGAAGCCACTGGACAGGGTGCTGACTCCTTTTAACAGATTCAGACCAACTCGTTTGACAGATCCGACCCGGATGTAGGTCAGACCGGGACGTTTTTGGACTCTACTCTGGCCATGGTTAATCACTCTTGTGTTCCCAATGCCATTGTGGCCTTTTCCGGAAGGAAAGCTTTCCTCAGGGCCGAGGAGGAGATCAAGGAGGGAGACGAGATCACCATCTCATACATCGGTACAGGCCTTAAACTTGTAGTATATTTGTGTGTGAAGCAGTACGTTCTAACTTCCGTTTCTAGACTACACCAAGCCCAAGATCTTCAGACAGCACGGGCTCGAACTCTACCATTTCGAGTGCACCTGCCCGCGGTGCAAGGACGACCTGGACGTCTACCAGGTCTTCCAGCGCTCGCCCCTGATCCCGCTCAACTCGTTCAGCTTCGTCCCCAACACCAAGAAGCTGCGCAAGACGCCCATCGACTCCAAGGTCGCCCAGGACCCGGCGTTCCGGGCGCAGATCGAGAAGATCTACGTGGCCTGCTCCCCGGAGGCCCGCGTCGCCCCCGAGCAGCGGTTCGCCAACCTGTGCCAGCAGTGGCAGCACTGCGAGCCCCTCGTCAGGGAGCAGATGTGGGCCGTCGAGCCGCTGGCCAACGTCTTCCAGCAGGCCATCAGCTACTTCACCGAGCAGGGGAACTTCCTCCACGCCCTGGCCGTGGAGTGCTTCGTCGCCATCCGCAGCGACCCGTACAAATACGCCGCCCCCTTCAAGCAGTGGCGGCTCAAGGGCCTGCTAATGATTGCAAAGACAATTACCAACACCGAGCTGCCGACGGGCCAGGCGCAGGGCCAGGCGCAAGTGCACCCGGGTGTGGTCGCCGCCTTTGAGAAGGCGGACTTGAGCTCGCTTTACCAGGCCATCCTGCTCATGACGCTCAAGTACGGAGAGCAGGCGCATTCCGATGAGTGGAGCATTCTGGCCGAGGCAAAGGCCATGTTGGAAGACATCGAGAGCCTGGACCAGCGCAAGGAGGCGAGCATCATCCTCCACGAATGGGCCGACAACCCAGAGCACCCCCTGGCGCAGTCCTTCTTCCGGGACAGGGCCGTCAAGCCGGTCGAGGAGCTGGCTGGCTTCGCGATCGAAATCATGAAGGCCGAGTTCGGCTCTGGTAAGGCCTTGGTGCGTAGATGAATAGATAGATAGATCGCGGTAATGAAATCGCGATAATCAGGAATCATACCGACCACATAGTCCTCATCCATTGCTCCTGCGCGAGCTGCGCTTGAGTGTCCTCTTGTCGATGGAGCCCGACTTTGTCAGTTTCGGCAGACCAGACCTGCGTCTTGCGACTTCGGGAGATGTGGGCGGCCATTGCAAGGAGGCATCGTGATTACGGGTAGGGGTTTCAGCATAGTCGGATGAAAAGGCCAACCGCTTGGACGGGGTGTCGTCGTTGGACACAGCCTCGACATCGGGCGACAGCCGCTTGCGCCTTCCACTGCCTCCCAAGACGTCATCGTCAGGGACGTCGTAGGGATCTTTGGGCTGCTGCGCCCGCGTCGACTTCCTACCGTGCGGGACGGCGTTGTCGGGCGCCTTGCGACTGTCCGCTGTAGCCTCCATCCGCTCCACCCGTCCCTTCAGCATTTCGAATTCCATCTGGAGGCTCTCCACCAGGCTGGCGCGGTTGCCAATCTTGGCAATGTTGCTCGTCAGGATGTCCAGCTCTCGGGAGGGAAATACGGCCGGGGCCGTCTCGGGCGCCGTTGTCCGATCCTGGTCTATCTGGCGCCGAAGACGAGCAACATCAGCTCGCAGGGTCGACAGTTCTTTGGCGTGAGATTTGGCGGTGGCAGAGCTCTCGGCCGCGGCGGATCTCAGTTTCTCGATCTCAGCCTGCTGGCGTTTGAAGTCTGACTTGATTCCTGATAGGTCCTCCAGAATCTGAGAGAATTTCGAGGTCAAGTCTTGTTTGATTCCGTAGACAGACTCAATGGTGCCCTGGAGGCGAGACTCGATACTCTCAAGAGAGCTCCTGTCCTGCGCCGTTGCCTTCACCCCTTTGAGCTCGGACTTGAGAGAGCTCAAATCGTCTTGATTACCGCCGAGATCTCGTCTGAGATCTCGGGCCGTGTCCTTGAGATCTTTGACTTCCTGTTCCATTCTCTGGACGGCCTTGTCAATGGCAGAAAAGATCTGGAAGCCAGTGTTCTCTATTCGGTCAATGTCATCGCGTGCGCCGTCCACATCAGCCTGGATCTGTAGTATGTCCGGGTCCGAGGATTCTGAACCCCTTGGGCTCTGTCGTGAGAAGGAGGGCCCGGGTTGCTGTGTCCCACGGCCGCGAGGGGCGTCATTTGGGGCAGGGGAGGGTTTCCCTGGAACATCCTTGAGGCTGAGGTGCCGCTTGATCACTAACTCGACAGTGGCCCTATTGTTCCTGTTCACTGTATTGATGGAGGAGATCCGTAAGAGGATCTGGTTCCTGCATCCCGAGTCAGCATGGAGGGCTTGATACTCTTAGTTCTCTGCTTACTTGTCAAGAACATGGTTGACAGGTGTGTTGAGGCACTTGAGACCGACAATCTCGTCGCAGCCTGCGCACACAATGTCCTGAAGGTCGCTGCATTGGAAAGGGGTCAGTCGGTGCTTCCGGTGCTTAAAGAAGAAAAAGCAAATCATGCAAATCTACTTACCATGCTTCGACCAGTGTGTTCTTCTCTCCAACTCTTACATTGCCTTGCAACTTCACATTAAGCTCGGCACGCGGCTCTACCAGCGGAGCGAAGTAGCTCTTGCCAATTTGAGTCCACAGATTGATGAAATCACCGAGTCTGCCTCCACAGCTTTTGCACCTGCAATAGACGAGGTCCATGTTGAGTGCTCCTATGAGACAAGGGGGATCGCTGCAAGCTTGACTAGGGTTGTTTGTGTGAGTGCGTGCTCCGAGCTGGGGTGAGTGTCTGAGATTCCCATTATTCCAGGCGAAGAAGTGTCAATTGATGATTGGATATTGGCCGTCTCACTTTGGCCTCATAAAGCGCGTACTACGGCTCAAAGGCCAGCTGCTTTATGCTCACAATGGGGAAGATAAGAGGTGAGTGAGATGCCTCTGCCAGACTCTTGAACAGTCGGCACCTCCAGGGTTATCTCTTTCAATGCTCAGACGCGCCCCGGCCTCTGACAGCTTGAGCGGCCCCACTATAAATTAATTGGATTGACGAACCTGTCGCCTACCACCACTCTCTGTAGAGCAGCGTTTTAGCGTCGATTCTTAGCGTGTGCTGTCACTATGAATTCTCTGTTTGGCAGTCACTTGCTTATTGGCAGCTTCTTTTATGCAACAACTGGAGCCTCTTTCAATTTCATCACTCATCACTCCTCTTGCGCTTCAAAAAAGAACTCACACCCCGCTCAGCAGGGCTGCTAAGACCTGGGACCAGGGCAGTAATCCTCAAATTCAACAGCAGCAAGTCTTGGAGGACCACAGCCGAACAGAACTTTCATGGACGCCCAGGCAGAAGGAGCCGCCGGTGAGGCTCAAGGCGATGAGAGCCGCAGTGGCTCAACCTCAAAGACAACTTCCACCTCGTCGGCCGAGTCAGCCTCGCAGGTGCTCAGCGATTCCAACAGCGTCGCCGGTGTCAAGCGCCCTAGTGGGCACGACGGAGCTGGTGATGCCGAGGACGATGACGACGGCTGGCAGACCATCAGGAACGGCAGGCCCACCAAGAAGTTGAAAAAGGTGCCCAAGAAGGACTCGAACAACTATCCCACCATTCAGTTCTCTTCGTCGTGTCGCCTTCAGAACAAGATCCAAGTCTCGGACCTTCGCCACCTCGTCTTGTATCTCTTTGCCGACGGTGCGGCGCCTCACTGGGTCGCCGTCTCTCACCGTCCCAACTTCAGAAAGATTGTCGTCGTTCTCGTCCCTGGCCTCGAGGAGGCCATGTTCAAGAAACATGTTGATTTTTCCAAATACAGCGAGGCAGCCGGTACTTGCAAGTTTGGTCAAGCGACCAACCAAGTCCTTTCCTCACCGGACGACTACTATCCGCGGAAGCTGAAAAAGGACGAGCTCGCCGAGCCCCTCCAGCCCTTCGCCGACATGTTTGAGTACATGTGGCCAGTCAGGGCCACGGGCAACGAGAGGGTTGGCAACATGCATTCACCAATCACTACGTTTCTTACCGCCCCCAATACGAAATCCAAGGAGGAAAAGGACAAGAACAAGAAAGGCCCGCGCTATGTCGACTCGAATCAGTTCAAGGACGTGCGTACTCGAATCACCGAGTTTGTGACCACCCCCCAGATCTATCTGCAGAACAATTTCCTTCTGCACCCCGCCATGCTTCCCGACGAAGAGGCTAGAAAGGCCTTCAAGGACCAAGAGGGATGGGTCCACACCAACGTCGAGAAGCTCGAGGATGGCACGATCCCCGAGAGCGAAGTGGAGCAAGGCAGCATCACAGCCGGACACGATGTCTACGCCATCGACTGCGAGATGTGCAAGACTGGCGAGAGCGAGTTCTCCCTGACGAGGATCAGCATCGTCAAGTGGGACGGCGAGGTAATCATGGACGAGCTCGTCAAGCCCGACAAGCCCATCATCGACTACCTGACCCCCTATTCGGGCATCACCAAGGAGATGCTGGACCCCGTCACGACCACGCTGCACGACATTCAACAGCGGCTGCTCAAGCTCTTCGACGCCCGCAGCATCCTTGTCGGGCACTCGCTCGACTCGGACCTGAGCGCCATGAAGCTCACCCACCCCTTCATCGTCGACTCGTCCATCATCTTCCCCCACCCGGCCGGCCCCGAGAAGAAGCACGGGCTCAAGTGGCTGGCGCAAAAGTTCCTCAACCGCGAGGTGCAAAAGGGCCACGGCACGGCGCGGGGCCACGACAGCGTCGAGGACGCCCGGACGTGCCTCGACCTCGTCAAGAAGAAGTGCGAGAAGGGCAAGCTCTGGGCCACGGGCGAGAGCGACGGCGAGAACCTCTTCAAGCGCCTCGGCCGCGCGGGCACCTCGTACCGCAGCCAGGCCGGCCCCACGGCCACGGGCGGGCTCGCCACGGGCAAGACCACGGCCGCCGTCGACTGGGGCAACCCGCGCGGCACCATGTGCGGCGAGGCCGCGCACGTCATCGCCTGCCGCAGCGACGCCGACGTCGAGGCCGGCGTCGTGCGCGCCGTGCGGGGCGACCCGGACGGCGCCGAGATACGCGGCGGCGGCGTCGACTTTGTCTGGGCGCGCCTGCGCGAGCTCGAGGCGCAGCAGGGGTGGTGGAACCGCAACCGCACGACGGCCGACGACCCCAACGGCCCGCCCGCGCCGCTGGCGCCGAGCGGCGGGGAGGACGGCGGCGGCCGCCGGCCCGGGCTCGAGGTCTGCGTCGGGGCGACGGCCGCGCGGCTCCGGCGCATCTACGACGCGCTGCCGCCCTGCACGGCGTTTGTCGTGTTCAGCGGCAGCGGGGACCCGCGCGAGATGAGCGGCCTGCAGGCGCGGCGGGCGCAGCACAAGAGGGAGTACCACACCCCGGGCGTCAAGTGGAGCGAGATCTCGGTCAAGTGGGACGACGAGGAGGAGCAGGCGCTCAAGAGGGCCGTCAGGAAGGCGAGGGAGGGCATTGGTTTCATCGCGGTCAAGTAAGGACGAGGGATGGATGATGATGATGCGTTTGTTTCAGTCTTTTTTGGGGGGGTGGGTTGTGTTTTGGTGAGTGTATTGTAGGCCGGGGCGGATCTGTGTGGTCGTAGTGAAGGGATGGGGTAGGTCAGATATCAATGACATGATGCAGCCGGGGCTTTTGACTTCGCTAGGGCATGATTTACGTATCTTGTCTGGGATGAGGTCGATACTGTGGATACCACCTTGTCCTGTGTTGAACGGAACGCTGATTGCCATAACTTGACGCATGTTAAAAAGCCTGATATTCAAAAACCGGCCCCCTTTGCTCTTATCTATCCTCTTGGTACTGAAGGACTCCGATGATAGACCTGGGCTTGGCCGAAGCTCCAATTCTAGATGCCGATCTCTAGTCTGGGGACATGATTGTCCGAGTCCTTTCTTCCACTCCTTCTGTTATTGAATATCCTTCGTAAGGACCCAATCAATCTCCTCTCTTCGGTTCTGGATAGGGCAAAGCAGGGGCAAACACCAGCTCCCCGAATGCCACTGTCAGATTGTATCGCAGGGGACTACCGCATATCTCATCGACAGAAAGAACACATGTAGATAGCTAGCACAGGGGATATAAAAGCATCTCCCAGATAAGAACCTCAAGAGTCAACGCGTGAATATTCTAACACACACCCCCGAAACCTAGTTACGGATACCATCTATGCTATCGCGCTGCCGCATGGACCATTCCCGGAAATGCACCCCGGACAGGCCGAAACGGCCCTCGACGACGACGATGTTGTCGTCATGTCTTCTTGCTGCAGCTGCCATCACCACTCCATCGCCGTGATTTGTACAATTCTGGCTCAACTTGTCGTCAACGCTGCCGCTGCTGCCACTGCCAATATCAACGCGAGACCATAGGCCTTTCCCAGGCTCTTCTTCTTTCTCCTCCTCCCCCTCCTCCTCCTTCTCCTCCTCGTGCGTCTCAAAAGTCAAACTCGCCCCGGAACATCTCCGGGTCCATGCCGACAATGACCTTCTCCGCCAGGTCCCGGCGGCCCATCTGCCCAAACACGCGGCGCAGCGTGTCGTACAGCGTCGTGCTGCGGTTCTGCGTCGTCATGCGGTCGATCCGCTCGTCGCTGACGTCCCCGCCCGCGCCGCCCAGGATCTCGCGCGCCTTCTCCCTGCCCTGCTTCTCCACCTCCTTGTGCATGCTGAGCGCGGCGAGCAGGTGCGCCGCCGCCTCGGCGTGGCAGCCGATGTTGATGCAGCTGACGCCCAGGTTGTAGCGCGCCCGCACGAAATTGGCGTGGATCGAGAGCGCCTTCTCGTAGGCGGCGATGGCCTCCTCGGAACGGCCCGAGTTGGCGAGCGTGGCGCCCAGCCGGTTCCACAGCAGGTGCACCTGGCTGCGCTGGTTCGAGGTGCCCTGCTCCGACGACGCGAGCGCGGCGCTGAAGCAGTCGACCGCCTTGTCGTACTCCTCGGCGCCGTAGAAGAGCACGCCCAGGCCGACCTGGACGTCCGGGTCCATGTGCTCGCCGTCTGGGCTGAGCTGGGCGGCCTGGATGAAGAGATCCGTCACCTTCTCGTGCAGCTGCTGGCGGTCGGTGAAACCCATCTCGGCCGCCGAGGAGAGCTGGTCGGGCGAGATGATGGAGGGATACTTGACCGACAGCCATCTCTCGAGGGTGCGGTAAGCGGTGCTGTCGTAGCCCTCGTTGGTGTAGGAGACGGCGAGACCCATGAGCGCGGGCAGGTTGTTGGGGTCAAGGCTGACGGCATGCTCGAGCGCGCGGATGGCGGCCTCTTCCTTCTCATTTTGTGCCTGTGCTGATCCGAGCTGAACCCAGGCCTCGACGTGCTTGGGGTCCTTTTGCGCTGCGGCCTCAAAGGCCAGAGCGGCGAGCGAGAGGTTGCCACCCTCGTTCATGATGCGAACGCCCTCCTCAAAGGGGTTGACCTGGTCCTTGAAGATATTCTCCTCCTCAAAGAGATACTCCTCGACAGTCGGGTCCGAGCCCATGCGGCCGTTCATATCCCAGTCGCCGAATTTGTTCCAGTCAGAGTTATCCCATTTCATATCGGTATAGTCCTCCTCGTTCTGTATCTCTTGCAATGACGCCTGCTCGGCTTGGATGCCGTTCCATATTGACTCGAGATCGCCGTAGCCGGTCTCTTCATGCAGCTGATCCTCTTTGTTCAGCTCTGGCTCCATAGCTGCAGCCTCCTCCTCATCCTGCTTGTCCTGTAACTCGATCTGGGCAAACTGCTCCTCCCACTTATGGTCGTCCAGCTCGACCACCTTGCCCTTGCCCTTACCCTGGACGTCTTGGTGTTCGTGATGCATTGGTTGGAACTGCTGCTGCGAGTACATTGGCTGAAACATGGGCTGCGACATCATGCCGCGGTTCATGCCCATGTTCATCATGCCGACGCCCATCATGGGCCGGTGTTGTTGCTGCGCGCTGGGCATGGGGCTCTGGCGGGAAGACGACGGCTGCTGGCCCATCTGTCGGAACTTGGCAAACTCGTCGGCACTGAAGTGGGCTCCCGGAGGCGCGTTGAAAGGGCCGGCCTCCATGGGCGACTGGCCTCTCTGGAAGTCGTCGGCCCAGGTGGGCGATGCGGACTGGGCTCGGAGGTGGGCTCCTTGGGCGGCGGCGGGGTCCAGCCTGACCTGGCTCATAGGACCGTGCTCGAGAGGCATCTCGGGAGCCTGCTGTGCAAAGCTGTTCATCATCTGCAAAGGTGTACCTATTAGTCACGTAGTCCTTGCCGACGTCCTCAATAGTCTACGTGGTCTAGCATACCTCATCTTGCGGGCCGTTCCTACCGGCGCTGCGAAAGCCACCGAGGGTCCCGTTAGGACCTCTAGCCACCAGGCGATCCCTCTGGAGGCTGTTGTCATCGTGGACGTGCTTGGAGAACTGGCTGAGCGGGTTGCCTGCCGTCGAGCACTCTGCTCCGCCGAGGAACGACATGGTGTGGGGTTGTCAGGCCGGGGTCGGCGAGAGCGCAAAAGGCAAAATGCTTAGGAATGAGAATGTCAAACAAAGGCCCTGCCGGTGACGATATATCCAGAACAGGCGATATCAGGCCTTTGGTGCTGCCAAACAAAAACAGGGGGTGAGTCAAGAGAAATCAGGCATCCGGGCTCCAAAAGGTGACGAGAATTGAATATTGGATTGCTCAAACGGCAGGAGGAAGACGCACGCTTGAAGTTGGTTGGGATGAAAGGCGCTGGCAGCGTCGGCTGCTGGTCGGGGTGCTAGAAGATTAAAGTGGGCCCGGGGGTTTGTAATGCAACTTTCTGGGCATGTGCTCGGGTTCATTGAGCCAGTCAGGCGCTAACAGCTCGCTGTAAATGCCCACCAGAGAGGTGCCTGTCAGCGAGCCAGTGCCCCGGTTTCTCTGTCGCTGCCGCCACCCCCGCTAAACTACCGAGGCTCAATCAAGCCTCTCCGGATCCGCTCTCCTCCTCCTCCCCATTCAGGCTGCAGCCTACCTTAACCTGGCAATCTACCTAGGTACCCAGGTGCCTACCTAGGTGCCTACCTAGGTAAGTCTACGCTGCTGCTGCTGCATTCACGCAGGAGTCAGAGCAGCTTGTATGCCTGCACTGGCCAGAGACGATCTAAAATGCAAAAGGCTCAGACCCGTAAATATCTTTGTCAGTGCTCACAGATGCTACAAAAGACACAACTGAGAGACACAGCCAAGTAGAGGAAAGGCGGGTAGTTGTTTATTCAGTATCGTGCATGCTCTAAGATTACACGACAGTAGTAGCTCATGTACATTTGCTATCTTACAAGTGCCCTCCCTTTAGGCGCACTGTCCATCGATCGATCACAAGTCTCTTTTTTCCCCCTTTCTTCTGTCACTTGGTACAGTTGCTTCTCAATAGGGGGTGCCTAAGCGTCGTCGGAAGCTCGAGGGGCCCGGGTGGCCTTCGGCGAGGAAGACGCATAGTCGAAGCGGAGCTGACGGCCGTTCAGCTCGAAGCCCTGCAGCTTCTCCAGGGCCTTGGTGGCCGACTCGCTATCGACGAAGTCGGCATGGGCGAAGCCTCGGGGCCAGCCAGTCGTGCGGTCGACGGCAACACGGATGGCGGTGACATTCTCCAGCCCGCGGAACAGGCGGTTCAGCTCGGCATCGGTCGTCTCGTAGGGGATGTTGCCAATGTAGAGCGATCGGGAGGGCTCGCCGCCGGTGCGGGAGTTTGTTCCTCGCTGTCTGGTGGTGCGGGGCAAAACAATCAGGCGGCGACCGTGCCAGAAGGAGCCGTTGGCCTCTTCTAGTGCCTTCTCGACAGAGTCGGCGTCCTTGAACCAGACGAAGCCAAAGCTAAAGGGTAATCAGATGTTAGATGATGTTGCGATTGACAACTTTCATGAGGAGCTGCAGTTGGGCTTACCCTTTGCTAATTCCGCGCGCATCTCTGGCAATGGCCGCCTTGGCGACCTCGCCGTATGACGAAAAGGCCTCCTGGAGGAGATCCTCAGTCGCATTGAAGATAATGTTCCTGATGAAAATGGCGTGGGGGGTCTCGCCGGCGGCTTCGTCGTACTTGACGGTCTCAGGAGCGTCTCCTGGTCCGGTGGCAGTCAGAACGGGGTTCGAAACATCATGGGCGGCAGGCTCGCTCGGCGCGGCAGCCTCTCCGCTGGCTGCAGATTCTGCAAGACTCTCACCTTCCGCAGTGGTGGATCCGAGTTCCTCAGCAGACTTCAGGGCGTCTTCGACGGCCTTGCTGTCTGCGGTGTCCTCGGCGGGAGTGTTCAGGAAAGGAGAAGACTGCGAGAAGCTGCGAGCTGCAGGGATGACACAGGCTCGGACGACGCTCGTGCTGCGGGCGATCTCCGCAGCGAAGGAGGTGGACTGGGGCTTGGTAGCGATGGCACGCGAGGCCAAGAAGGCGCTGCGCAAACCTGCGCGACGGACACAATGCCTGAACAGAGAGAAAGGGATGGTCAATTGCCTGTATCGCGAGATGATGGATAGTTTTACGCGGCAGTAAATACTTACATGGCGACTGGTGACGTGGAATTGAGAGGCAAGAAAAGGAATACACAGGGAATGGAGGTGATGAAAGGAGTAGAGTTAGAGTGTACAGGTTGACTCTCGAAATCATTTGATGCATCAAAAGCGAAGCAGTCCATGATGCAAAAAATTTGGGATCCACCTCCACGCCCGGCGCTAACCCAAAAGCGGACTAACTGCCTCCTATAATTCCGGCCAATCATGTCCATGGCGAATTTCAGTCCAGCCCCCTCCAGCTAATAAATGACTCCAGGTTACCAACGACAGCTATTACGGCTGACTAGTCTCATGATCGAGGACTCAAGATGTCTGTTTAGTTACTATAAATAAAGCCAATGTTATCGCCCTTGTTCTCATATATTTTGGAAAGACTCCCCAAGGACAGCGATAGATCACCCCTGCTCCGGTCATCATCAGTCTCACTCTCCATCGGGTTGTCGTATGGTGAGGCGTGAAGGTCCGAGTGACATCAGACAGCGGTTGGCTCGCCAGCACGAACACATCTTCACTGTGTGCACTTTGCCGTCCTCGAGACGCCTTGCGCAAATAGCGTGCTCACATTCTTTATGTTCGGCCTCCAACCTAAGGCATTGTGGGCGCGTTTCTCTGTATGAGAAGAGTCTGGCCAAGCCCAGCCACTGAGTTGCGGACTTGGTTTGCTAGCTGCGGAGTTTGACTAGGCCTGCTCGTTTTTGTCATCCATCGGCCCCATCTTGATCCTTGACCTCATGGAGTCGATGAATGGAAAAGGCGGCGACGGGGGTCAACCGGCGTCGCGCCAAAAGAGCTGCGACGCCTGCGTCAAGTCGAAGCGCAAGTGCGACAAGCACATGCCCGTCTGTCGCCGCTGCGCCAGGAGAGGCTACCTATGCAACTATCCCAAGCGGACTGTCGATGCGACAGCAGCAAGCCAGCAGCAGCCTCGTCAGGATTCCGTCGTCTCGTCCTCGGGTCTCTCCTTGCTCGACGAGTTCAACTTTGCCCAGCCACCGGCGGCGCCTCTGGCCGATCCTGCTAGCGTCACAGGTGCGGAAGAGGTCGACTACAGCTTCTTGAGTGCTCCTGCGTCCGTAGCCCCGGCACCGTTTGCAAGCATGTCTGATATCACGCCGCTGTCGGAGCTCCCAGCAGACGTGCCGTGGTTCAAATTCATCACGACGGCGGAGGAGGATCGTCTCGCCAAGCCGGATGGCTGGTTCGCCAACCCAGCCTTTGACCAGCAGGCAGTGACGACTTTTCATAAGCAGATCTCTGCGCCAATCCCTTGCGATGTCGAGAACACAAAGATCAATGACCTCTGCGTGAGTCGACCCATAGCAAGATGATGATGGCTTGGCCCCTGACGTGTACATAGATCCACTATGAGCCCTGGCAGCTATACGACTCCAACACCAAGGTGCATTTTGTCACAAACGCCATCAAGAGCTTCCATAACACATTCGCCCAAGAGAACCGGACGCCCTTCATCCACCGCCATCTCTACAAGGATTTCATGCCCCAGACCATCCTGCAGTGTTTCACCGTCTGCACAGCCTATGCCAACCAGACCGAGTTCACGCGCGCGGTTGTCCTTCGGACCCTGCAGCGCAGCATCGACGAGCTCAAGGCCGGGACTCTTTCATCGCTCCCAGCGACTGCTCCGCTAGAAAAGATTGCCCGCACCCAGGCTCTCCTGCTCTACCAGACCGTGCGTGTGTTCGACGGTGACGTGTCTCTGCGGGCTCTCGCGGAGAGGGACATGCCCCTTCTTGAGCAACGCATCTTTGAGCTGACCAGGTGTCGGGACAATCACAATCTGCTATGGGGCTTGAGCGACGAATCCCTCAAGTCCGCAAAGCCCGAATCGTGGGAGGTACGTCACATGTTGAAATCTTGTGGTTCTGAGCGATGACAAGGGCTGATCCGTTCTTACCTCTATCTAGAGATGGATATTTACAGAGTCTGTAAGGAGGACAGCTGTGATGGGCCACATTTTCATCACACTATACAAGCTCATGATTGGAAAGGCCATTGAAGGTCTGTTTGCCACTGGTGAACTGGATAATTAGGTGCTCTCTCTGACATCTCACAGATCTCCTCGGCCCCTGGAAGGAAGTCCATCGCTGGACACTATCCCGGCATTTGTGGGAGGCCGGGTCTTCCTTTGACTTTTATCAACAGTGGGAGAATCGAAAGCAATATCTCATCGACACCTTCCACCTCGAAAAATTCCTCAGGCAAGGGTGCGGAGACGATGTGGACGACTTTGCCAGAATAATGCTCGTCATGTAGGTGCTTCACCCCTGAATTTGAAACGCCGTTGCTGACAGCCGTATCTCCAAAGCTGTATGGGACCAGACGACACGAAGCAGTTCCTTGTCAAGGGGAACGGCGAGAGAACTTGAAAATGCCGACAGCGATGGTTGGCACTCTGATAGTGAGTCTCAGTAACAGCAATGGCTTAGACACGTCACAGCCCTGCCACGTTTCCTGCGAGTGACCATGCGCGGGCTTATGAACAAGGAGGTGCGGTAGAAATCCTCACCTCCGTATCACGAGAAGAGCACGATGCACCCTCTTCCGGTCGTGCCACGCTGTGCGGCCACCTGAAACCCGGCTGTCCTCCCCATCCACAAGATCAAAGCCAGGCCGGACATGAAGAAGACACAAGCCCTCGCCGAAATTTCTTCCAATGAGCCTACATGCCTACGGAACACACGAAAAAAAAAAAGCAGTGTCACGCAACGGAGGGGGAGGACGAAACCTGCGCAGAACGAAGAATGCAGGGTCCGCGGCGCCTTTCGCGGTGCACGGCAGGACTGGACTCGACCGACATACGGACGGGCAGGCAGGTCACACACCCGTCGTCGCTCGCTGCACATGCAACTCCCCACGAGGGCTCTCCTAGGGCGGCAAAAGGATAGATGACGGTCTCACTTCCTTTCACCCTTTACCCGAGACAACCTACTACAGAGGTCAGAAAGGCGCAATGTCCTCCCGAACCTACCTACACTCGCGACGTTACGCAGACCCTATTGCCCTTTGGGGGTTGCTGCTCCGCGCACACCGCATCTCTTGGCCGCCCTTTGCGACGCTCCGGTCGTTGCCCAATCCCCTATTCCACGTGTGACTGTGCACAGCGGGCTCCTGCCTTACGGGCGAAGCAGCGACTGGTATCGCGGTCAGGCGATCGTCGGTGTAGATGTGAAGACATGCAGGCAGATAGGGGTGAGGGAAGAGAGAGCATGTAGCCTCATCTTTTTTTGGGCCAACCGCCTTTTGAGGGAGGAAGGGAAAGGGGGGGAGGACCCGTCGTTCTACCGGAATTAGCATGTTCTCGAGAGCAGATGGGGATGCATCGTGACGAGGGCTCAGAGAAAGTTGTGACCGGCTTGTTAACTGCCGAGACATTTCACCACGGGCGATCTTCGCCTTGGCTGCGTGCGTGTGTGCCTGTTTGAGCGTTTGCCTGCGCGCTCGCGCGCGTCTCGTGTGCGTACGTCTACCAGGACACGGCTCCGGGCAGTCTTGTTCGAGCGTCTTGTCAAAAGCCACTCTGCCTTCTTTCAATCAGATACAGCGTCCTTCATCGATCGAAGAATGGTAGGGGCGATCAGAGTGGTGATCGACAGTCCCTGATGATCATCCGTGATTGACGTGACGGCGCGTCCCTAAACGGCCCTATGGGAGGTGCACCACAGCTGAACAGGAGGAAGCTACCCTATGTTACCGACATGACAGATTTACCTCTTTTGGTCGCTGTGAGCAAAATAGGGCTGCAGATGAGCCATCAAATGCAGCTGTAGCTGTGACCTGCAAGGCTCTTCCACACGCCTGGCACACAATCCTCTTTGTCCTGCCCCAGCCGTCTAGCTATTCATCGCACATGCATTCCCCTGACTTGGCGACGATCAGCGGCCACTAGGGGAGCGAACCTCTGGGGCTGATCCAGGTGAACCTGACGTACGTACCCTCGGAACCTTGCTCCATTCGGGCCTAGGCCAGGATCCCTACCTACCTCTCGCAAGCCCTCTCACACCTAGGTGTAGGCGGGCACGGGAGTGGTAACCGAGAAAAGACAAAACGGCAGCCCTTCTCAACCACGACGCGGGAAAATGTGTTTATCGCAAACAAATGTTGTCTCACGGCTTTCCTTTTTTTTTTCCCCTTGAGATTTGCAGACGGGTCATCAGAGTCAAGGAAGGGAACTGCACTAGCTTTGCACTTTGACAATCAAACGTGCCGTGCCCTGTGAGGTACTTTTAGGAGCAAGCCACTTTTCTCGACATGGACGGATTTGGTTGGGGAGGGTTCGTCGCTCGTGTAAGTGCCAGCCGCGCTCTTCCCGTTGGGCGTCACCATTGGCCTCGGTTGGACGAGGGAAGAAGAAACAAAGGTTGGGGAGGCCAGAGAGAGAGAGGGCGTTGAAACGCACGCGTCCCGAGTTACACGGCACTGGTCAAGGAGATGATGAGGTGTCGACTATGGCTTCTTGCGTCGTCAAGTCACTCTACAACACCCTCCTCGAGAAACACCTTTTCCGATACACACTGTGGTGTTCTTTTCGAAAGCATTCACGCCCTCTGGCCAAGACCCGACCCTGTTCTCTTCAGCCATCATCTCGAATTCCCAGAAACTTGCCTACCTGTCAACAACACGGGAATTGCCCACCCCCTTGGAGGGCGGCCCCGATGCAACATCGAGTCCAGCCCTATCGTCCTCAGCTGCATAGGTGGTCACATCCTTGCTTCTGTTCCTGCTTTTGTCTCAGAGGGAGAGTGGGAGGGCAAAAGAGAGAGAGGGAGGGAGGGGGGGGGAAAGCCCACAGTCTGCATTGCATCCGGGACACACGGCACGCCACCGTTTTTCTCCATCTCGAGAACGTTTGAAAGCCAGTCAGTACCTACATACATACAGACACTCCGAGCCGGGCGGCGGGTCACTCCGCCGCATCAACATTGCTTCTTTCTACTCTGTGCTCCTCCTCTCGAACGTTTGTACGTCGCCTATGTGTAGGTATCCCTTACGTCCGCCATGCGAAAAATCCCAACAGCCAGACTTTTGTCACCGTTGTGTGTCAAGAACCCAAAAAGGGCGGCCTGCCCTTCGACTGCCTTCCTAGTTCTCATGTGGTGGTGGATTGCAGTACGTACCCACAAAGCAAACCTGCTGCCCTGTCTTTTTTTGGGATAGGGAATATGCCAGGTACAGAAGAGGTGGTGGGTGGGCGGGACTCTCTTTTCATGCCATGCACGAAGATCCGTGCAGGTGCGTGCCTGGGTGGGCGCGCGGAGGAGCAAGACACCACGACGACAGAGCTTTCAAATCAAGCATCGCCGCACCGTACTCGTGATACTGTGGCATAGGTGTACTCGTGCGCGTAACTTCAAGACCCAGCATCTTGCGTAATGCATTCCCTCAAGGCCATCCGTAGATCTTTACCTCTCTCAAAGCTCTCTGGCATCACGAAGCCTATCGCCGAGTACCGATCCTCAGCTTGTAGATCAGGCCGCAGGATCGTGCGTCTCCATCATGCGCGAATTCGGAAACGTCCCAAGTGATAAGTATCGTCCTCGCGAAACGGAACAGAGGGCATATGTCGTGCAAGCCGTTCCTGCTTTAGAGTGAGGGCTGAGGCGGCCCTAAGTGCACCAGAAGCTGTCAAACTTGCATTGCATACCTATCTGATGATCATCGGCCCAGTGGCTCCGGCATCTAGGCAGTTAGCTCCAGGAATCCTCCTCGTATAAGAAGACGACTATGTCCCCTGCATACCTAGCAATGGAAGGACGCAAAGCAAGGACAAAGATATGATGTGACGGGGAACGTCCATGCAACGTCCTTATCACCGTTTCCAGGCGAGTATATCTACATTGGGCGGAGGGCAACTCGAGATGTGACCTGGACTGGAGGCTCACCTTCGGTCAGATCGGAGACATACCACCCAATCGCAACGTCGGACCCGGGGCGCCGCGATCTGTTCTCCGCCTTAACTGTCAAAATCAATTGTATTGGTGGGCTAGTCCCTCCAAGTCGAGCTAGGCGTCGCGTAGGTAGCCTTGATGCCTTTCTTGGTCCATCCGGACCGAGCATCGTTCGGTGGGGAAACTCGATGCAAGGCATGCTCGTGAGGGTGCCAGAGCCAAGACGTAGGTAGGAGGCAAAGGGTCAAGAAGGTAGTAGGGAAAGGGCGCGAGGCCTTCACGATCATACGTCGACCGGGCGATGGTTGGGTGGGATCTGCAGGCCCATCATATGAGGAACGAACCCGATCCTCCGGGACTCGCCCGCCGGGTTCCCAGAGGAGAAGACCCGGCAAAGCGGCCATCCGGTGGAGATTTGGAGGGGAAGATCAGAGCAGGGAGGTGAGGAGGGGGTGTGAGTGGGCGAGTGAGTGGTTGGCATGTGTGCGCAATTCTCTCTGTCCAGGAAAGGATACTGCAAAGAGTTATCTATTCGTCTGGACCGTCCAGTCATTTTGTGATATGTGATACCTGTGATGTCACAGGTACCGATAACATCATCTCAATGTATTTTGACCAAATCCATCTCTTTATGATAGCGCGGCGGCCCTTGCGCGCCCCAGACCAAGTTTGTAGATAGTCGGAGTCGACTGGGCTGATTCGTCTCTCACCGGCGACGTACCCAGGTCGCATCTGCCCACCCTCAAGGAGTGCAGATGCCGCCATTGAAGCAGCCAAAGCCATAAAAAAGTAATCAGAAAATAAGGAACAGCCAGCCCGAAGCTTTGGGACCAGCTCGAATCGGAGATCAGCCCCAGGGGTGTGTGGTAGGATAGGGTATGGTAGCCGACCTCCAAGGAACGTGCTATTAGTGCCGCCCGGGCTTGGTGTGATTCCCCAGAGGCTGTCGAACTAACGTTACAGTGTCCCGATGCGCACGGAACACTGTCTCTTTTGCGCTGAAAACAGAACAGACTGGACGCGACACCGGTTGTGATGGGGGCCTGCAGGTGGTAGTGCATTGATCGGAGCATGGGGGGCCCCTGGTCGCCCAGAAGCCGGCCTGTTTCCGCAGTCTTGGGACGCTCTGACTGCAGATCCATACCGTTGCTGGCACACCGAACAGGGCAGGTCCAATAAGTTGCGTGTAGAGGAGTCCGGCCACGCCTCTAGGCGTGCTAACTCCGCATAGGCGTGCTGAGGCGTGCGCAAGGGCAAACAACTAGACCATCGCCTGACGTGATGAAGAGATGAGATAACTTTTCTTGGTAGGTAGGGAGCCGATTTGGTGACTGCCCTGGGTCCAACCTGGCCTATTCTGGTGCTTACATGCAGCCCAGTGGTGCTGAGGAGATGCGATACCTGAACGGATTTGGAGACGTGCATAACGAGATGACCGGGGCGCCATGACAGGACGGAACTTTGCGGTGCAGATGGACAGCGAGGCGGGGTTCCGGGCTTAACTGACCTTCCATGCCTGGCTGAACGAACGCATCGGTCCTGGCCGATACGGAGGTATCTTGTGCCAAGTGACAGTCGAGAGCCTGATGAGGCACTGATCAGGGAACAGTTTGCGACGTGATCCGGCGGAATGGATCACCCAATTACCCAATACCCGCGACTCGCATCCACTCTGCCTACAACGGTGATGATTGCCGGTGCAGTGCCAGAGCATCCGTGAAGGGGCAATCTGGCGACTAGCGACGAGACTCGGGCGGGAATACTCATTGACG